TTTTTCCTTTCTCTTCAATACCATTTACTATTTCTGGAGACAATTAACCCTTTAACTTCCAAGATCTCATTAGTAATTCTTCTTACTGTCTGCCACATAATTCTTGTGATGTTAGTTTTGAGAATTTGGTATTTGATCAACCAATAATCCTCTAATTAATATTTTTATTTATTCTCCTCACTTGTCTGCTTGATATTGTATTGATATTGTAAGGAGAAATTCTCTTCTGATTACATGTGGGAGTTAAAGGGTTAAAGGAAGCAGGTTATTTTAAAAAAATTATAACTTTTCATTGAGGTAATTATTGGAATATGTGAGTAACATTTGGTGTTTTCTTATGTAACAGGATGATCAAGCTGAAGATAGCCTCAAAAAAGAGTGAACTCCAATGTAACAATTAGGTGACTAATTTGAAAACTTGAGCACTTGGCAAATACACCATGGCTTGCAATTCTGATTATTAAAGTTTGGTGGGGCAATTGAAGTGTCAGTCCCCATGCAGGAACCATCCACATGACCTGTACAGTCATATGCATGAGATAACTTTAGAAAAATGTATTTGTGTCAGTAGAAGTATTTTAAGTACAGTACCACCTAGTAACAAAAATTAATAATTTTCTGTAAGCATGAACGTTTGGGAGAAGTTATGGTGGTAATTGACAGGATGTATAGGGTCTGATGATTGTAAGGTATATCTTTCAGCTTTCAAACTTTCAACTTTGCATGAATTGTAACTGTTTACCATATCTATTTCTCTGTACCTTTAGCCCTCAAAAGTTAGTGGGTGAGTCAGTAACCTGACTTCCTTTGTTTGGAATTGTGTGATTATATAATTTTGCTGAGTAAGTTACTGCATTGTAACATGTAATATTATTATTCAGATTGCATTTAATACTCTTGCTCAAGCTTTCATTAATGCATGGTGTTTCTTACCAATGTTCATACCAAAACTAAACATTGATATCTGGAAATGGTCATGAGATATGTGAGTTTTAAAGGGTGGGAATCTGGAAAAGCAAGGATCCTCCTTTAATTAGGACTGAAATAAATGGGGGCCCTCCTGTTTTAATTCATGTTTTTACTTTGACCTGCCTCCTCCCCTGTAATATTTGGGGCACATAGATGAAGAGAACATTTTTTGTATTTTGATGCATAAAAGTTAACCCTTTAACTCCCAAGATCTGATTGTTAATTCTCCTCTGTAGCTGCTACACATTTCCTTTTAAATTAGTTATGAGAACTTGGTGCTAGATCAAGATAGCAGCTTCTACCTAATAAGTTTGAATATTCTCATTACCAGTTTGCTGAAGAATGTATGGATGTTGTGGGGAGAAGTTTTATGTTAATCACTTCTGGGAATTAAAGGGTTAAATTAATTGGCATCCATATAATGCACAAAGCAAGAATATAAATGCCTTAGCTTGATAGGTTAAAAATTAAAATAAGAGAATTGTGCAGACCATATCTTACTTTTTATCCTCTTTTGGATATTTATCCTAATAACATAGTCGCTATCAGTCTCATTCACTCTCAATTTCCACTGAGCTTGTGGAAAGATGATAACATCAGTATTACTTTAAATGAAGAAAGGAAAGCCTACTCTCTTACCACAGATAGTTCTTTTGGGCATTATCATTACAAACCTGGTTTAATTTGTACATGAAGGTGATTGTTCTGGGTAGGCTAACCTTACAAATTAGTTGTGAAAATTTTTTGAACATGTTGTCGTATGAATGTTTGACTCAATTTTACCTCACTAACCAACATGTAAACTGTATAAATAGATTACTATTTCGATCACAAATGTTCAATAGAATAGCAACCAGAATTCAATATCTCTTCCAACCATTTTTACACATCTCTGTATATCCGTGCATAGTTCTGTATAGCTGTGTATAGCTCTGTTAAGCTGTGTGGCTTTGTATACTTGTGTATAGCCCTGTAACAATAGCTGTGTATAACCCTGTATAGTCGTGTATAGCTCTGTTAAGCTGTGTATGGCTCTGTATAGCTGTGTATAGCCCTTTATATCAGTGTATAGCCCTGTATAGCTCTGTATTGCTGTGTATAGCCCTGTCTAGCTGTGTATAACCCTGTACAGCCGTGCATAGCTGGGTATAGCCCTGTATAGCTGTGTATACCCTTATATAGCTGTGTTTAGCTCTGTATAGCTGTGTATAGCTCTGTATTGCCCTGTATAGCTGTGTATATCTCTGTATAGCTGTGTATAGCTGTGTATAGCTGTGTATAGCTGTGTATAGCTGTGTATAGCTGTGTTTAACCCTGTATAGCCTTGTATAGCTGTGTATATCTCTGTATGGCTGTGTATAGCTTTGTATAGTTGTGTATAGCTCTGTATAGCTCTTTATAGCTGTGTATTGCCTTATATGGCCCTATATAGCTGTGTATAACTCTCTTTAGCTGTGTATAGCTGTTTATAGTCCTGTATCACTCTTTATAGTCCTGTATTGCTGTTTATAGTCCTGTATCGCTGTTTATAGCTCTGAATAGCGCTGTATAGCTGTGTAGGGTTATATGTGTTGGACATTATATGTATGTGAAGTACAAGACCTAATATGTATTGGGGACATAATAACTGCCCATACATAAGTTGCCTACCAAGCTGTTTAAAGATGCCGCTGACTAGCATGCCGAAAATTAGTAAATTACCAATCTTTAACAGTTCAAATACTCGGGGGGTCGCCCCGGCAGGGATGTTGAAGTTTTGAATTAATCGACGCTCAATGAGTTCTTTTGTAGAGTGTACATAGAAGTAACAATGACCATAGCTAAAACTAGCTAAATAAAAGTTGCACATCTACACTAATGGGGCGTTTTAGTTTGATATGGCATAGTTTTTGTTGCGTTTTTGCTAAATCATCTATACTAGAACGCCCGTAAATGGTGATGAACACGGAGACTTTTTGTCAACATCTTTAAAAGCGAAGCATTCTGAAAACGCTCCGTTTTGTGCGAAGACAAGTGAAAACAAAGACTTTTGAAAACGTTGACCAAAAAATGCATCCCATGTATACTCTTGCTATATATTTCTCTTTGTGTTTTCAGGTGTTCTAATGTTGAGGATAATCGCAAGTGCATCGAAATGTACGCGTTTGTAGATAAAAACACGTTATTGTGCGCAGTAGAGAGGAAAACAAAACACTAGTGTGACAAAAAATATTTTCCTTCCTTTTGTTGGAGACAAAGACAGACTCTTTTGAAAACGCTTGGTGTGGTTGGGGCCGAATGGGCAAGGTATTTTTTCGTTTTTCACATCTATTCGATTTCTGCAAAGTGGAAGTTGTCACAGTGTCATAAGTAATAGCTTCGTTGGAAGCTCGGATCGGAATCCACCAATCACAATATTCAAGTTGACCTGGTAACCTTTGGAGTTCAACTTCCACAATTGACCAATCAGAGAACGAGGATTTTGATCTCTTGTTGAAATATGATACATCCTCAATGCATACTCTTATCATTGGCGCCAGAGACAGTTTTATGTTGCGAAGCTTACAACTTCACATTGTGTTTCATCGAATACTGTGGTGTAGCAGAGGGTGAGTCTTTGTGAAGTTATGGCGAAATTACGTAAACCCTCTCGTGATGTTACAGCAGAGAAGAAAGCTGGTACAGTGAAATCTGGTGTTGCAGTCGATAAGATGAAAAAGAAAGTGAGAAGAAAGGAAAGTTATTCACTTTACATCTACAAAGTGTTGAAGCAAGTTCATCCAGATACTGGAATTACAACCAAAGCCATGGGTATCATGAACTCGTTCGTTAGCGACATTTTCGAGCGCATAGCTATGGAGGCCTCTCGCCTGACGAAGTACGCAAAGAAGTCGACAATGAGTTCCCGCGAAATCCAAACTGCTGTACGGCTGCTTCTGCCAGGTGAACTTGCTAAGCACGCACTCAGCGAAGGCACGAAGGCTGTAACCAAATACACAAGCAGCAAGTGAACGAGGAGTACGATATTTTCTTCAAAACAACGAGCCTACTTCTGTGTAAAGCTGTGATCAACCAGTTAACAGATGCTGTTGTTGTTTATGTTGTTGTTAACTCACCCGAGGTTTAAATTATCCGACATTTTGAAGCGGTAGAGATGCTTAACTAATTGCTATCGACAGACAAGTTTTGCAACCGTTCTGAAATGACTTAACGAGTGGATATGGCACTTTCCATTGTAGTCTTGTAACTTGTTGAAATAACCAGCCGTTCAGTGACAGAAGATGTCGACTTTAGATCAATTGATAAACTTTTGTATTTCGTATTATCTTTGCTTTCGCTGAAATTAAAAGAAAAAAGGCGTTTCACTTGGAAAATTCCCGGAATACGTGTCCCCAACTATTAAAATGCATGCCTTACAGCACTCGCTGAGTTGCAAAGTTTGGAACAATATTACAAAAGATGCTCAAACTGCTTGTGCTACGCGCTGCACATTAATTTTTGTTTACAATTGCTAAATATTGATTACAAGGCAATGAAACGCGAGCGAGGATTCCTTGCCTTCCTTCCCAAACGATCTATCGCAGACGTCAACGCGAGAACCTCCTTTCCTTTTTTCAGTTTTCCGGACTCACATTTTGTCGAATCTTCGTCCACTGCCAGAGAACGGGGCAATATCGATTTCGAACGTAATGGGCTTGTGGAGCTTTCGTAAGTGAAGCCGCGTTTCCTCACGCAAGAAAAGCACCTGGGAACTGAGACTTCCTGGAGAATTATTCGTGGTATTTTAGAAAAACCAGAATTGTTGAATATTATAAAACAACAGAGGAATTGGGGATATTTTGAATAAGAATGACGCCGAAACCTTGTGATCTTCATTAAAACGAAATGCTAATTTAAGGGTTTCGTTTCACTAGCCGATAATCGCACCATAACCTTGCAGCTCTGTTCCCCAGGCCTCCTAGAATCCCAGTCACCCTAATGAAAGGAAAGTGGTCCTTTAAACTTTTATTTTTCATTTTCCTCTTTAATGAGAAGAATATTCAAGAATATTTGACAGACTATCAGGAAAATCAAAATCATTCGGGGAAGAAATCTGACCGTCCGTGAGCTGAACTCGACTTTAAAGTTCAAGCATTGTTTTTAAGTCTCTCGTTGAATATTATCTCTGGACAAAGAAAAGGTGTGAAGAAAGTCATTCCTTTGGTCTTCACACGCCTTGCAGCGTTAGGATTGGCAAGTTGGAGATTGTACCTCTGTAAAACAGAAGCAACAACTATTCGGGTGATTGCCAGGGCATACCGATAACCCAAGCATTTCCTTGGACCCATACCAAAGCGGAAGAGAGAGCCTGGCACTGGTCTTGCGCCGTTCGCGAAGCGACTGGGGTCGAATTTGTCAGGGTTTCTCCAATACTTCTCGGAAAAGTTCAGTGAATGGGTATCCACGCAAACGGGAGTCTGTTTAATGAGATAAAAGGGCTACGTCAGTTTTTGTTAGTTTAAATGCGCAGGCAACGCATTGTACTCGCGTGAGGTAATGTAAACACGCGAGGAGTAATTTTTATCCGCGTGTTCCTCGTTCGCGCGCATTGCTTCAAATCGCTTGCACCCAGCTCTCTAGGAACCCGGCAAAGGACTCAGATTTCAAAATTATATTAGGCAGAAAATGCGAGATCTTGTAATAAAAATGAATTTCAGCTTTTTTAACTGTAAGGAAATTGAAATATTCACGTTTCATTAACACTGATTTAGGGCCAATCATCAGTTCAGTAACATATGGTGAATCTTTTCACAAATCTCGTGCCCAGATCCTACCGCGTAACTTAAATATAAGGACCTCACAACCGCTTAGCCGTGGAGGGTCTGGGTACGAGACTATCCCTCCGACTCTCTACTAAGGATCGCCTGTTCGCCTTTCAGGGAGCCAAGGGAGAGGAAAATAGCTGGCACATGAAAGAATTTTTAAGATGTTCCTCACCCCTTTTGGAATTTGATAACCTCCAATATCGGTGACAGGTTTCACTGTTCTCTCAGGGAGACTAAGCGCCAATGCTGGGTTCATCCGGGCACTTTCTTTCAGAACCATCTCCATGTAAGGTAGCTTGTTATCCAGGTCCTCAGATGAACTCGGGTCAGCCCCTAATAATATATCGTCTACTTCCTGTTGAACTATTTCTTGAACGGAAGTGTAACGAGCAAGATCGGCCAAGGCAAACGAAGTGGCAGCGAAGCTGACGTCAATATTCAAGAGCAGGATTTCATTCACAGAATGAAATAGCTGTGCCAGATATAACAAAGACAGAAGTGAGTACGGAAAGGGTTTTTTTTCTCTTCTTAAAATTTATTTTTGGCCTTTGTTGTTGAGATAGGACGGAAGTTAAATGGATGAAATAATTAAATAAATGAACGAACGAGCGAAAAAACGAGGGATAGATCGAACGAGCGATCAAACGGGGGATAGATCGAACGAGCGATCAAACTAACGAGCAAATGAGCGAATGAATGAATGAATGACAGAAGGAAAGAAGGAAGGAAAGAAGGAAATGAAGGAATATAAATGAACGGACTAACGGAATGATGGACTAAAGGATCAGAAAAGGATTGAAGAATTGATAATAAATGAATCAATAAAATAAAGGAAGACCTTTCGTCTACCTCTTGCTCTCCCAAGTCGAGTGCGTGAGTCTTCAGTTGTTCCATCATGATAAAGAATAATCCATCATTAGACCTGAGTCGTCCCTCCTCGTATTCTTCAAACAAGAAAAGGTTAAACGCCTCCCATGCTTCGTTGAAGGCCTGAGCCGTCTTGTTCACCTTACTCGGAACATAGGAGTAGAATGGCAGCCTGGTTTCACCCACATTAAACCGATTGACGGCATCCTGAAGCAAATCACTGACCTCCATGATACGTTGGAAATATTTTTGTAGGACTTCTTCTCCGTAGACGACTTGCACAAGTACACGAAGTGTGACGTTGGCAAGACCCTCCTTTTGAAGATCCACCGGCCTACCAACTGGTAAGGAATTTAGGAATGTGGTACACTCTCGTCCAATCGTACGCAGAGTGGCCGAAACAGCACTGGAAGAGAAGTATTTCTCGAAAGGGCCGCGGCATCGTCGCACCTCGTCACGCCCGTGGCTGGTTGCCAAGCAATTTCCTAAAATGTCTTTGAAAACGGAGCCGAGGCAGGTGAAATCTCGGTCGCGCTGGTGCGAGTAGTGGTCGGTATAGAACGAGCGAATGGCATCTGCGTCAGCTAAGATCCTGCGAGGATATTATAAGAAAATAAAAGACCATGAGTTCTTGATCGATGTATGATAAAAAATACATACATATAAAGCACTAAGTCTAGCTTTTTCGGAAAAGTTATGCATCTTAGTCGTAAGAACGAATTTCCTCGACTCCAGACTCCAGACTAAAAAGTATATACGGCTAGATCGGCTCAAGAGAGCTATCAAGCGAGCTGTCACGCAACGAAGTTTTTGCATTACGAGACATCCTCATGAGTTCGGAGGAAATTGTTTGGAGCCCAGTCATGATTTATTTCTTGGAGAAGGGGGGGGGGGTAGTTGGGAGATTTTAAGGGAGAGATACATGGTTTTTAGGGGAAACGGAGAGGGGATCAGTCGTAGCCAGCAGAGTATAAAGGAGGAACAATAGACCGCCAATGAGAGAGCATAAGGGGTCATTAGGTAAATTGTATTATGACACAACCAAAATCCTCTGGCCTGCCCCAGGCGATAAATAATGAGAGATCCTGGTAAAGGCGTTACAAATATTTTCAGTAGACATCTTAACGGCTCATTTCCAAATATGGCGAGCAGTAGGGCCGAGCATTAATAAACCAGTTTTGTCATGATTGAATGTTATATAAATCAGAGACACCTGAAACTACCAATTAACGCATTTCGACACGTTTTTGTTTTCATTTCTGAAAACCAGTCTTGGAAATGGTGATTTACAAAGCACAACTGCATTTTAATCAACTCATTCTTCCTTTGAAGAACTGTGTATTGGTTGAAAAATTATCGGCAGTCCTTTCGTGTCTCCATAATTAAGATTACAATCCAGGTGTACCCCTGCAGAGGAACGAGTGATTGCACCTCTTGTAATGAGGTTTGGAAATTTAGGAATGGAATGAACCAAAAGATACTTACACAACTGGTGTCAGACAATGCCAGATGTAGTAAATTGGGCCGTGTATCTTGGACAACGGTCGACCAAAGAAATTCACTCGGTGAAAGTGCCCGTAAGGTAGGTGTGGTAATTCTCCTCGCATTCGTTCTCCTTTGGCATTTTTCCATGGGACTCGCCAGTAAACTAGTGCAACCTTCAAACAATAAAATATATAGATAACTCAAGCGGGTAAAACTGAGTACACACTTACATAGCTTTTTATTAGGCGAGTGAAGATAAAAGCGTTAGGGCGAAGGCTTAGGAAACTTGAGGAACACTCCTCCTCTAGCGTGGAATAAAAGAGCCAGGCCATCTTCCTCTCGAGTCACAAGTTATGGTCTCCTATTCACGCACGGAATAAATGAGCCACGCGCCCACCCTTTCACCCCGCCACGCGTTCTTCCACGCGCGCCTCTCGCACGTATCTCGTTCCTGTGGCTCTCCTCGCTTTTTCACCGTCAGCCTGAAGTCGCTGAAAAACGTTGAAAAGAAATAATGTCTGTTTTGCTGACCAACTCTTAAATTTCCTCCGCTGCTTGTCAACATATTAAGCGTGACTGAGTTTCCTGTTTTGTTGTTTTTGCCAGCAATTTTCAAATCGTGATTTGAGATGAACTACTAATCTAAGGGACTTTAGGGTCGGAGGGTGTTCCTTTTCCCGTAAGGTCAAATGAAAAAATAATGACCTTTGATTATACTCACTTTCCAGTTATCCTCTTTGGTTTACAAACGGCTAAGCTATATATGCTAGGTAAAAGTGCTTTATTTTTTTTGAGGTTTGCCGCTCGCCGCAAATGACTTTATCTAATAAGGCATCATATCAAACTCTTTCCCCAGCGCGACGAACATTTGTTTTTCTCGGTTCCAGGTGTACGCGACCACTAACCCTACGTAATGCGCATGCTCTCCAATGCGAATTTTCAATATGGCGGATAGGTCAAAGAGGGAAATAAAAAAAGCAAAGCGATTTTGCAATAAATACTTAACATACACCCCCGTTAGAAAGACGAATCCACGATAGAGAGATACAAAACTGTATGATATTGAGGTCAGGGAGGTTGACAAAATCAACAAGAGAGGTTGAAAATTCATTACGTTGGCTATAGCACATGCTTCGATGAATGGACACCCTTCAGGGCCGATAGAGGATCTGGATATTTTCCGTTTGTTCACAGCCAAAAGCTGTTCATTCCCTCGGAAAACTCTCTAGAGGATAGAAAAGAATCGTCCCATGGCCAACTTGCTCGTGAAATAAAGAAAAAGCTTTGGTCTGGACGGCGAGAGGACCCTGATATAAACATAGACCTTAATGTTGACCAAGATATTTTCATGGAAGGTCTTGGGAGTGTTTTTCTCGGCGTTCTTCAAAGAGGGAAGATGGTTTACCAATTGGAGTCAAATAGGGTGCTTGATTCATATCTGGGGCTGAAGTGGGATGAAAGAATTTTAAATGTAGCTGAAGATTTTGCCTATGTAATTCCAGGAACTATTAAGTATTGGCTGGGACTAAGAAGTCCAATCATTGAATACAAGCTCATCGTTGTAGGTGTTCTTAACCCTTTCATAACCGGCTGCCTCCAGGAACTAAATCCTGTTTTTCTTCAGAAACAGTTGTTTGAGGGCATCAACCCCTTTGTGATTTGTGGATCTGAAGAAATCTTTAGAAGCTCTACTATTGTATTTTTCCAAGCCTTGCTGTGTGTAATATGCTATGTTCTGATAAAGTGACAGGAACTCTGGAACATGATAACATAGTGCATGCATGTAGGGAGTGACATCTTTTGCTTGGTAAACTTTGAGAAAGTGCTCAAACCATGATTTGATATTTCTTTGCAGTTCAAGAATACCCTCTTCAGATGTAAAATCTAGCTTCAAATCACCAATTATGTCCATAAATTTAGCCCAGATCACTTGTATGTCTTTGTTTTGACTGTAATGAGGGACAAGCATAGGTCGGAATGTTTATATTCTGAAAGAGTTTCAACTTTTCTGGTTCAGTAAGATCTCTATATTCCAGCTTTTTGCTCTCTTTGTTGATTCTAAAATTAAAAGTGATTCCCATACTTTTGATAAATTCTTCATAACATGCCATGTGTTTGTATTTATCCCTTGGGAATCCATCAGAGGTTTTTTTTCTCTCAATAGCATCACTTCTTCTCAGCTCTCTTATGAACAAGTCAATCAAAACATCTGAAATCCTCAGAAAAAAAATGTAATGTATCTATGATGACATGGTCCATAGGTATAAAATCAAATAATGGTTGTGCCTTACAGTTTAATTTCTTTCCAGTGGAAAACCTTGCTATTTCAGTGGCAGTTCTAGCACCAAATTAGAATAGTCATTTAACTTCTTCTCAGCTGGGCCTCTACCTTTTTTCCCATTTGTTATCACTTTTTTGGCCAACTGAATAAATTTTTTATCGTAGAAGGCCCCTTTCTTCTCAACTTTCTCGATAGCTTCTCGGGCTTTTTTATCCACTCGCAATCGCTTTGCCTTCTCCTGTACCAACGATTCTTCTAATTTAATTTTTTCTCCCCTCAACTGGCTGTTCTCATCTTTAAGCTGATGTACATTAACCTCGTTTTAATACACCTTAAATCGATACCGAGGGCCCGTTTCCAAATTGCTAAGAAGTGCATTTAATTGTCACGATTACTAGCTTTCTTGACAGCTTTCTGAAAACAGACTATTTTCTTTCTGAAGACTTCTGATATATGGCTATTGATTATTATACCTCGTATACCTGATTGCTCAAACACTTTGTTTACAATTATTGAAAGGACCGACTCATGGTTTTCTCTGAAAACTTCTTTGCTTTGAAATAGTATAGATTAGTAAGCTGAAACGAAAACTTAATTAGGGAAGTTTACGAAAAATCCAGCGAACAAGCTTAAAAAAGGCATTTATTTAGACTTCATACTGCGATGAACTTCGCAAATCTTACTTGTTTATCTCGTAAGTAAACAATGGCAGATTAATTCCCGAAGTGCTTTCTGAGTTTCCCGATCCCTCTCCTACTGCTTTCACGCTCACAAAACAGGAAAAAATCAAAAGGAGGAAGATACAGCTGTTTTGAAACGCCATTTGACGAGGGTAAATCTGCTTTTTGTTCGACACTTTACATATCAAAACAAAGGAAATTTGTTCCTCTTTTTGATTCTGGCGGTACATTTTTAAATTGCGCTCGCGTAAAAGGGATATCGCCCGAGACGCTTCGCTCGGTTGTGTTTTGAACAAAAACGCCTTGTTAATTTCACGTAACCGCTCGGAGAAAAGGTTAAAATGACGAGGGAAAAACTTTACCTTCAAGTTAGAAAATTAGCGAAATAGGAAGCCAAAATATTATAGTTTAATATTTCAGAGGTACATTGAGTGCTTTTTCCGTAGAGAATCCGCACGATGGTAAAATGTTCGAAAATTACACTCGATTTGAGTGGGGCGTTGAAGTGGGCGTGGTCACTATATTCATGTGAAGACTATTTGTACCCCATGAGTTTGATATGTATTAATAAATAGTATCGCATTTCAATCAACGCAAAGCGTTATGACGCTCGCCAACACTTTTTGTTGAGAACGTTCATTGAAACATTCGTTCCATAAAACTGGTTAAGCTTTTGTCAAAAAGCGAATTTTAGAGAATAGAAAAACACGGATATTTCGGGTAATGTTTGATAATATTCGGAAAATCTTCGGAGTTTTTTTAGAAGTATTTGTAAAAATCTTGGGTGTATCAACGGTGCCGATTAATCACTTTAAATAACAAAATTACTTCATTTGAATGAAAAACAAAAACAGACTTTCGGATAATCTTCGGAAATTTCTAGGAAAATTTTCGGAAGTTTTCGAAAATATTCGGAGTCTTAAATTCAGCCGGAATTCCGGATTCCGGGTTTTTTCAGCTTACTACAAATTTCGCGTCGCCTCTAGTCGTGTCAAGTCGGCTCCTGAGAATATTTTGTTCCTACGATTCTTTGCACAGAAACGGGATCACGGCGCGCATGACCTCTATGAAAGACGTTTATTTTAACATCGATCTATTTTGATTTAATCCCCCAAGTTTTAGACGACGTAATTCATTTCGAGATTAACGAAAAGTTGTCTTTAAAATTATGCACAGAGAAACTTTCGTGCCCCCCAGTTAGAAAGTCTGTGAACCGTACGTTATGGACTCTCCTGTTCTACCCAAGCTGTGTATCAAAACATTTTGTCGGACAGTGATTGTTTGGCAGTGATTATTATTGGAGGAATCAAGAAAATAAAATACACGAGGTACCTTCACTAGTGATAATAAATACTTACCTGAATACTTCGATACAAAAGTGACCGCGTGAGAAACAGTATTACAAGCAAAGAGGTGACTAAACCAAGTGCTTTCCATTCTTCGAGCATTTTGAAATCCTGCACAAATGCACGCGATTGTGATTGTCTTTTAGTTAGTGCAATCTTAGGCCGAGAGTTGGAAATTTTGCAATTCCGAGATTTATAACCTGTAGGAGCTCTCAAATTCTCTAAAGGACCATCGCTTGCGATGTCTTTTCAGCAAAACTGTTGTGCAAAAAGGAATCATTCGCTTCTTAATTTCAATAGCCACGTCATCCGAGTTTCCCGGAAATTTATCCACCGGAACTTTTAGAGAACTCGTGACTTCTAAATCATCAGGTTCTTTCATTTTTTTTGTTTGTTGTTTGTTTCGTTGTGCAGGTTCAGACAGATCGATACTTATAATCATTTCCGAAAATAAACTGATTACTAAGAAATGGCACCAAATCGGTTTTAAATGTGGAGGCTGGCGGATACCGAGCGGAACGTTCCATCGAAGCCGAGGGCAGTACTTGACGAGCACAGAGTGCACGACATATCAACGCCGGCATTCAATTATGAGCATTTCTCAGGCTGTTCTAAACGGTGAAAAATATCAGCTTCAAAAAAGAACTGTGATTCTTGGTATCAGCCCTGGCAATCCGCATTATTACAAGATAGAAACCCTCGAACGGTTGTTCGATTTAGCCGGAAGGACCTCGGAAAAGGTGAGTTTATTTTATATGATCCATCTGAGAGAATTACTTTTGGAGTATGTCTCGTCAACACGGATGAATTAACGAAACGCCTCTCTAAGAATCATCCCTTTTTTTGCAGGTCTTTCTTTTTATTCCGGACAAAATATCCGAACACAACTATCGTGCTGTAGGTTCCAAGAACCCCGAGAAGTCCGCGCGTATCAAATGCAATCGCCTGCGAAACAAATGCAATGAAGCCATCCAAAGTAGCGGCCTTCGCGATGTGTCCCACAGCTTCATAAGGTGGACAGAGGAGGTGGAAAGCTGTCATGAATACAAAAAGGCCTTAGAGAACATCAAAAACCTGTACGAAGTGAATGATGACTTTCACAACGACGTTAGACAATCTACCGTGGTGGCATTAAGATGTCTCAAAAACGGCCGTGAAAGGGGAGGTTCTGATAATGAAAACAAATCAGCTGAGGCCGACAGTAACGTAGACTTGGACGAAGGGGTGCAGTATCTTCTGAAAGAGCTCGCTTTCTTTTTAGCAGTGCCGAACATTTATAAAGATTGCAATAATTTTGTTTTTGTGTATCATCGTCCCTGGCCAGTTTTAGAAAGGTTCTTTGGTGGGTTTTATGATGGTGTTGAAAAGCCATCTTTAGGTTTTGTCGTTTTTGAATGACATACCTTAGATATAAGCCATCAAGTCGAGGACAGCATTAAATAATGTTTAAGATAAGAATAGACACAAAGTTACTGGAAAAAAAAAACGCAATTGACCCGTAGTCGATCAGTAATGAAAATGAATGTAGATCTTTTGAAAATTATGATATCTGGAATGTCTGCACACATTAATACAACATTGTAAAAAGCTGTCACAAGATTTGTTGCTAACAACCAATAAATTACCTGCACCACATTCAAGATGTGTTGTCTCGCTGACTCAATGTATCGATTGCTCAGTCCCTGACACCTTTGTCGGCACAAGCGGTTATCTACTACCTTTAAAATGCATCACCAACGATATGAAATAGAACTGTGTTCTTCGCGAATTGATAATGTAGCGAGTTTGATAAACTAGTTATCACGAAACGAGAAATTTTAAGAATTAAATAACAGAAAATCCTAGGACCGTTCGCTTAACATTTCAACTGGCACTTAACTCCTGTTTTTAAAAACCTTTTGAGCCTCGGCACAGTTCATTCTGAAATAGACCGTTTTAGGAAACTGAAATGGAAATATAAATTTCCGGTTTTAGACATGAGAAGAGCGAGCAAGATGAAAAGATCTCGATGGTATTAAACAGAATTATGTTACTCGTTGAAAAGAGCACAAAAGAGAAACTATTCCGTCTGTTTAATCAGCATTTTTCACATTCAATATTTCCAAAACGGATGGAAAATAAAAATACCGATTCGTTTCACCAGAGCTCTGCAAAAACTGAAAGGGGTTTCCACCACGGATTCAGCTTTCCTTGATTTATATTTCCCCGAGAATATAACATCACAGCACTTAAGATTTGCGTCACTTGGAGTTGTCTTTGAGTAAAATAAAACAGAACATCGTGAAAAAAAGTGAAAAAATTTTAATGGTCGCTCCAAGGTAGAAAAGAAGCAAGAATGAAACAATAAGGAGCCAAGAGATAGCGAAGGATTAAAGGTGATGAAACAGAAGAAGCACAACTTATTCCATCAGATCTGGAACGATGCTGGAACGGAAGTCTCTGCCATAATAATTATTGCGTCATACTTCTCGGAAAACTCCCACGCAGCTAATAGCAGTTACTTTGTTTGAAAATACGTACCCCGGGGGCTATGTGTATAGCCCATTTCCACGAAATTTACTCGAACTTTGACCACATTTAACAGCTTAAAAATGAAACATGTCAAATCACGTAATTCCGAGAACGATTCCAGCTAAGTAAATAATACCTCAATTTATTTTATTCTCGCACATTACCGGATTCACCTCTGCACATAACCAGGACGCGAATCGTGGTTTCTGTTCGAAATTAGAGACTGTGCAGCTGTTAACGGAACAGAGTAAGTATGGAAATTCCCTGGAAGCTCTACCTCTCTTGCTGGTTCCTTGGCGCCGCGGTTCAAAGCGCGGTGTTTTTTACCTTCAATGCAGCGGATTATTTCAATTACTTTTTCCCAGATCAGTACAAACCTGAAGTCTACTTAGGAGTCACCGTCGGCGTTGGTGCAAGCTTGGGTGCGGTTTTGACGGTATTTTTTCAACCCAAAAGAAGCCATCTGACTGTACTTGTTGTCACGCTAACAGTTTCTGCGATTCTCCTGGTAATAGAAGTAGTCGTTACTCCATTGAACGCAAACGCTTTATCTAATCCAGCTCGTTTTGGTTCAGTGATTGCCGTTGTCTTTGTGGCAACCGTTGTTCAAAACGTCGGCGGTGGGGCTCTGTACGGCTTCGTTGGAAAGCATTTTCCGAAATTTGGAATTCACGCGGCACAGTCCGGCGGTGTCTGCGCTTTCGCGGCGACGTTTATCATCAGGTGCATCTCCAAAGGGTCGTTTGAACATCTTCGAGACAGAGATCAAGGTTTTCGTCTCAGCGGATATTTATTCGTCGCGTTGGTGGATCTGATAATTCTTATAGCGTGCTGTCTCATCGCCATCTTGAGGGCGCAAGTTAACTCAAATGCGTATGCGCAAGCAGGACGTTTAAACACCTCCTATGATAACAAAGAGCAGCAGCCTTTGCTCCGCAGCGATGATTACAGCGACGTCTCCCGGAAAAGAGTGATCAGAAATAACTGGGCTGCACTTGCAACGGTTTGCCTGACTCTTGTGATATCTAACGCTTTATTCCCGGGAATCACTTCTCAGTTCCACGGGAATTACAACTGTTCGTCTTCTCACAACATCACCACCTTGTCATCTGATAATCCTACAACCCCCGTTTCACCGAGCAGCGCATCAAAGTCTAGCGACCAGACGGGCTGGTTTATTGTCATTCTCTTCGGCTGTTACTCGGTTGCAGACGCTATTGGAAAAAACCTGCCAATATTCGGAATCTTCTACAACAAGAAATCGATTCTTGGCAATTGCTTGGTTCAGCTTGTTATTGCTATACCGATCCTGCTTATTTACTTCGAGCCATGTGATCGCAAACTGCAAGCTGATTGGGTGGCTTATCTTACAGTTGGTTTGCTCGGACTGGTCAATGGCTACGGACTGTGCGCTGCCATGATGCTATTGGCCCCAGGACAAGTGGGAAAGAAGCAAGAAGAGGGCCTGGCGACCAGTATCGGCTATATGTTTTTACAAGTCGGAATTCTTCTCGGCATGGGAGTTTCTGTGTTTCTCGTGGATTACGTGTTCGAAATAACCAAACACTGAAAGCGAAAAACCGAACACACGGGTAACAAGTAAGCATCCGTCTCGCTGTTGCGCGCGTGATGTCTCATTTGCACGCGTAATGTAATTTGAAAAGAATAACCTTGTATAGTTACTGGTTTAAAAATAACTCTACAGAAATGGTACTACTCATGTTCTTTTTCTTTCTTGGCCAACGACTTCTTCACCCTGTGATCATTACTTAATCAAGGAATAAACACAGCAACTAAACACACTTGTGTCTTGAGTTTAATAGCACCAAAAATAAACCCCTTACATAATAGGCAAAGTCGTAATACAGAGGTTATTTTCTAAGTAATTTCTCATGTAAGAGGATTGCGCACGGGCATGAAAGTGCCTTCCACCCGCAGCACCCCTCCTTCCTTCCCAGCACCCCTCCTTCCTTCCCTCCCTGAAGTTAGCGAAAATGAAAAACCTTGGACTGCCTTGATATCAATGGACGCGGAAAGAAAAATTGTTAGCAACAAAACGCAAAGCCAAATAATTATCTAGACTTTTCCAACGAACTAAAGTCATACGCGTTAATACTAATGGTTTCTTTGTGTTAGAGAGCATTTTAATCTTCTCTAACGCTAAAAGCACTTGTCCGTAAGTTAGACGTGATTTTCTCCTGACATTCAGTGGTGTTTTTGCGCTCCTAATTCAGCCACTTATCAACTGCAAAATTTTCTTTCTGAGAACAACTTGGACAAGTAAATTTTAAGATGTAGACTGCTACGCATACATGTATAGAACTAAGAATTCGTAAATGATTCTGTACGAATTTGCTGCTTTCAATGTTGTAACGAACGCTTGGGTATGAAAATACCATCGAAATTGGTTCCTTAATAAATATGTGGTAAATATACACCGTATGAATACCTCAAAAAAAGACGCCGGCTCAGCGGTAAATGCAAGTCACGTGATGACCATCTAATGGCCAGTCCCGATTGTGCTCGGTAAATTATGAGCAACTCTTAGCGTTTGGAACCACTCTTTGCGATTCTAGTAACTCTGAGAAATTCTTGTATTTCTGACCAATTTTTAGGCGGAATGTAGGTTTAGAATAACATATCAAGCACGAAAAACGTCGACGACTTCATAGAAATTTCAATGTCTGCAAATTTTTTTGAACTTTTATTAACCTTTGGAACAAATAACCTGTCACTTGAGAACGTTTCGTTTGGTAAGACGCCATATGAATCACGTGTTTGTTCCGTTAGCCTGATGAATATCCTGAAATTTCGCCCGTATTTACGACCTAAGTTTCATACTATTTTGCTTGACTGATGTTGGCAATTATTGCGAAAAAAAAAAAGAAAACCATTAATTAATGTTTACATAAAAATATCAACAAATTCACGCAGCAACTTTGAAATTTGGGCAGCAACTTTTGGATTTTTGACAATTTTAAAGCAACTTTAAGGCATTCCAGCGACCAACTTTCCAGCATTTTACAAGCACAATCGGGACAAGCCTAACCACCAAGGATAACAACGAAGTGTATTCCGCGCATAATCGAGCAATCAGAAAAGAGAATTTGAAAGTGACATTGGATGGTTTATCATATGCGGCCGACTATCGTAAGCTAAGAAATTCTTTTAGGTGTAAAATTCTACCTCCAAAATAAAGTTCTACTATATTAACTCTTTCGTCGAGCAATAAAAAGTGCTCAAACTTTATAACCTACATAAAAGTTTGAACTAATATTTGCACATATACCATTCGACAGTCTTCAGCCCCGCCAATATTTCCATCCAAATAAAGCTTTTACGAAACCCGCCCTTGACTCGTTGCTAAGCTACGACGCTGATAACAACGGACGCAGGCTCCTTTACCCAAGATACTTTATGGTACCTATTGTTGCTTGAGGTTTTCTTGGGATTCTACATTATTGTCTTTTTGTTGTTCTTTAAGCAAGAGTTTTTCTTCCTTTGTTTCCATAGACTCCTGTTTATCCTCAGCCGTCTCTTTGTCAACTTTTTGCGGTATCGTTTCTATTTTTTCCTGATTTTCCTCCCTGGAGTGTTTCTTCTCCTGTTTCTTGAGTTCCTCCTCCATTGTCTTGCCCATGTGGGTGTAGTAATTAAGAGCCTTGCGAACCGGCGCGATTAGCGGCTCCTGAAAAAAACCAAACGCCTTCCTTTAAGAATACGAATAATGATCTTTGCTCTTAATTTCAGACCACATTTTCGATTCTAAGCCTTGTATGCAAGTATACTCAGCTGACCACTCCCCCAATGAGGCTTTTCACGGCTAAAACGAACAAATTGGACACAAAAATTGTATATAAACAAATTGCTTTCAAAGGAAGCAGATCAGCAAGAGGCAGACCAGTTGCTTAACCAGTAACCACCTTGCGTTAATCAGTGGTAAATAAATGATATGCTTCTGGCCAATCAAATTCGATCACTATCCATTCACGACTGAAAATTTTCCCGTGCTCAGAGGAGCCTACCATGTACAACGCGTTTTAGCTTTCCCGCGCTTTAGCTTTCCCACGCTTTAGAAGCGACAGGATATATTTGTTTCACTTCCTCAGTAAGTGAAACCGGTTATTAATCTCTGTAAGGTAAAGTCCATGGAAAAGAAAAACAAAAAAATATGTTACCTCTAAAACAGGAAAGAGTTGTCCAAGAGCCTCAAACAATGGTATCAGAACAAATCGGATAAAGCCTATCTGAGCGGACGGTTTAGTGACCTGCAACAGTCCAAACAAAACTGGTAACGTGAATGTAGCAAAGCAAATGAAAGTTTTCGGGTTCCCGAAAGGCAACTAATACATACACCGCACCTCTTAGTGCGACAATATTGCGAGCTGGTTTGCAATCTGGTGCGGCGTATTATAGAGGGAAACCTTGTCCAATACAGATCATTTTTATGAAAATGCACTTCAACTACTTCAAGAAAGATAACCTTGTCTCTGTCCATGAATGGTGCCACTGGCAATCCCTCAAGCTTTTCAACATCACTCTAACAAAGGAAAAAAAAAAAAAGAAATTGTTTGGGTAGCCGTAACCTTCCACATCCAAAGTGCTCATTAAGATCTCTGCTCTTTACACGCTAACTGGCGATACGTATTCCCGAGCTTTTAACAGGCACAAAGTTCAAATTTTTCCCAGGCTGTCCTTACGTTACAAATTTCCCCACGCTTTTAACTGGTTCATGGTGAAATGTATTCCCCCTCCTTCCCTCGCGCTATCTAACGAGCTCTATTCTTTGTTTTCACCTACGCTTTTTCAGGTTACACGTTCTCCTGCGGTTTCATCGCAGTATCTCAGCGTTTTCCAGCTACAAGTTTTCGCGCACTTTATAACCAATTCATGTTTTTCAGCGCTGTCTGCACGCTGTTAATTTTCCCGCCCTTTTGATGGTGTTGTGCCAATATTTTGGCACGTTTTCCCGCTCTTTCTTTCTGATACGCACTTCAGTTAAAAACCTTTTTGCCGCCGGAACCATTTATATTAAAAAACAAGAAGTACCGTCTTTCTTACATTTTTATTAAACCAACCTGAATAAAAAACTCTTGTAAGAGGCAATCCAGCCATGGCTCAGCAACCTCCATTGGTCGAGCCTCATTAGAGACGTCTGATACCTTGATCATAATCTGCATTAACTGCAATAAACATAGAAAATAAATTAGTCAAGGCGCCCGGCGAAAGGCACCAAGACTCTCGAGCTGTCTTTTTCTGCTTTCTTTTACTACTCCGATTTTCAGTACACAATTCCACTTACATCTAAGCTTATTTCATTCTGAGTAACTCTGGTGAATCTCTTAGGCTCTCACACTCTGATTCTCACAGGATACTTCTTTAATTGCGGAATTCTGACTCTATTCTACAGCACACTCTCTACATTCTTCTATTCCTCTCTTTCTTCTATTCTCTTTCTCTCTTCTCCCCACTCTCTGCTACGTAAACTCTAAGGAACATGCTTATATATTCACTAATGACTGATATGGGTGGGCATGCCAGCTGGCTAACCTTTGGAGATCAAACATCCGTTGTTAGAACGCTAAACCAAACAATTTCAAGAGACTTTCGATCTGAACAACAAAGTACTTGAGCGTAATGCTTCCGATCAACTGAGTCAACCTCTGACTGCGTTAGTCAAAACAAGAACTTTTGCGTGGGTCCAAAGCAAGGTCAGGAAACAAACTAAGCACGTCCACTTGATGCAGTTAGAAAAGGCTGTCACAATTCGGAAACTCGTCACGACAGCTCAAACCTAAATAACTTCGGAATTTGGACACTTTCTAAACCATAAATCAAATCATACTGAACTGACTACAACCAACAGACCAACTGATTATAAAATAACTAAACGCTTCATAACAGAATCAATACATTGACTGCAACAACATAAAGGAAAAATTGCTAATTTGAAATTTTTTTCTCAGAAGCCACCTTTCCACTTTTCCATACTAACGGTTTTCTTCGTTCATAAAACCACGTCTTTAGTCGCGCGTAATAAGGGTATGAATATATTAGTTGTAGCTGTTGTGCTGTCAATATTTAAAGGTAATAGAACTGAGTTGAGTCCAATTCGGTCTGTAATATACGAGTGATAACAAAATCGGACGACCGCGCAGCGGGAGCCTGATTTGTTCATCACGAGTATGATTACAGACTAAATTGGACGACACGACGACTTATTGCCAATTAATCATAAAAATTACAATTTCCGAGAAAAGAAGAAGAACCAAGTTATGAAAAAAAGGGAAAATTTGCATTAAAAGACAAACAAAGGAGGCGTAAATTGTTTAATGTCGCTCTGGAATTGACCACAATGAAAATGACTGTGATCGGTTGATTTAAACTAAACTTTGAATGTGATTGGCTTATTTGAACAGTGCTATAACAAATTGTCCCAAAACAACTTGGCAAGGGGAAAATAGGAGGTTTTTCAAAACCAATCACAATCAATGACATTGTAATTTTTTTTAATGATTAACCATGTTACTGTTTAAAAATGTCTTCTTACCATGGACTTGTGAGCTTCGTTTTCAAAGTTAAAACCATCAGCCAGCATATCTTTGAATTTATTCAAGATTTCGTTATGTCTTGCCATATCCGTTGACAAAATACATCTACAAAGCATTGTAAAAACGATAACACATTACAAATGGAACAAAATCGTCAGCAAGTGCTGTGGTTTTCATGAACAGAAAGAAAAGATGTACATAAAAATGGAGATAAGTTTTTCAATTGACTACGGCAATGCTTACTTGATCACTCCTTCCCGGAATTTCTTGAAAACATCTTGGCCGATATTCTTGAAGATATCACAATGAGGCTATAAAGAATATAAAATGACGAATTTTAAGGGCCGGTTATTTACACGAGGTCTAACCCACACCGTGGTTTTACGCAATCGGTGGGCCTCGAGTTTTTTCTATAAGAGGGTTGATTGAATCAAATAAATGTCCTACTACTGTTAGCTTTCGGCCCTCTTGACACAGTTCACTAAATATATCAATATTCAGATAAAAGGTTCAGCCAAATTGAGGATTGGTTAGGACGCGGTTTTGTTAAACAACGGCTAAACTTTGTTTTAATAACTGGCCCCTAAGCCATTTCCAGACTTAAAGTGATGATTGCACCATTACACTGAAGAATAGCAAGCACAAAATGTAAAGAGATAGAAAGAACTGAAAATAACCTATAAAGGAAAATAAACTATTCTCCTGTACAGAATCAGCTGTAGTCGAGGCTTAAAAAGTTATAAGTGAGTGGTAATAGAAACAGGTTTGTCTTGTTTCCCTACTATTTAAGAAAGTTGGGAACGAACGGGGAGGGGGGGGCAAATTCTAGAGGAGCACTTGTTTGACATTATGACTTAAGAGTTGTGGCCTTATTTGGGGAAGAGTGCCTATGCCAGAAAATACGATATCTGAAATTCATATTTTCTCCAAAAGATAACTCCTGTCCACATTCATTCCTTTACCTGAGATATGATGTCAAATGCCACAGCGCAGTGATGGTTTTCCAATGGCGAGATATCGTTGTATCGTATGGCCAGCTCTGTTCTGGCATTGACCTGAACAAAATTAAGAAATTCATCAGACATGCTGTTGGTTGCTGTAAAAGAGCAAAGATGTATTGGGCTTTCAAATCCTTTCTCTATATTACAAATGGCTTGCACAGATGTCATAGGCAGCTATTATCATGAAAAAGGCCATACAAATTAAAAAAAAAATACCCTTAAACAGAATTGGCCATCAATGGGTTACCCCAGGATGGGGAATGGAGGGGAGGGTGGTGACCCCAGGGGAATTTGACATTTCCCACCATTTGGTTCCCATCATATAGCACAATTCTACCCCAGGGACTAGAATGTTGTAAATCAATTTCAACAAACAAAAATTAAACTTTCTTTAGATTTTCTCATTTCAAGATGACGGCCAGGTAAAGTTTCCGACCAAGAGGCAGTGCAGAAATGTCAAGAGAGGGTCTTTTTAGTAAATTTCCAGTGAGTTACTCTCCCCTCCTCCTCCTAGGCCAAACAGATGATAGGTGCATAATTCACGCACCAAGTTTTAGTGTCCCCACCTGATATGCATTGTTATAGCCTGGGTGGTCCAGGTCATGACACAAAGCAGATGTCAGCATCACAAGAACATCAACATTTTGAACCTTGCCTGGGATTTGCGTCAACCATATTAAGCCATACATCTGAAACAACAATGGCAATGCATAAACCTCACTATGTAACCCAGTGTTTCTCCACATCACAACTTCCTTAGATGTGAAAGACAAAGAGAATTAAATTTCTGCATCTTTTCTTACCATCTGTGTCACACAGAAAGCATGGCGGAAGTTATGAAAAGGTGTAGCATTGTAATTCCTGAAAACTTCAAACAAGAAGTTTTGAAGGAGGGGAATCTAGAAAAAAAAAAGAGCAAACATTTATGAGTAACACTGTCTCTCATAAACAAAATATGCCTCGGCTCCAAAAAAGTTCTCTCTTATTCTCTATTTTGAAAATTCATCAACAATCTAAGAGGCTTTACATATACAAAACATCAAAGAAACTTAATTGAATTCACAACTGTTCTGGACACTTACAAATGTAAATACTGAGATTGATGTTGTTTAAAATAAAGTCACCTTAGGTAATATTACCTCAATGTTAAATATTTCTGTCAAGTTTAAGTCTTTGTACATCTGTTGAAGCAGATATAACATCTCTGCATCCTCCCATTGCCTACAGGAAAAAAAACAGAAATGTATGATCTTGAACCACTAAGGGCAATATTTTTATATGTACACTGGAAAAATTAATTCTAAAAAAGCTGTCTTATAGCCACAATTTATTCTAGTAGAAGTCTGACATTCTTGTAACGCCTTGTGTTATGTGTTACATGCTGTACTTTAGTTATAAACCTGTAGTTACATTAAAATTACTTAATGTGCTTGATATATGTGCAGCTGTGAAAGTTCACAATTTCCTACCAATTGTCAAAAGAAGGCTTCCTTAAAAGGTTTCTTGTTTCATCAGTAAGTTCTGCATTCCTGTAAAAAATGGGAAAAAGTCCAACATGTATTTATGTGCATACACAGTACATTTATACAGTTATAATCTTGATATGATATTAACTATTTAACAAATGAATTCCATGTTGCCTTGGGTCTACACAGTCATAAAAATGTGGCAAGGACATTTAGTGACACACTTTCTGCCACTGTTTTGGTTTCACCACATTTTGATGTCATCTGTGATCTATTACAGTAACTGAACAGACCCACCTGTAAAAGTAACTATTTCTTTTCTATCTGATCATGAAAAAAAGCAAATACTTTTCATGGTGACATCATCTATTCATCTGCTCTCTAGTATATCATGTAGAAGAACTGATCAAAATGTGTTTATAACTCAACTTATTGTATAGTACAAGATTAACACTTACGACATTTTTTTAAATTTCTCAAGCACAGAATTCAGTTCAGTGGAAGTTCTTCTTCGTAAACTGTGTTTCTCAGATGATGGTCTCTTGGAAGTACCACTAAAATTGAGCAAAAGCAATCAGTTTATCAGTTCCTTGTGTATTTCTCTCAGAAATAAATGTATTAGTAAAGAAATCATTTATATGTTCTAACTTAATTTTACCTTGACATTTCCTTAAACAGGCCTAACCAGCTAAGGTGTTCAACACTCTACATGGATGAGAAAAAACATATTTTTATGCTCAATTTAAAAACAAAGATAATATAAGTTTATAACCATTCATTTAACTCCCAGAGGGGATCAGCATGTAACCTCTCCTTACAAAATCCACACATCATCCTGCAAACAGTTTATGAGAATACTTAAACTCATCAGGACGATATTGTCATCTTGATCCAATACCAAATTCTTGTAACTAATTTACAAGGGAATGTGTAGAAGCTAGTGGGGAGAATTAACTGTAATCAGATCTTGTATGAAAGGGCTATTTTAACAGGTAAAATTTCCTTTATTTTCTGTTGATAGTGACATTCTTTTAATCAGCAGAAAATTTAATACAAACCTCAAGCTTTTCTTTGAAGGAATCAACTTTCAGTTTTATATCTTTAACAACTGAAGACGCTTCTCCATTCTCTAAGATGAAACTCTTTTCCAATGCTTGAAGCCTGATACAATGAAACAGAAAAAAGGCCCATGAAATAAGTAACACAGATGTATGAAATACAGCATTAATTGTCAGGAAAGCAGAAGCAAAAACATTTTTAATTTCCAAGCTTTTAGAAGCTACTGTAACAACATTTAAATAAATAAAAATAAACTAATACCCAAGAAATGCATGAGAAAGAAACATGGAGGATAAATTTTCTTGAATGCACAAGGTATAGAAATGACTGTGACAAGATTTCCTACAAATCATTTTCCCTATTTTTTTTAATGAGCTAGAAGCATTGAAGTTATTAGAAAGTGCTCTCCCTGCATAGCTTTATACATTTAACTCTTTAAACACAAGTGATCAAGACAGAATTTCTCCTAACAATATCAATACAATATCAAGCAGACAAGTGATGAGAATAAAGAAAAAAATCAATTAAGGGGGATTATAGGGTGATCCAGTGCCAAATCCTCCAAACTAACATCAAAAGAATTGTATGGCAGACAGTAAGGAGTATACTAAATTAAATGAGATCTTGGGAGTTCAAGTAATTATTAGGTTAACCCTTTATACTCTAACATCAGTAAAGGTATTCTCCATACTGTTCTCTATACATTCTCTAAGGTGCTGACAAAGAGAATTTGCGTAACAATCAACAACTTGTTTAGCTGCTGATAATTTTCTTTATTCTCATGACCTTACTTTACATTACCTTAGTCACTCTTAAGGGTTAACCCTTTCACTCCCAAGATCTGATTAGTAATTCTCCTTACTATCTGCCATACAATTCTTATGATGTTAGTTCAGAGAATTTGGTATTGGATCAACAAATAATCCCATAATTGATATTCTTCTCTATTCTCATCACCTGCCTGCTTGATATTGTATTGATATTGTAAGGAGAAATTCTGTCTTGGTCACTTGTGGGAGTGAAAGGGTTAAAGGGTTAAGTCTAGTTACCTTGCTTCTACAGCTTCTAGCGAACATCCTGACTCTGAATCTGGGGGAAAAAAAAATCATGCATTGGAGTGCTTACAGTTTACAAAATTTACCCACACTGTTCAAATTGTTATTTAAAAGGGAACAATTCGGTCTACATATACCAAGGAGAGGGATCAATGTGAAACAGGGCTGTACTCTACCAGAGCCTGGTTGCCAAAAGTGACTATCTTTGCCACTGGGTGACCTGTGTAGCTTTGCTATTATGCAGACTTTCAAGAACTTTGGACATCTTAGATTTCTATGAACAGAGTCTCAGGGCACCCAGTCTCCCTTCTAAGAGAATAACTTTGCAGAAATCTCCAAAAAGAGTGTAAAGTGGGTTCAAGTTGAAAATTTTGAAAGCAACTTGCAAGTTATAGAATGGAACTGTCTCTTTCTCAGTCCTTTCATTTTGCTTCTAATGTTAAAAAAAACAAAAGGACAATTGAACTCAGTAACAAAAAAGAAACTTCACTGCAGTATTTAGACCTTTGATTTTAACACTTGGCAACAACAAAGTTGTTTTCTATTCATTGTGTTCAGCAGGGTTTATGCTATCTTTCCCTCAGATTTTCTCCATTTATTTGTATTTATTCAATGTGATTCCCATTGGGAATGAGTTTTATTTACATATGACAGTAATTTGTATGTTTCACAAAGGGCTTTTCGGTAAGAGTATTTTGATTCAAGATTGTATGTTTTAAATACTCAGGCTTACTTATTACTTGGAATATTACCATAACAATAGACAGTTTATAAGCTCCCATAACACACAGATGCAATCTCAAAGACATGGTCTGTTGTAAAGACACATTATGAAATCCAAAGTATCCTAGATGAAAAGGCTGTTCACAAATTTTTTATCTGAATGAGAAATTTCAAAAATTTTCTGATGATCTCAGAATATGTTCTTCTCTTGTCAAGGAGCTGATAATGACTTCACCAAGTGATTGTTGACCTTTTAAGAGCCTATATGGTTACCAAAGACATTCCATTCTTACTACAGTAAACAATAAACAAAATGCCTAACCATTGTGGGGATAAAATTTTGTAATTAGTACTTCATGTTCAAAATCACCAACAAAGTTGCCAAAAGTAATTTAGACATGTAAGTATAAATTTTCTTCATAAATTCTGTGAATTGGAGATGGCATCAACAATGCATTCTTAAATACTACCTTGCTGACATATGGTAAACAGTCAACTGCAGTATTTATTAGAATTTTTTGTTTTAAAATTGGCAGTTCGTGCAATTTTCTCTAATTGTTACCAAGACAACACAGCTTAGGACAATATGCCAAACCTAATCTAATCAATTAGCTGTGCATTATACAACTACAAGCTTTTAGGCAATCAGACATGTTTTAAGTAATATGCAAATTCCACAACCATTCGATGATAGCTTGAATAATGCCTCTCCATGTGTTTTAATTTTAGATCTCTATCAAGTAATCGCTTTTAGCTGTCGAGCGTATTGAAAAAAAGAAAATTAAATGTTCACACATACCTGTCAGGGACAATTGTATTTCCGAACGTCAGAAATAATTAATAAGGTAAAAGTTACCGACGAAAAAAAAAAAAAAAAAGAAGATATTTTCGCTCTTAACATTAAGACAATTTTAAGGCTTTCGTCTTTATTTACGTCTCAAAAAATAAATTGCTCTTCCAGGTGTTTGAAAACTACTAGAGAGATAAAAGGCCTGAAACAGAACTCGAATTGTTACGGTGAAAGATTTGTCAAAATAAATGTTGACTTAAGCCAATTTCGTTGCATGCCAAGTTCGCTTGAAGTGCAATATTACCTTGTCTGGTTCCGATCGAGCGTGCCAGGTCAGATCAAATTGATACGATACGCTCAATCCGTCTTCTTTGTCATTTTCGATGAATTTGTGCTTATCGATCAACAAAGAAAATTGATTAGCGTTGCGACAGTATATGAGGCGAATTTAGCTCCACTGCGTTGCATAAACTTCATACTAGCTGTTTCGGTGAAAAAACCAAGAGTCAAAAATGTAACTCAATATTTACAAAATTTAGATGGCGTGCGCTATGCAGAGAGCGAAAAATATTCCCGAAAGACATTTTTTAATTGGAACTACTAAACGCCACATAAACTTAAATGCATCGTGTATTTGTTGGGCAGATTGTCAAATAAAATACAAGATACCACGTAATAGCATGCTCGCTGAAAAGCAGCAGGGTTCTGTCACTAATAGCCGCGAGAAATACAAATTTGCTATTTAAGATTTGCGTCATAACAACCGACAGCCTACTCATTTCTTAAGCCATAACAATTAAAACAGCTTGAAGGAAAAAATATTACCGCAAAACCCGCAGCTTGCACAATTCGCTGCGACAACTTCCAGGCGATAGCGCGAATCTGGTGTGTTTTCTTGAAGGGAAGGCGAGATATTTACTATATTTCCTTTCGTGTTGTAGAGTTTCAGAATATCATACGGGCCAGCTTCCGCTGCACAACGAAACAAGTCTGAAAAATACAATGAAAAATCCAAAACATAAGCGGAAAAACAAAGCGAGCAATAAAAAAGCAAAACCGAGAACGCACTGGCGCGTTCGTGATAAGGTTGCCACGGGTAAATAGAGATCTGTCAACTGAACAAGGAGATAAATTCGTCCATAAAAATTCTGCTTTCAATATCAGTCGAAGGTAAAAAGGTGGTTAAAATAGTCTCAATGAATGAAACGAAACCTAGAAAGTAGAGATGTTCGTAACAAAATAACCCTAAGAACACAAGGGTCTTGATAATAATCCGACAAAAGAGGGCAATCAAGCTGGACATGTAAACACTTTGAAATTCTACCTTTGATTTCATCCACGGGGAAATCGGTCGCGAATTCCGCCTGTTCGGGCTTTCCTCCCACAGTGAAATAAACCACTTTAGTGGTCATTTTCTCTAAAATCAGGTCATTGAGCAAATTTCATGTTCTTAGACCACATCGCATCTTTATGGACGGTATAAACATGAGAAAGTCGTGATAATTTAGGGGCATTTCAATACCACATCAGCATGCAGAGTGTAACCCACTACCCCGTCCAGCCCCCTGTCACTTCCTTCTGATTACATCCGGGAAACCATCTAATCCGTTTCCGGTCAGCGGTACTAATGACAAATTGAAAGAACTGTGTTCTTTATGGTCAGCTGATTGCTCATCAAAACAAATATGGCGGACGAAATGCCTGTATTGAGCTTAATTTGAAAGTTTTTGACAATTTAAAAAAAGAGAGAAACCCGTGTTGGATCCAGAATGATTGAGATTTTTTGAGATTATTGTTTTCTTAAATTTCGATCGAAATACTTCGTATCGAAAATGTTTTCTGGATGGAAAAAGACAGGGGTTGTAGGTGAGTTTATTTTATTTTGTGAATAACCTTTCATAAAATGTGTAATTTTTCCCTGCAATGGTTGTCAAAAAGATTTTCAAACTGATAACTACTTCGATTAGATTCCATAAAAACAGAAGAATTAAGAAAACGTGAAGCAAAATTAAAATTTCTAACTTGCCATTGCGACCATATACCCCGGTGTATTCTTCATGTTATCCGTTTTCTGTTTTTTTTTCTTTCTTCTGCGTGCATCTTCATTTAGAAACTGAGGAGGACTTGATAAGAAATGCAGAGATCAAGAGAAGACTTATTGGTGAACTCTCCCTTGCAGTGAAAGAGGTATGTATACCTAATAATTTGAATCTCAGATTGCTCTCAATGCAAAATATTGTTATCCAAAAATTGGGTTAGTTTTGGTGGTGTTATTACTAATGTATTTTTCCTTTTATTGTTAGCTTCAGAGAAAGCACATTGGAGCTGATTTGGATGTGGAAAGGTTGATTGTGAATTTACATTTGGCAGCAACGTCAACAACAATCCTTTATTCAATTTGTTTAATAATCAAGAGCTTTTTTAACTGGTGATCATTTCCTTTATTCTCATGACATTAATGTGTGATTCAGGGGTGATATTGTAAGGAGAAATTATATGCTAGTCACTCTTAGGGGCCAAATGCTCAATCAGGGAACCTTTTTATCATGCTACATCTTGGTTTGTTGTGGAGACACAACATCTTGGTTTGTTGACAGTAAGGAGAAAAACAAATTTGATCTGGGAGTTAAAGGGTTAACAGTGACTGGCATCTATATTCTCCCTACAAGATCATCCCCAAATAAAACATTAAGGTCATGAGAATAAGGGAAATCATCAACAACTAAAGAGGCTCGTGATTGTTCAACAAATTCTCCTTTTCAGAACCTTAAGAAATGTTTAGAGAGAGTGTGGAGAATATGCAAACTGATGTTCGGGTGTAAAGGGGTTAACTCCCAGATGTGATCAACATGTGCCTCAATTCTCCTTATATCCAATGCATACAATATGCAAAAGACTGGTAATGAGAATACTCAAGCTTATCAGGTAGAAGTTGTTATCTTGCTCAAACACTAAATTCTGGAAACTAATTTACAAGGAAATGTGAAGGATCTAGAGGTGAGAATTAACAATCAGATCTCTGGAGTTTAAAAGGTTGATTTAAAGAGTACCATAACCTTTGACAAAGTGACTGTATCCTTTCTTTGTCCACAGGAATGATGAGCATGCGTTAATGATCAGTACTTTGCTAGAGGCCATCTTTCTTCATGGATTTCAGGATCACGGTGTTAAGGTGAAGGGGTTTTCAAAATTTTTAGTTTTAAATCTCTGTTATACGTTGCTGATGGACATTTGAAGTGGTATTTGTATCTTCAACGTACAGTTCCATGAATGATATTATTTAAGTATAGAACTGATATCTTACACTATTTTTCATATTAATTTGTTATTATAAATACATTTTTTTTACAGCTATCAAATTTTTACAATCTCCTTGGCAAAATATCAACAGAAGCCATGCCAACTCATGTGAGTTTTTCTAAGAAGATATATTAGTCACTGCAGTGTTAAGGAGACATTTGACTGCAAAATTTGAAAGTTTAAATCAGTTAATCTGGCACTTACAACATGGAAAAACACAAGGGCTGTGTGCAATAAGTCAGAGACTGAAATCATAGGCCTTTAAACCTCAAACTTTAAAGATGTAATTGGTAATTCTCCCTACTTACTTCCATACTTTTCCTTGGAGATCAGACAAGAGAATTTGGTTGGAGTTATAAGGGGAGTCATAAGTTTGACAGAATCAGAGTCAGAAGAATCAGAACAGTTTCATTTTCTTGCAGTTCGGCCTATGACTCTGATGCTTACGATCCAAGAAAATAAGATTGTTGAAGTTGCAAGCAGAAGTGGAACAATCAACCAATCACAATGCCAGTTCCCAGGCCCTTCCAGTACAGTCTTTTGCTTGCAACTCCTACAATTCAACTCTCCTTGGGTCATAAATAACTGAGTGGCAAGTAGCATGTCTGAACATTTTTCTTCCAATGCCATATGATTTTCACTGGAGTATATCACTCTGCACTTCTGATAACAAGTCTGACTCCAACTCCATCATAAGTAAAACCAGCCTCAAGGAACAGTACATGTGAGCTACACATAGATCCGATTGTTAATGATGTGCCTTTGTTTCTAATTTTGATGAATGATTCTAGTGTTCGTATGTTGATAAAAGTACACTCAGGAAATATGTTTACTTCATTACTTTGCCACTTAAATAGTCTTAATTTCTCTGCAGTCATTTTGGTCCCTGCTCACAAGTTTCACACACAAAGACGTGTTAAATGAGCTGGAACATCTTTCTCACATCCACACTCCTGTGGGAAGATGTCGGGTGAGTCTTCAACCCTTCAAACCTTGATTTCTAATCAATAAAAATTAACTTCTCCTCGTGATTCCAATTGCTAGAAACCTGTGAGGATCATTTCTTTATTTGATTCATCTGCAGACCAAATGGATCTTATTTTTGATCTTCAAAAATTGTGATGGAAAAGATGTTTGTTGATAACTTTTAAAATCTTCTTAATGTTTATACATCCTAGGCATGGATTCGCCTTGCTTTAAATGATAGCTTAATGGAAAGTTACCTTGATGCCATTCTGATGGACAAAAATAAATTACTGTAAGTATTACAAACAAGATGTTTTTGCCTAATTAACCCTTAATACCTTAACATCAGTATGCATATTCTCCATACTGTTCTCTTAAAAAATTTCCTCAGGTTCTGACAAGGAAGATTTTTTTAACAATCAAGAGCCTCTTTGGTTGGTGATCATTTGCTTTCTTCTCCTGACCTCATGACCAGTAGTGATACTGTGGGGAGAAATTAGAGGCCAGTCAATCCCAAGGGTTATAGAGTCCCTTTGCAAACTGAATTCCCAGTTTTCTGGGAATTCCTACTAGAGGAATTCTCAAAAATTCCCAATTATGCAAATTTAACTAATAACCCCTTAACTCGATCTCATAAGTGATTAACATGTAACTTCTCCCTATAACATCCACATGTTATCCAGCCAACATGTTATGAGTATACTCAAACTTATCAGATAGATTAGTTAGTAGTCTTGATCTAACACCAAATTCTCGCAATTCACTTACAAAGAAATGTGTAGCAGCTAGAGGAGAGAATAAAAAATCAGATCTTGGGAATTAAGAGTGATTAGCATCTAATTTCTCCTTATAATATCACCCCTGATTCAAACATTAAGGTCTCAAGAATACAAGAAATGATCATCAACTTGAGAAGCCTTTGATTGTAAAACATATTCTCCTTGTCAGCGCCTTAGGAAATGTAATAAGAACATTAAGGAGAATTTACATACTGATGTTAGGGTGGAAAGAGTTGAAGGGTTCACTTTTCAACTCCCAGAAGTGATTAACATGTAACTTCTCTCTATATTATTCATAAACTATAGGGCAAAAAGGTAAAGAGAATACTCAAACTAATCTGGTAGAAGATGTTATCTAGATCTAACATCATATTCTTGAAGGTAATATACAAGAAAACGTGTAGCAGTTGGGGAGAGAATTAACGATCACAGTTTGGGAGTTTAAGGTTTAATGGTCGAGTCACTTTTGACACTGATTAACTAGGGTCCTGTATCTTGCAGATATTTCTACAAAGGTTCATCTTTTATGTTGGATTCAGAACTACCATCTATCATGAAAACTTTCTTACAAGGTAAGAGCTGAGAGCTAGGAGAATATCTCTGGGTTCAAAAGGAGCAGAAGATTTCAATTCAAATAAACTTTTGAATCTGGGTGCTGCTCAGTGAAGTATGGCCCTCTAAATTGACTAATCATAGTGCACATACCAACCTAGAGATATAATTAGTACATTTAATAATTTAAGTTGTTAAAGTTTGGAAGAAATAAACATCTCTTAAAAACAGAAATAATTTCTAACTGTGAAATCAATCGGTCATTAGGCCTGGGGGAATTTAAGTTTGACTTCAACTACAACACGCCTGGTTTGAACTCATGGTCTGGTGATGCACTGGCTCTCTGCGGAATTTGGCAATTACCTAAAGTGGCTCCTCGGTCTCTTCCACCTACGTACACACAGTCAGGTAATTTATGGTGCAAATGACATAATTTTTAGGGAAAAACCTTGAGGTACTCAATTTACTGTATGAGTAGAGTTTGAATTTCAGTGCTTGATGGTTGTGTTGCTTGAATGTATGTGTGTTGGAAAAGAAAGGTATTGGAATTTTTGCAACTTTAAAATCTGTCCTGGAAAAACTGGATCTTGCCATTTACCCCCAGATATTCATGGTAAAATGCTGCCAGTTCCAGCTTTGGCAATCAAGAGCTTCTTTTAACTAGGCAGTGATCATTTCTGTTATTCTTGTGACCTTCATGTTTGATTCAGGGGTGATATTGTAAGGAGAAATTAGATGCTAGTCACTTGTAGGGGTTAGAGCCAGTTACATTACTGTAAAAAGTAAATAATTTCAATTGGCTCTTCTCTAGGTATGCCTTTACATGGAGGCTCAACTGTTCCAGTCATCATTCCAGGGGATCAGCATGTAGCTCAAGGTGAAGCCTCCACAAGTTCCTTTGACTCCAGCACTGCAGAGGTGGCTGAACTTGCAGGCTGCAGCCTCGAGGAGAGCACTGAATTAAAACGCAGAGCTCAAGTGTTGCAAACAGAGCTTGCTGAGGGAATGATTATGGACAATGCAGACAATAGAGAAAGGTTTTCGGATTCACCTTCCACAGAGGAGAATATGGATGGAAAAGGTATGTAACTGTGGCCAGTTAAATTCCTCTCTCTTTTATAATTTTGGGGGAATAAGTAGCAATTGGCTTTCTAAATAATTTGATCATTATCTGTAATAATAATCATTACTTGATTTAGTGAAGTTGTTTCATGTACATGTTTACTTGTTACCATTTTTGTACCTTGCAGCAAAAGGATGAATTGATTTCATCATGAATAATAATTATAAGTAGATGTTAATAGTTAATTAATAGTTAATACTTATATGTAAACAAAGATATTTAAATGATGTCATGTCCATGTAGTTGGATCATTCAGGTGTGAGTAGTTAAAAGAGGATTGCATTTTTCCTGCCTGAGCGAAAGTTAATTTCTTAGTCGAGAGCCAACTGAGAACTTCCATTCAGGCTGTTGAAATGTCAGTCACATTTTTAGGACTAACCAGGCAGCCCACCTGTACTTTAATCAGACTGTATGCAAATCTTGATCAGAATTACGGTCATTTTGCCCTTAAATGGTCATTTCGCCCCCAGTCACTTTGCTCCGACCAAAAAGTCACTTCGCTCCAAAATCAAAGTCACTTCGCTCCATAAAAAAGTTACTTTGCTCCATGTAAGAAATTAGTGAAATATTGTTTTGATGTTGGAGTTGGACTGATTTTGAACTAATGTCAGTTCAGATTTATTAACTAAAAAATGCAGCTTCCAGTCGCATTCGCTTACACTTGGTAACATGAAATATCATTTCATTTGATTGCTTTCCTCAACACAAATTCTTATACATTGTAATTCCTCAAAACCTCCATTATTGCTCAGAAGGAATACTTGAAGGAGTCCTTGTTAATTCTTATTAATAGTTTGGAATGTATTACTCCACTGAGTGTTCAATTTTTCTGTTCCCTCAAAAAATGAGGCATGTTAACATTTTTGTTGCACACTTGTGACAAAGTAAATGACATCCTACAGACTGTATTTCCTTAAATAAGCACCCAGCCACTTGCTTTAAATCTTGGCTAAAAGGAAGGGCACTTATTGAAAGGAGTGGCCCACCTCCCACCCCTTAATGAGGGGGGGGGGGGCTTGTTATTTTTACTAGCTTTTACTGATTTCACTGTTGTTAAAGCTTTAAGTGGCAATAGAGGCAGGTATCTCTTGTAGTGTTATTATTTAAGAAATTGAGGTAGGAGGGGTGGGGTGTTTATTTGGGAGGGGTGCTTGACATTATGGCTTAAGGGCTGGGCAGTTTTTTCAGGAAGGGTGCTTATTAGAACAGGGGTGCTATTTAATGACCAAGCTCAACATATACCATCTTTTTTTTTTTTTATTGATACTCATATTTCTTATTGAAAATCTTACAGCTGTAGGAAGTCAACCAGCTGTAGTAGAAGTTCCAACTAGTTCCAATGACAGTGAACGAGACACTTGCAGCCCAACTCCTTTAGGAGGCAGCAACAAACTGGGGATGTCTAGTGGCTGGTCATCAACATTTGAAACTGAGGCTGTAGTGGATGCTGTTGATGGCAGTAACTGCAATGACCAGGCGGACACTGCTGACCCACTTCCCAGTTCTCAAGAGAGGCTCAGTCCCAGAATCCCAACAAAGACACAAACACCCAGTTTTGGGACTCTGTTAAGGGATTATAGTGTCCAGGGAAGAAAAAGATTTGAGCCTCCTGTGTATGTTGATGGTGCAGTGCCAACACAACCAAAGCAGGTGCAAAGTAGTCAGGTTCATGTTTAGCTTTTTTTTTGCCAATATTTGGTTAAACCTTTCACTCTCATACGTGACAAAGACACAAATTCTTCTTACAAAATCAATAAGATGTCAAGCAGACAAGTGTTGAGAATAAAACTTACCAAGGGATTATCATTTGATCCAACATCAAATTCTCATAACTTACATTAGGAGAAATGTATGACCATTAGTGAGGAGAATTACCATTGACTGACCGAGATAGTGGGAGTGGAGGCTAAGGGTCAATATCTTGAAAGCAAAGTCCTCTATGAAGCATGTCAGTTTTTAGGAATTTAAGTTTTTTAGAATGTCGTAATCCATCTGCAAGAATTAGCTACTGCAGCAGCAGTTTGCAACTTGTGGTTTTCAATAACAATATTTTAAAATCCTTTGACACTGAAGAGTGACTAGCATCTAATTTTTCCCTAATATATCAGCCCTGAATCACACATTGAGCTCATAAGAATAAAAGTAAATGATCAGCAAACAAAGAGGCTCTGGATTTTTAAGCAAATTCTCCTTGTCAGCACCTTTGGAAGTGTATAGAGATCAGTGTGGAGAATATGCATAGTGATGTTAGAGTTTAAAGCATTACAGAATGACAATTATGAATTAGGGTAAAGATTGATGATGACTATATTGATATTGAGATTAACAAATCAAATTGTATCAATCTCTCAATGTTAAGATTCCAAAAACAAAGAGGAAACCTGAGATGCAACTATCCGAAACTATCACAGCTTCTGGTTTTGAGGTTTTGCAGAAAAGTAGTTCGGTGCACTCAAACCATGGCGACAATCGTTCCTCAGAGTTGATGACACTAGTGACAGAGATTGCCACTGAGCAGGGGTTGGACAACCAAAATTATCAATGCAAGGGATGTGGGAGAAACATAGGTGGGTCATTGGTTTCTTTAGTAAAAATCATTGTTGCTGTGATTAACATTAAAGGTGAGTGACTTCTCAGTAGTTGGTGCAGTGAGGGGCATAGTCTGGATTTTTCTAAGGGGGCGTCACACCCAGTTTACCTACCTTACTGTCATGTTGACGTCCATGCTCTACATGTTTTACTGAAAGAGACATATTGTTGGATGAGCATTGAGTGTTGCATGTATAGTGTCCAGTTCATCTAGTGGTGAGGGTATGAGCCCAGGCTGAATCAATCTGTTGTATGTGTGAACAAGACAATCCACTCTCATAGTCCTTATATTCTCCCAGGAGTATGTACCAATGAACTGTCCTCTAAACATGAAAATGTGTTTACTAGGATGACTCTCTCATTTTCAGCCAAAAAAGAATAGTTGGAGATAAAATTAAGGGTGCTGTGATTCACTCCCAAAGTTCCATGCAGCTCTCTAGTAACAATTTCCTTTTTTGCAATGTTTTTTTGTTTGACTCGTATGATTGACTCAGCAGAAAACGGAGGGAATGCTTGTGGTTAAGAAAATTTGTTGGTTTATAATCTTTTGGACTGGCATCCAATTCAAAAGAAGCAATGTTGTAAATTCTTGTCATGCTACATTACAACTCAGAGGTAGTTGACCCTAAATGCATGCAAAAAAACGTGTTTATGTATGGAACAGTCTTTTGTTTTACCATTTGTGTAACTTTGAATGGTGTGTTAGATTTACAACAAAGGCCTGGAGTTATAGCATTTGGCATCAGTTCATTTTTGAAATGGCTTGCCTGCATTGTGAAGAAAAAGGAAAAAGATTTTGACCCACTGGGTACCTCTTTAGAAAGTGAACAAGATCGGGAAATATCAAGTTCAAATAAGTCATTGTTGTGAAAGTTTATGGCTTGCAGCTAGCAGCAAAACTTGAATAATTTGTAGTCAATTCTCAGTATAATTATGTGAAGTCAATTTGCAGTTTCCTGAATTGAAAACTGGGATGAGTTCTAATGTCCTTGAAAGGCTTAAAAACTAACTAACAAACAAACACAAATTGTCGACAACCTTAATCAAACAATATACCCTTTAACTCCCACCAGTGACCAAGACAGAAATTCTCCTAACAGTATCATTACAATATCAAGCAGACAAGTGATGAGAATAAAGAAAAATATCAGTGAGGGGACTATTAAAAGTTGATTCAGTACCAAATTCTCCAAACAAACATTACATGAACTGTAAGGCAGATAGTTAGGAGAATTACTAATGAGATCTTGGGAGTTAAAGGGTGAATTAATGGTGCCTAAAATTTATTTTGCCAATAGTTTTGTTTATTATTATTTAGGAATGATCTATGGAGAATTTAAAGTTTGTACCTATGATGCCAGCTACTATTGTTTTGAATGTCATGAAAATGAAGAACATGTCATACCTGCAAGGGTGATTCACAACTGGGATCTGCGTAAACACCAAGTCGCTAAAAAGTGCAAGATGTTCCTGATGCAGATAGAGGAAGAACCTTTGTTTAATATTGATGAAACAAATCCTACGTTGTACAATGTAATCAAGGAGTTACTTGAAGTTAAGGTTGGTCTTGAAAATGGCAGTGATAAAATTCTTAATTATTTCTCAACATGTCAAGATACTTTTAATTAATTTTTTTCAGCACAAAAGTTTACCATGATTATAATAGCAACATTGCAATCTCTTAAAAACAACTTCTGAGATAGATATTAGTATTATGAGCCTGTAATGATAAGATTGTCCCTGTTTCTATCATGCAAGTGCTGAGTCTGTATACCAAGATTATTAATTCTGCCAAGTGTCAAAAAAATATACACACACAGTTCAGCACATTCTCAATATTTTGTCAAGGGGGGTTTTTTCTGAAGAAACTGTGGTGCTGTGTCGGGGGGAGAGTATAAAAGGTAATTTAGTGTAAACAACTGAGTTGAAAGGGTAAATTCAGGTTACTGTAAAGAGTTTAAAGGCTCAATCAATGGCTCTGACAAAGGGCTAACACTCAGATCTTAAACAAGACTTGGTTTCTTGGGCTGTGTGATCTCCTCGTAACTAAACAACCATACCCTCAGATCTTTTGGCCTTTGTAAATTTATTTAATTTTAATATCAATTGCTGAAGACACTTTAATTTGGAAAACCAAAGGCACTATTAGACTGATCTTTTGAGTCATGTTTCATTCACAGGTATTGAGATCACAGCTACAGCACTTAAAAGGCTTCCTTTTTACTTGTAAAGATCCAATAGCAGAGGATGTGAGGAGAAGGATTTGGCCTCGGGAATATCTTTGGGATGATATCCATCAGTATTCCTTACTGGTCAGTGTCAACCTTAAAATTTGATTTTACATTGGAACCCCACTGTAAGAGCCAGGTTGGGGACAAAGGAAAGTGGACTTGGTTAAAGGGGTTGCAGTTTTTTTTTCTTGTGGAGGGGGGAGGGGTGTAAAATTCTATGTGTGTTTTGGGAGGGGCAGGCTTTATCTATTTCACAAACATTTTATCACTCTCAAGAAATATACTGGTATATATGTTATTTGTGAAATGAAATGCCTTTAGGAAAATTGTCAGAAAGACTGGTGTACAGTCACTTTGAGTGTTTCAGATGTTTATTTTCTCTTTTGTGAAATAAAAATGTCAAGATTTGTCTGCTAGGTTGCAGCGTGTCACTTTTCTAAACCATTTGTTGGTTGGTGATTGCCAAGCTGTTTCCAACCCTTTAACTCCATGAGTGACCAACACAGAATTTCTCCTTTCAATATCAATACAATATCAAGCAGACAAGTGATGAGAGTAGAGAAAAAAAATCAATTACAATAGGGGATTAGTAATTGATCCCATACTTAATTCTCTGAACTGAAATCACAAGAATTTTATGGCAGATAGTAGAGAGTTACTATTAATGATAATTAATGTCAAATGAGATCTTGAGATTGAAAGGGGTTGTTATTAATAGCAGTGACATTGCACTTAATCAGCAGTTGTAGAGAGGTATGGTGTTGTTCAAGAGATGCGCCTCTTAAAGTAATGGCAGTTTCAGTAATGTTAATTTTGTAATACATAGTGTTTGCATACAAAGTTTTTGGTTCTACAAAGTTTCCTTTTTTTGAAATTTTTATTTAAAGGATTTGATTCAAGTGCAATCTGGGCAGCTGGCTCATCATCTTAAAAAGGTCATTGCCCACTGTACAAAGCATGTGTACAAGTGTAAGGTGAGAAATTCTGACTGATTAAAATAGATCAGTGCTTGGAAACTACTTCTTCCCAAATAATGTACTTCACCCTTTAATCCCTAAGAGTGACAAGCATTTAAATTCTCCTTATAAGACCAGCCCTGAGTCAAACATTAAGGTCACAAGAATAAAGGAAACGATCACCAACTAGTAAGAAGTTCTTGATTTTTGAACAAATTCTCCTTGTCAGCACCTCACAATTTGTGTAGAGAACAGTATGGAGAATATGCATACTGATATAGGCTGTAGAGAGTTAATAGACTGAGTGGGAGGACTGCATTGGAAAATAATTGGCTCGAGCTCCTGACATACAGACCTGCTGCACTTGAAGCATGCATCGTGACCAAGAGCCATTTATGTTCCTGTCTCACCTGACCTAACTAAGTAAATGAGCAGGTCATTCCTCTTTCTGCCATTAATGCAGAGGTACATTAAATTGTTAAAGAGTTTGGCATTTTTCCTTTCAGCTCTGTTGTCAAAAAGGATTTTTCTGTGAAATATGCAATGACCCGAAAATCATCTATCCATTTGAAGTGAAAACCACAACTCAGGTAGTATTAATTTTTACTTTACTGCCAATTCACCTAGTAACAGTTTGTACCACTGTTATACAGATGATAATGCATATAAGCAGCCTGACATCCCTTTTCATGCTGTGAAAAGGTTTTGTTTATTGCTATTATGAAATATGAAAGTACAAATATTAACATTTGTCTTAAACTGAGATCACTTCAAAATGGACTGCAATGTTTCTACTAATAGTAATTGCATAATGCACAATGTTTGCATAATGCTTGTATTCTTCAAGAGATGGGGTTAAATGTTATGTTTCAACTTAAACATCATCAGAAATGGCAGTGGTTTGTTAGGTCTCATAAGCTGACATATTACAACTGGCTATCTGCTCTAAGGTTATATGCAAAACCAGTTGTTTACACACCTCATAACCTGGAGAAGACTAGCAGTATACAGTTGGAAAGTAGCCTGTTCTAGGCATGCAGTTAGTGAAATGGAGTAATCTAGTAGCTATGTGATAAGAGTGGCAGCGTGAAAAGCAAGAGAGGCTTGTGTCATGTCACGTACAAAACATCATGTGACTTGACTCAACACTTCCTTTTTTTCCACTCATACAAAGGAAGTTTATTTAATGAAAAAATTTACAGTGGTTTAGTATAGTCTGTACTCTTATCAACAACGATATTGGTCATCACAGTGGTCAAAATGTTGTGGACTCATGAGATGCATCCAAGTGAGTCCACTATGATAATTATATTACATTGTTGTTGATAAGAGTACAGACCACACTAATCCACTGTCAATTTGTTAATTAAACTTCTTACTGTACGAGTTGATTGTATGATGTCAATTTGTTTTTTTACCACAATATCAATGGCAAAATTTCCAAGTCATCCATTTTTGAGGGCTGATAAAGGCATTGCATGACATGTTGATGCAACAGCGTCACTTGTACTCTCATCAACAAAATAATGAATGCAAACTGGGCTATCTGATTGCAATATTCCTGCCAAGTGTGGTAAAAAAAAAAAAATTCACTCACATAGAAATTCATAAGAGAAATATTCTGTCCCACAATGTTTCTTCATGATGCACCACAAAAACTTCTAAAGTGCTCAAAACATTAGAAAGAAGGTTTGCTGGGTTTTCACTTGGCATATAAAAGTAGGTATAGCTGAAGAGAAAAAGCTAAGGCCATTGAAATTTAGCTGGAGAATTCTGCTTTTTCAAGCTGCTCTGTGGTTTTAACTTGATTGAGAAACCATCGTAGCACTCAGAATTTAAGGCATACATTGATAAATAACAATGTTTTTGTATTGATTCCTGATTAAACCAAGCTGACCTTTTTTGCTCTTAAAAAATTTCAGTGTGGAAAATGCAAGGCTCTGTACCACAAGGCTTGTATTGCTGAGAAAAAATGTCCAAAGTGTATACGGATAAGAAAAATACAATCTGCAAGAACAAAAACTGCAGCTGTTCTGGAGTTTGATTCACCATGGTAGTGGCAAACAAGCAAGGCTTTCACTAACTTTTTCCATAAGCACTAGGTGATGGTGTAATAGAAAGCTGTGCCTGGAGAAGGGGTTGTACATGAAAACCCAAATGCCAGGGCCTGCTCGCAGCCAAATTTGACGGCAGTAAGAGGTCTTATAGGCAGTGGTAGACCATTAGACTGAGTTGTTCAAAGCTGGGTTACGATAACTTAGGATTAGTGCAAAATTTGATGTCAGGGAACAGTTTTTTCTAACACAGATTAGTGCTGACCCAGGATTAAATTTTAGTCCAGGTTTCTATATTTCTCTATTCAAAAGCATTTTTGGATTAATTTTCTCCATCCAATTTCAAATTGTAGGAAAAAGGATTGATGTGGATTTTTGTTTAAAGCTCTCAGATCTGAAATCAAATTTCATTCTTACCCTGAGTTCTCTTAAACCAGCTTTGAACAACCAAGCTCAGATCTGAAAGCTTTCAAATAAAATCCAGCATAATTCTTTCTGTCTACAGTGTTGTAATTGGATGCTTGAAAGAGGATACAGAAAGTTATTCCAAGTAGGCTTTTTATAAATAAATCAAAGAAACCCAGATTAAAATTTAACGTTGGGTTAGCACTAATCAGCCATCAAACAACTGGGCCCTGGTAACCAGCTTAGACTGGAACTTCTGCATATGTAATTTCAAAAAAAAAAAAAAACATGAAAAATCTTTAGACACATTTTAACAATTTAATTTATTACATTGTACATTACTGTTACAGTAATAACACCCTATCTACATTGTATTTCATGCAGAATAACATTAATATTTTCTAATGTTAACCCTTTCACTCCTACAAGTGACCAAGACAGAATTTCTCCTTACAATATCAATACAATATCAAGCAGGTAGGTGATGAGAATAGAGAAGAATATCAATTACGGGATTATTAGTTGATCCAATACCAAATTCTCTGAACTAACATCATAAGAATTGTATGGCAGATAGTAAGGAGAATAACTAATTAGATCTTGGGAGTGAAAGGGTAAAAAAATAGCTGTATCAAACTTTGTAAAATTAACTCTAAGATAAAAGAATCCAGATGCATAATATTGTAAGTCGTGATGGAAAAAAGTATTGTCTCTAAATGGTACTTTTCTAGCTTTGCCCAGTCTGTGTTAATTTTGTAAATGAAATAAGAAAAAAGTTGAAATTTTGTAGTTGCAAAATTTTATAATGTATTCATCTCAATTGCGATAAACATGGTATCTTTTTTAGCTCTGACTTGCTGCATTTATACTCAGGACCCAAAATTTAGAATAAATTCCTTAATTGTCTTTTGGTGTCTAGGTGGCAAAATAATATGATTGCTAGTGGTAAATTTCTAGTCACCAATTTAAAAGCTGAGTCCATATCTACCCATAAGAATGGCATTTAATTAATTAAATGAATTAAGTACTTGAAATTCTGTGCCCTATTGAAAAGGAGGAACAGAAATCACATACTTAGAATGTGTGTCTAAGGATGGAGGTAAGATGGCAACAGGCTTTGCTGATGCCAGTTCCCTCATTTTTCTCAAGGCAGAAGTAAAACAGACAACATGAAGTGCTTTTGTACTTGGTTTGTTTGTCTTTGAATTTAAAACAATACAAACACCTAATTTAGTGTTAACAACTGAGTTGAAAACGTAAATTGGCCACCATAAAGAGTAAAAAAGCTAAAAAAAAGGAACTGCTTTACAGTGGCTAATTTATGTTTTCAACTCAGTTGTTAACACTAAATTACCTGCTATACTCTCCTGCTGACACAGCACCACAGTTTCTTTAGAAACTTACCCCCTTTATGCAATACAAACACCTAATCAGCAGGGGATTAGGTCAGAACTTTTGGTCACCAGTGGGAAAACTAAGGCAGCATTGGTGCCCATACCTGTCACAATCTGGAGCCCTAGTTCTTCTTTCTGAGTTTGTTATGGAAAAGCACAGGTCATTTTCATTGTGCAACTTTAATTCCCTGTTTTAGAATTCTAACCAAATCACGGTAATCTTTCTTCTTATCAGAAAACTCTGCCTTCGCTTCTTCCATGGCTGTAGGTGGTTTGTCTTCTGGAATTGCATCAAATGGCCAGACTTCATTTTCTAAGCTTTTCACCGCTTTTTCCTTAAAAAGAAAACAAAACATAGTTATAAACAACAAAACAAAAAGTTCACTGTACATACTTTTTGTATGGAAGCATAAAACTGCATGTAACTAATTCCTTACCCTCTCAGAAAGCACCTGTTTTATTGCAGCCATTGACTTCTGGACCTGAATACAAAAAAAGTAATGGTGACTGACTTAGCATAGCTGCACTGTTTAAATAATGAGAATTTCTTTTTCAAATTTTAATGTGAATCACTCAGCTGCTCTACTCCTCAGATCTCACTAGTAATTCTCCCTACTGTCTCTAAGTCAGTCACTGTGTATGTTTTGGTTGGAATTATTCCTTACTAATGTAAAATTTTTTCCAAACAGTTTCATTTTTATTTTCTCTTTGATGTGTATTTATTGTTCATAATTTGATCAACAATACAGAAGCTCGTCATCTTTACCTTATGGGTTCTTGTAGGAGACGGCATCGGAAAACTCTGTCTTTTTGCTTCATGCTTCAGAGTCATAAGCATGTTTCTCTCCTTCAGAAGAACATACCTGTAGGACAACATGCACTAATTCAGTATTAGAGCTTGATCAGTACTAGAGTATTTTACTCTAAACAGAAACTCTTACCACAATTTATGAAGGTCTTCATTACTTTTCCCTCTCAGTTCTCCAGCATGCCATTTTCTACCTTAAAAGACCATATTGATGACTTATTAATAGAGTCAATACATTTAAAATCAAATTCTGCTATCCTGAATACACTGTATGAAATCACATGTGGTAATGCACTGTTGAAGTCTTTCAATTAATCATTCAATTGATCAGTCTGATAGTGAGTCAGGCACAACCAGTCAATGATGATCATTTGGTTGGTCAATGAGTTTGTCACTGACCAACAATTAGTCAGTTAATGAGTTAACGCGTCAGCCAGTTAGGTAGTTGTTCAGCAAATCAGCTCCTCAATCAGCAAGGCAGAGAGTCAGTAAGTCCATTAGTCTGTAAGTCAGTCAATAAGTCAGAAAGTCAGAGTCAGTAAGTCAGTCAGTCTGGCAGTTGGTCGGAAGGACACTCATTCAGCCACTCATGGAGTCAGTTTGGCAGTTATTCTGTTAGTCAATCAGTTGTTCAGTCAGTCAATCAGTCCTTCAGTAAATGAGTCAGTTGCCTTTGTACATGGTTGTTATGAGTTGGTCAGATCATTGGATTGATGCATCAATAATTCAGTCATTCAGTAATCAAGCAAACAGTAAAGCATTCATTCATCTGTTTTTCATCACCATTTCAACACCTAGTAGTAGCTTCCAAATATTTGAATATTCTGTTGTATATGCCACAAAAAACGAGCCCAAAGAATATAACTCATGAAGGTAAGAAGGAAGTAGATATCTGGGAGTGATCAAAGAGTAAAGGTCTTCAAACCTGACTGGCTAGTGATAAATAGTGATGCTTTGAATTATATTCCGAAGAATTTCCAAGGTTTAGACCAACTAAATAATATAAGTCCAGTAAGGATTATCTTGTTAGCAGTCACCCGATCAGACTAAACTATGAGAATTGCATAATACCTCAGTTCTGATTAAATGCGATGAAACTAAGTGGCCTCGAATGCAATCTATATATTTTCTACAATTTTACCTGTATGAACTTTCTCTTTAGCTAATTCTCCTTTTTTAAACACCTCAGGTGGAAAAAACTCTTCCAAACCAAAGGCACACGGACTTGTTCGTAAACCGCGAAGACAAGATCTGCTACGACAAAAGTGAAAATAAATTAGTTATTTGGCGTTATTTAGTTTAAGAGCAAACCTCTCTATACCACGGAAGCTGTACTGATACCTGATCTGCAATTCTTCCACAATAAGAGGTCGAAATGCGCAACATCGAAGGTTGTGCAAGACGGCCGCCATATTGCTTTTCCGCGCTTACATAATATGCGCAAAAGATAATACTGCTGGTGTATTGCAGGCACTTCATTCTCGTCCCGTGGGACGGAAGACCGACTCGCGCCTTCTCGCGTGGGCGCGTGAATAGCGAACAAAATAATTACATAATCGCGGAAAATTGTTTTTAATTTTTTCAAGCATCGACTAAATTTTTTGTTCAAATGCTAGTCACACAAAAACAGATGCTTTTTTTTTTTTTTTTTTTTTTTATTCTTTTTTATGCAATAGTTGATGATAGGTATGGTCTATCTCTCGGTTTACAAAATACAAATCTTCGGCGAATTTCCAGTTCTTAATTAGTGGAAAGTTACGACAAAAATCTGTTTTCGTCTAATTAGTGTACAGAGCGAGCCGAGAAAGAGGATGAAAACAAACTCTGAGATGACAAAACCCGACACACCATTGTAGATTAGCATAGAAATCTAATTAACTTGTTCATCTTTTCAGAGCAGTTGTTTATTTTTCCTAAGCCTGTTTACTTCACATCGAGGTGTTTTCATCAAAGCTGAAAAATCTCAATTTTCCTTTGGCCTCCTCCAATTCTCTGGCGAGTGATAATAATTTAAGAAAGAATTTCTGTCCGTTAGTCTCTCAGGAGACCTTATTAAATGCGTTAAAGATTCGTTGACGTAATTGCTTCGAGACAAATAACTTCCTCAGCGCTTTGTAAGGCTTTCAAAGAACTAGGAAATCCACTGTGTTTAGCGGATTAGAAGTTGGTAACCGCATGCATTATTTAGTGAGAATTTTGACGTCGAATGAATTGTCATGACACTGCCAAAAACTTCAATAGTCTCGCCAATATATTCGGGCCAATTAGATTTTTCCCGAACGCTGTTTTGTAAAAGCTCTGCTTGCAGATGAGTAATGGACAGAACTGGTATATAATCACCTCTTAATCTACTATAAAAGAAAATATATTTCAAACGCATATTACTCCTCTGTTACGTAGATTAAGCACTACTTCAGCTTTTATAACAGATCCACATCCTGTCAAAGACTTAAGAGCTTTAAAAGCATTGAGCCAAATACCAAAAAAGTGAAAGTTACTTCTGAAGAAATGTTTACACAAGATGAAAGCTTGGCTGGTATAGAACTGTCATATGTGCGCTAAAAAGCTGCAGAGACAGTGAGACTTTGAAGTTTTACAAGACAAAGCTTGGTGTGAATGCAGGAGACATTCGAACATATTTCACGCTCGTTACAAACCACCATGGAAGGGAAAAAAGATTCCGAATTCACGAAAAAGGTGCGGTTCGACCTAAACGAGGAGGTTTTTCTTATTCCAAGTAAATGGGACCGACTGAGCAAATGTAAAACTGCCAGTGCGAAAAACACCGATGGATCGGCGAACAAACAGAGCTCCAGAAATCGTGCTGCTGCGGAACGCCGGTGCGAAGCGACTCGTGGTAAACAAAACAAAACTAAAGACAGAACGACAAAGGGTGTCTCAAATCGCGAGTCAAACGGAATACTTTCAGAAAACGGCAGATTAGGTGCTACACTCAATGGTATAACCAACAGCGGAAGAAAAACTGCGCGACATAGAGAAGGAAGAGAAAATTCTAACGTTACGAACTCGACGCCTCCGGTTGAAGGGAGATTAAAACTATATCATCGCCCTTCCCAAGAACTGCAGAACCTTAGCCTCGTTTTACCTAAAATTCCATATACGCCAGATCTTAAAAAGGCGATCGAAAAAGCGCTGCAAAGATCTCGCCGTAAACCAACTTTGGACAATGGTCTTCACAGTGCTGCAACGGACACGCGAGAAAATAGGGCTTTGGAAATTTTCAACTCCTTTTCGAAGGAAAATGATAAAGTAATGCCTCAAAGGAGGCTTTCGGATAGTTCTATTGGGACAGGAGATAAAAAACCGACCGGAAATAAACAAACCCCGGACAGGGAAAGTGATTCTAAATTTAGCGAACTTTCCACAGATTTTAATGACTCGACTCCATTCTCCGCGTGGAGTCCAAAAGAAAGCACGTATACCTCACGATCAAACACTACACCATCTGTTCTAACAAGGGGGCGCTCCATGCCGTCGATAATACCAAGCAGCATATTATATTGATACATCAGTAATGTTCTCCAATTTGATCGACCGACTCTTGCATTGGCTGAACGAGTTACTTTACTAATACCTCGATCACACCAGCCAAACTGATGTTTAGTTAGTTAAACTGCGTTTAGTCGAGGGAAAACTAGAAACAGAAATGAAAACTGAATTTTCCATTAGTTCTAAGTACTCAGGAACTTGTATTTTCAAGCGCTAAAGTTGAACAAGATAGACATCGGTTTAAGCAGCTTAATTCTTTGAAGAAAAATAAATTTAACTGTGTCGAACAAAATAGTTTTAAAACATGTTTGAACTTTGGTGTGAATGAGGTGAACGACAAAGGGTGTCTCAAATCGGTGTGAAAAACTGGTGTGAATGAGGTATAAGCTGCTGGTTAAAATTACATTCCAGGAGTTAGGACTTAACTCTAAAAAAAGATATGGAGTATTTATGGAGACATTGTAGTTTAAGTTTCCTGGATCCAATACCTTAGATATCTAATCAGTTATACTATTATTTTCAAGCAAAAATGTTCATTAATAAACAAATTATTTGTTGATTTTTCACTCACGAAGATCGAAGATAGAATTGTTTTAAAATTTGAAGAAAAAAGTTTAATTAGAAAGACTGGTAGAGTGTAATCTAACTAGTAGTTTAATGTAAATAGAGTATGATTCTGTTCTCGTCGAAATGGTCGTTATTGTCTTCATCATTTGTCTTGGCTGATAAATCGTCCATGTCTGTTCCTAATAATTATGTGGGCGACGCATGCGCAGTTGCCAAATGATTGAGTAATTGTGTTGTAAGGTCTGGGTTCAAGACCTGGCCGGGTCATTGCGTTGTGTTTCTGGACAAAACACTTTAATCCCACAGTGCCTCTTTCCACCCAGGAGTATAAAGAGGGCCTTAATGGGGCGATGGCTTTTACGGCTAACGGTTAAAATTCTGGCCGTTTTACGGTTAACGGTTAATATCATTCCATTGTTGTCACCAGAGAATTTTATTACGCTTAACTTTTTTTACGACTATCGGTTAAAATTTGCTAGTTTTTACGCCTAACTGCTAAATATTTTTGGCCATTTTACGACTATCGGTTAATCTCATCGAGACCCTATATAAATGGGTAGTGGTCGGGGGCCCATTACCCAGAGCCTCATACATATAATTGTACCCTTGAGTCAACCCTGTCCCGTATCTTTTTATTTTTAGAACTGAGATATATGGGAGGCTCTTTAATTACCCACGAAAAAACGCTGACGTTCGCGTAACACCCTAAAAAAATTGTTAAGCTTTCCGCGCTTTTCGCCATTATTGAAATACTTTCGTGCGGCCTGCATGTGACGTAAACGATAGAGGACCACAGCTCTCTTGTGGTTGATTATTATGCAAGTACCCGCGAAAAACTTCGTGGGAGGTGCTTCTAAAAATGAAAACTAACGGGACAGGGTTCACTCAGAGGGTAAGTATGGCAGATGGAACCGAGCTCCGGATAATAGGCTCCTGGTAGCGGTAAATTGTCAGGGAAGACTGATGAAAGTAGAAAAGCAATAAAATTCATGAAAGATATATGAAATTTGAAGGTGAAGTTAAAAAACATTGTCGCAGATCTCATGAAATGCCTGCTCAGCTAAATTAGGTAACACCAAACGATTTTCACCGAACTGTGCAAACTGACACCACACTCTTTCCTTCAGACCACTTTTCTCATGTCTGTCCTAAAAAAATAATTGCAACTAAAATGTGACAGACAGCAACAGTTATTTCGAGGGATATATGTTCAGCTGAAGCTGCCTCATGCCTAGCCGCCGGTCTCCTTTCAGAAGTAATGCGTCATCGTTTGTGTGTGAGTCTGTAAGGAAAACCGCTTCGCGGAAAAGAACTGGTAACTAAGTAACGGAGTGGTCGAAAAATTACTGACGACAATTTTTCACCCCTTTGTATCAGCAGAAAACATCCGACTAAGAGACAGTCATTGTTTATTGCCTGTGTGTGGGTATAGGGGAGGGGGAGAGGTCGTAGTTTTAGAGGATCACCTGGTTATCAGGAGAAATGAAGGGGATCAGTCGCCGCTAAGAACCCTTGTGGGATGGGGAGGGGGGGGAATCAAGTTAATTTAATTCCCCTGCCCCCTCTTCCTCTCGCCATAAATAATCGCCAGTCTGTAAGTTCTAGACAATTCAAATGCTAGTAGAATGTATTGAATAAGATAGATGCAATGCTTTATTACTCGCTTAGCCTTAAAGCCAGCTATAATGAAAAGTTTGACAGGGTTTCTCTCGCACGCATGACACTCGTAATTCGTGAGTGGCGCACAAAAGAAGCGCGCATGAAATTTGACCGTGATCGATATTAGCGGATTAGTGTCGAATTAGCGGCTGTTAACGGATCTACATGACGTCAAATTTTATTAATTACGAACCCCTGATTCCATGCGTTCATACAAATGATGGACTTAAATTCGGCTTTTCTGCTTAACAGACTTTGTTTAACGTTTGGCGGGCCTTTCGTTTATTGAAAACCGAACAAACCATGACTTTCAAAAAAGGAAGGTGTTTAATAGGATCACATTAGTAAATCTCCTTACTGTCTGCTATACAATTCTTATGATCTTAGTTCGGAGAATTTGGTATCGGATCAACTAATAATCTAATAATTCTTGATTCTCATCACCAGCTTGATGTTGTATCGATATTGACAGGAGAAATTCTTTCTTGGTCACTCTTGGGAGTTGAAAGGTTAACACCAAGGAGTCGACATGATCTTCGCATTTCGCAGTCAGATTCTTGAAAGAACACGGAGAACTCGCTCATGAACTAAGTTGTATTCGAGGTTCAATCAGTTTTGCGGGATTAGGGATGAAGTTAGCGGAGGAAAACTGTCGGTTTCTTTTGATAAGCGAGAAGGCGTTCCGAGCTAAGTGTGTTTAATCTGAACTAATTAAGGATGAGGTTCTTAGTTTGTTAAATAAAAGGGTGTTAGCGAATCAAACTCTGAATATTGAATAGATTTCTTTCTGTTGAAGATTACAAGACGTAGCAACCTGGCGTACCTACACATTGCAGAGACATACAGTATGGCGAGCGGTTCAAACGTTTAGTGCAAGTTCTTGTCTTTTGCCTCGTTCTCGGGCGTCCCAAATTTTCCATTGTCTCCTAATGTGATAATTGCTTGGGCACTAAACGCTAAGCTTTGTTTTTTTCGAAAGAAGCTTTGATTAATTGCGTTCAGGCCAGTCATCTGATAATTACAAAGACACCCAAACGTGTGTCTGGTTAAAGTTTCTTGTTTAGCTCTTGAAATTTCAAATGGTGGCCTCTCTAGCCTGGCGTGGAAATGTTAAATAATGCGTCAAAACAGCTGAAGAGTTCGTAACTATGGAGAAATTTTACATCAACATGCGATACTGAGTGGAAGAGCAACAAATCTCATCACTGAGAAGAAGCTTGATTCAAGCCGCACTCCTACATTGGTCAGTTTTGATCGGAGACGATCCATAGGTTTGCTGTTGAATAATTATGTACGTGTAACTGCTGTACTGCAAAAACAAACTTGTATATCGGAAAGTGTCTACGGAAAGAAACATTATTATTTGACTAAGCTAGCGTGTGTATAAACCCTGTCGTGTCTACAAATTTTAATTTGCCTCTTGGGAGCAGTACTGAACGGAAAATAAACGGCGGTATTGACTTCAGCGTGATCTTACAGAACAGTACGTGAGAAGATTATGCAATGACAAGTGTTGTATCTTTCACCTCATTTAAAGAGTGTCTTGGAGAGGTAAGGAGTTACGCAAGAAACTCGTTAACAGTAAATTAATAGCAATTGTGCGAGCGTGAAACTTTGGCAACAATCACGTAACTTAGAGAGGGTTTACCATACTAAAACGTTCCCCCCAATGAAGAAATAACAGACGACCTAGCCTGGAGCCAGCATTTGGATATCTGACCAACCTCACAACTCAGGCAGATTACTGGATGGTTGCACAGTTTGTGGGAGTTTACGTCGACGCTGATCAAAAATTCTAGCCGATCGGATTGGTCTTTTAGCAAGACAGCTCTTCAAAAATTAAATCTGGTCATTGACAAGAGATGTCAGAACTTGAAAGAGAAGAAATCGACTCCTGTCATTCAGAAGTCAAAATGATAGACGGAAGCCAGTCATCATTACAGACAGTTCTAGTCACAGTCAGCATCGAGAAGCCCGCGGCTAAAAATATTAAACGAGTGCGTTTCAACAGCTTGGTTGAAGTCAAATTTATTCCTAAATGCAAGAGTGAAAAAAAGAAAAAGGAAAAATTGCACAAAGAAGGCAAAGAAAAGACTGAGTGCTTGAAAGCTACCACAAAGAAAACAGATCATGAAACCCAGGCTCGTAGAAAAGATGTTGATGTTAAGGGTGAGTTGGACCTTTGCACGCAGATGGTTACCATCGCAACAGAAACTTCTCCTAAGACTGAAATCGGGGACTCGTCCACGGTGAAAACTCCTCAAAGTTTTGAAGAAAACGCCGAGACGGGATTAAATCTAGACAAGAAACGAAGTGCTGCGACGGCGAAACGCGTGTTAAACCGGAAAATCACAAATAAGAAGACAAAGGCTGGTAGAGGCTTGACTCGGCTGAATGGCTGTGCTGTTAAATCGCGAGTGACAGTTCGTGAGAGTTACGCGACAAACAAAGTAACGCTCGGTGATGATTACAACGGGAAAACTTTACGATTAAGTCCAACTACTTTTTCAGTTGCATCAAACATTCATTTCAGCGAGTCTCCAGCTCGGAATACCAAGAGAAAGAATATCCAAGAATTTGGATCCGATAGGGAACTTTGGCGATTGGAAAAACAAACTGCGAAGTTTTGCGAGGAAGCTGCAGCACTGATTGCTCAAGTGACAGAAAATACCGCTGATTTGCAATCACATTTGAAAGTTCCACCAAATACTGCCCACCTGGGTGGAAATTACGGACAAAATTTTCCAACAGAACACATCAAGGCTAGTTTTAGAAAACCATCAAATGTCCAAGATCTTTCTCCGTTCGGGAAAACCGCCAGTCGAGATATATTTAGCACAACATGTAAGCCAGTCACCAGGTTGCCGTACATTAAGCACAAGAAACAGCAGAGCATTGAGGGGCTGCGCCAGAGGTCGTACTCTGAACTCTGCTTGCCTCAGTTCCTGTTGTATGACGGGAAAACCACGAGGAGTTCACTTGATGCAACGAATGATTCCAAAGGAGTTGGCACTGTTAAGAAAGCGTCAGGTAAATTTGAGCTATTGCCTAGCCCGGAAGAGGCCAGTAATGGTAACATTGTCATCCACTATTCGTATGGAGCCACAAAGAAGCTGGAATGCTGATTTTAAGGAATTAACCTGTGCGTTACCGACACAGCGGTCAAACGTTGGGCATGTACGAGGGGATGAATTCTGGCCTACCGTGCGCGAATTTTCCGCGCAAAACTTCCATTAAAAAAATAAGAAACAAACGTTAGCTCTCAAAATAAGAATAAGAAACTTGAAATTTTGGTATAAATCTGTAAAAGTGAACAAAAATAGGAAAAAAACTCGAGAATTTTCTAGCACAAAGCTTATTTAACTACAGGTATCCTGCTGATTTACCATTCTCTTCTGAGGTTTATAAAATTGGTTCTAACAGCCTGAGAGCACGTTACCTAGACATTTCAACGTTTGCATATGCGCAGAAGTTTGACCGCTGTGTTTACATAGCGGACACAGCGGTAAAATGGGTGCGCATGCTCCGCCACTAGAGCGATTTAAGGACCAATAGAGCGTCTAGGGTTACCGTTATTCCTCTTCTGCAAACAAAGCTGACGCGAGTTTTTTCGCTGAGATGACAAATTTAACTTTTCTCTAGGGAGCCTGCCTACCCAGGGAGCAATGACAAGAAGTGCTGGAGCGATAAAAGGTGATACAAACTTTCTACCCCTGATACGGATGATCTACATCAGTCGCTACATTAATACCTGTTACCACAATAGTTTTTTGTTGAGTGAGATACGTAACGGAGGAGCTTCGACGGAAACTTCTCTGAAAACGACAACCTTATCTGTTTTGGTTTGAGCTCATCCCCTGGCTCACAAATGGAACAAACAAAACAATGGAAATTTTAAAAATGCCGCCATTTTGCTGCAATAGTCTTGCTATGTAAATCTTGTCGTTACCATTCCTTTGCGCACGTAAAATTTCCCTCGCATTACAAGCATGGGCACTCATTTGTCGCTGTGTCGTTAGTGTTACCTGATATTGGATAGCACGCATGCGCATAAAACAGTTATGACTCAAGGTTAAAAATTGAACGATTTTTTACAAAAATTAATCTTCAGTTGGCTTTGCCTTCGAAACTGAAAAAAAAAGTTCATATTTAAATTTGTTGTCAAACAACTTTGATTTTAAGGCTGTTAAGCAGAACGTGAATGCGACTCATAGGTGCACGATGCTAGAACAGTCGGTGATACAAAGAAATATTTATTCCTTTAGAAGATTTTTATATCTAGAACGTTTACGAAAACCGTATGCTGGTATATTTAATAAAATCATTCAGTTTTGCTAAAAAATTCTGCAATTGCTGTTGTATTTGGTTATTCAAGAAGAATCGATGGAAGCCAAAAGTGTAAGCAAACGATTGAGAAAAGGTTAACAATTTTGAGCGTTCTTCAGACTTAAACTCAACGCTGGCCCATTCAGTAGTCTCTAATCTGTGATACTGTTCAAATTGGCACACTGGCCACGTAGAATTTTTCCAGCGGCAATATCAAGTGCGTGCCTTAATATAGAAGTCGCTATTGAGGTGAAAAAAAACAACGTAGAGTGGAAGATAGACGTTGGGGTAATGACTGAAAAAAGGTCTACAATCTTCCTTTAACTACAAGTGATCGAGAGGGATTAAAGACCCTTAGCCGTTTCGCCTTCCGCTCGCTCTTATAGAGTAGCTCCTTATCGGTAAAACAACAAACACGAGTTCTGACTGATTTAATATATTTGTCGTCCGCTTTGACAATATTATAAAGCACTTCCTTTTTCACTGGAAAGGGTTTCGTTGCGCAAGATGCCGACCAAAAGATCAATAATTTCATCAGCAAAAGGCTGCAAGATAAAAAAAAATTTGAATTTAGATCGAAATATCTTACAAAATACAGACCGTTTTAATTCCATTTGCTTTCATCAAGTTACAAATTCCAACCCCGCCGCATTTCTAATATCTGTTCACGTGATGCAAACGTGCAGATGGGGGTGAGTGGCTTTGTTTGCGCTTGTGCCAAACCAACCGTGAGATTGGAACAGGTTACTGAGGTGGTGTGTACGTGACGGGGAATGATCACGATAGCTCCTCACTTATCCTGCCATTTAAGTGAGCATACGGGAGGCCCTAACTATCGAGAGCTTTAGTTTTCGCATGTCGTAAATACTTCTTGCCCTGTAAGAAAACCTCTACAGAGTTGCTGGAAACTTGGTAAGACTCGTGCGCCTCTACCTCTCATCTTTCTCTCTTTGATTTCACTCAGCTTGACGCAAGGCGCTCTGCACACCATTGTGATTATTGCTAGCTTTTATTTTAAATGATAACCCTTTTTCAAACTCCGCTATAAGATTAAAAATTAAAGCGCCCACCCCAGAACGTGCTGCGTCTCCATCGGCTGGTGTTGCCTGATACAATCGCGTGATTATTGTCATGTCCGAGTAAACTGTGTTTTTCGTGGCGAATTCTTTAAATTCTTCATTTAGTCCCCAATTAAGATATTATTAAAAGGAGCCCAAAAAGTAACGACCACCTTGAAGCTTAGGAAATGATGATGCAATAAAACACGAGCCAAACGACGTTCTTTCTCCTTTTCAATTTTAAGGCTTAAGAGACTCTCAAGCTTCTATCGATAGCTAAAGAACTCCTACTCCACCCTAATGACAATTAGTTTCGTAGGGCAAGCCTGCTCCAATCCTAAAAACAGATTTTGTAAATTGGATACTGGAGCAACTTGAAAGCCTTCAGCGATCTCTGTGGCTCAGTGGAAAGGCATCGGAGCGCGGAATCCGAAGGTCTAAGGTTCGGGGACTCAGAATTTTTTCTTTGCTTCACACAGCTGACAAAACGTAGAACATCTTTCTCATTTTCTTTACTGAGCTCAAAAACTTGCCCTCAGAAATGTTGAAAAACGGTGGCCAAGTCGCTGCAACATTTTCAAATTTTCTTTTCCCTTCATTTCTTGACTCCTTGTACTGGTTATTTTTAAAATCTCCCCATAGGTTTGATACACAGTCCAACGGAGAGGCTATGAGAAGTGGGAAAGATATCAACTGGAGGGTAGTACTGCTATCAGTGTCACAAAGATTCTCAAGGCCAGTGAACTGAAAAATTTGTAGTCGTCAGATAAGAAAACTGAGAGACGCGGTGGCCTAGCGGTTAGCGAGATAAACTCCCAGACATAAGGGTACAGGTTCGAAACATAGGTTCATAGTGTAATATTCTCGGGGAAGACACTTTTCTCTCACTGTACCCCTCTGGTAAAGCATCAAGCCATCCAGACGAAATGCTGAGGGTGGGGAGTCTGCGGTGGACTGACAACTCCTCTCGGAGGGGGGGGGGGAGTAATGATGTTTAAAGTCACTTCACACACTTAGCAGACCAGAATAAACGTTGGCGCCCTGTGGGCCATTAGACTCAAGTGTAGATTTCATCTTTTAGCCTTTCATTTGAAAAAAAATTAGCTTTTAGAACGTGACGTTTAAGGGTTAAACGCTTCCCTTTAGAGGAAAATTTTAATTCTCTTCTCACGAGGTCGAACAGAAGTGTCTTCGTGGCCGCGTTGAGTTCGCGTGAGGTGTGAAGCTGCAAGAAGCTGTTGAGTACATAATCCGTGGTGTAATTGAAAATTGAAGTCAATTAGACAAAACACTGATGTTTTAGAAAGGTTTTGAAGTATATTGGATGTTTCGTCCCGCCCACTGCTACTACATGTACAGATTAGCGTGTGCAGTCAGTGAGGTCAGAGGTTGCTCGTGTTTTTTCATCTCTTATCATATACCTCGTCACAGATTGTCCACCAGGAAAATTTTAAAACGTTAGAAAGTCGTTGTTTTCAATCTGTTTCATCCTTAGCTTTTTTTGTTTCGTCTTAATTTTCATAATTATTGCTCCTTTTGCTCTTTTCTTTCTCACCGAGCTTACATTTTGCGCCTCTGTATGATTCCGCTATGAAAAAATTACGAAAGATCTTGTGACGTACGTGATGCGTCTTGTAAAGGACATGATTAATTACATTTATAGCGTGTCTGTTATACACTGGATGCCATTCAAGGTTACGCGCGTGATCTAAAACAGCCAATGACATCTGCCACTAAGAATTTGAAAAATGCACTTGACGAGTTTACCCAAGGTAACACTTCCATTCGTCATATTAATGACTCGCTCTCAGGCTCTTAGATGAGTCCCAATAATAGATTTACAATTCAAATAAGACAAAAGAAAGACGGCCGTCTATGTTGTTTTTGTGCACCGATGGGTGGATGAGAAACCTATGCTTCTCCCCCGTCATTTTCATTCTTTTTTTTTCCTGTTTTTGTTTCTTGTTACATCGTTTAAGTGGTAATATCGTTGCATTTAAGTCAACAAAAGCGATAATGCGTCTCGCGTGCCAGTTATATTGCATTATTAATAAAACTGTCTGATCTGTTCCGCCCCGTTCGAGGTCATCAATCATTTTCATAAATTTACGACGAATGTGTTGACACTGATATTAAACTGGCAGCACGCAATATGTGCCCGCCAGCAACTCTTTCTTCGCATGTTTTTCACCGAAGCCAATGCAGGAGTGTGCCTGACATGTTCTAGAGAAACTCGGAGTTCGCAAAGTAAAAACGCCTAAAAACTCAGTGAAAAACTCGGTGCAGAAACACCCGAGGACTAGGTGAGTATGCAAAAAAATAAATCATTTATATCATATCTTTGCGCTTATTTCTATACAACTGGTCTCGTTAGGCGATTGAACTGGCCTGTGCGTGTTCTATACTTACAAGTTAGGAAAAAGTTTGGCAGACCACATGTCTCGATAGGTTATTTAAAGAACAGAGGGGGTGAGTTTCTGAAGAAACTGTGGCGCTGCGTCGTTGGGGTATTAAAAGATAATCTAGTTTATCAACTGAGTTGATAATGCAGATCGGCTTCCGTTAAGAGTTTCGGGCTGAAGTTTCGGAAGTCGGCCCTTCGTCAGCCCTTTTGTCATCTGAGTTGATAAATCTAAAGTTCGCAAAGAATATAAAATAAGCTTCGGTCGCTACGTTCTACCAACCAAACGCATGAAAATGTACGCCGCAGTCTCTACGATAATATAAACAGAAGCGCTTTCAGATGCCCGACGGTGATTTATCGTAGAAAATATTTCATTTCACCTCCCCTTATCGGAGTATTAATCAGTTTTGCAGATCATTAATGAAGTTTACAGAATGACAACTGAAATTCACCTATGTTGTAGTTCTCAAATCGATATATATTTTACCTCTACGTCAATTATTTTGTTTGTTTAGCTTGGTCCGCGCCGATAGGAAAGTCCCTCGCCTAAACGACATTCTAGAGAGTGCCAAAACGACCAAAACATACTGTTAACGCTGACGCCCTTCTAACATTGTGCCTCGGGTATAGAGTGATTCATAGATAAACTATGGGAGTCACGCGAAGTGACTGAAAAAAAGAACACCCTCTATAAAAGAAAAAATGTAATTTCAGTTGTGCTTTGCCTTTTCACGTCTGGCGTAAGTAAACCCATTTGCTCTACAGAATGGATTCTTTTTGTTTTCAATTCAGGCATGTGCCCGAGTGAGAGAAAGAGATTGTTCATTTCTTCTGGACACTTGCTTGTTCGATGTAAATGGGTGATTTCCTTTTTCTTCGAATTCTAGAATAATTTGCTTGCAAGGCGTTTCATACGCGCGCTTTAGGCAGTTGTTCGCGGGCGCTATCACAATATTACTCATGCTTTGTTAGACTGGACATTTGTCTTTTAATGATACACCGAACTTTGTTTCAAACAAAAAACCTGCCAAATGGTACAACGGGTGAAAGCAAGATTGCTGCTCTTTAAACGAGACAAAGAAAACTAATAAAAAACCCAGCGGGAAGACTACGTCGGACTAATTTGCTCTACAGAAATTCAATCTGCATTTTGAATATCTTTTGGTAACCCTTTTCCGAAGGGCAATTGAAGGTACAGAGATTTTGTTGGTCTAACATTCAAGACTGGTAGCAAAAGAAAACAAGAATGTCGGCTTAAATTCTATATCTAGAACTGCACACTGGGTATCGCCATTGAGAAAGGGCCGGGCTATTTTATTGTCTGTTTTCCTATCTAAAAAACTTGTTCAGACAGGGCCTCCCCGTTTGATCTTTGTTTAGTCTGAGGTCATAAAAGGGAAAAAATAATCTCGAAAGTCTGCACGCAATGGATCGAGACGAAAACTTTTTTTAGTTTCTTCTGGGTGTCGAAAGCTGATAGCCACTCGTCGCAGTCAGCGTTCATTTGCTACCAATCAAAATCATCCGTAAGCGTAGAGTTTCGTTGAATTTGACCTGGAAGAGCGAAATAATCCAAAAAGGAACATACAGTATTTCCTTTCTGGCTTCCTGAAGGAAGTACTTGAGATGTCATCGGCAGCTTTCGCCGGCTGAATCCTGCATGCAGCGTCCCGCCATCATGTCAATTCATGTCGTATGTGCTTTGCTGAGCACGAATTTGTAAAAAGTCATATTGACATGTTAGGTTAATGGCAAATGTATTCTTCAAACATATTTGAACAGTTCGTAATGGGAGCTGATTGCGGTTAGCGGCAATATTTATATTGTTCCAAGCGATGAGTGGAAAACGGTGAGACAATATTTGTACAAACGTTCAGTTTATTTAACGATGCCAATTTGCTAATTTCAAGGCAATTAGTTTGGGGCCATTTTTATGCATGGAAACTTTTAAATTCAGATTGACTGAAAATTCTGATAATTCCCAAATGAAGCCTAAATATGGTCCGTTTCTAACACGCTTTGAGCTTTTCCTTGATCTTAAACTCCTTTTCCTCTTGGAGATGACAGAAATTTTACGCTAATGTTAGAAAAGCTTCATTTCATAAATTGAATCTTACCTCGAAAAAATACAACTTGTAACTGAGATTGAGAACGAAATTAATCTTTTTGTTTCTCAGTAATAAGGCTCTTTTCACTCTTGATCCAAAATATTAAAACAAACTTAGAACAACACCATTTGAATTAGAAAATGCAATACGATATCATGTAATCACTGCATGACGTAAGAGTTTCGAAAAAGGATCGGTCGAGATGTGTTTTGATCGAATATTGTTTGAGTTCATTCCCCGAAACTGATCCATACAGAATTTTCATCACGATTCTCAAGATTAGTATTAAAATTTCAAATTGTTCTTATAAGGTTGCGAAGTGTTGATGAAAATTCGTCTCCCGCAGGTTTTTAACACTGTCAACAATACACCTTTACATAAACAAAAGCGGTCCAACACGGCCGGAGGGTAAATTTGGACCAATAACAAAACGAGTTACGTGGACTCTCAAGGAACATCGCGCGAGCGTTCCATATCAGTCGGTTAACACATGTAAATTAAATCACTCTTGCGGTTTGCTCCGATCTGCTTCAGTTATTCTCGCGGAAAGGGCTTTGTTCGTTGAGTACATCAATGCATTATACGCCTCTCTCGAAACTCGTAGGATAATCTGCGGCGACTTAGCGAATTTTCAGTCTACAATTGTCGACGACAGGTAAGCCCGTAATGTTGTACTACAAGTGTCGTTTCTTTGCGCCACCGAAAACCGTTTTGTCTCAAGAATTGAGACTGCGCCGTTAATTGATTTTCTTTTCCGAGGATTTTAATACGCCTTTGTTCTGCTCTGAAAGGAATACAAACTGAGGTATATTATGCGATAATTCAAGTTTAGAAAAGTGAGATTAACTGTTGCCTGATCGATATATGCTCTCTCTCTCTCTCAACAGAATCGCGGCTTGAATGAATGGTTCGAGACTCCGATGAACTTTCAAGATCTTTACTATGAGTGCAGTATTTCATCAAGCGGTGCTCGATGGCGACACGACAAAAGTAAAGTTTATATTGAAATATGGGCAAGGAATACGGGTGAATCAGCCGAATAAATATGGATTAACCGCATTGCAGCAAGCTTGTAGAGATGGAAATTTAGCTTTAGCAAATTTTCTCTTAGAGCGAGGGGCGGATTTGAGTTTTGTGGATTCAGAAGGCCGCACGGCGCTACATCTCGCCTCAGAACAAGGCCATTTGGACATTGTTAGCTTGTTAGTGAATTCAGCTTGCGCCGATGTAAATGCAAGAAACGGAAATGGGCAAAAAGCGGTCGATGTTGCGAAAAGCGATCAAGTGCGAGCCCTACTTTCGCAAGCGATACTGTCCGAAAGTTTCAAGCAGAAATGTTCAGTCACCTATGGCTTAGACGAGGGTGCAGGTTACAACTTTAAAAATGTACCAGGCTGGAGGTATTCTATTTCGAGCACGTCCACAGACTCTGGTGTGTCTGAGGATTCTAGTTACAGCCACGATAGTGGTAACGATTCCAGATACTCCAGTAGACATTACCCTGCTGTAAGCTGTAATTACAGCAATACGGAGCAAACTGATCATTACGCTTCTGTTGAATGTTCACCGCGCTATTACCGTGACCAGAGATTTGATAAAGAAGAGTTGATTTACGCCCGGCGAGTCGAGGAACCCGCTAATCACGCTATGCTGACAAAAAGTCACTCATTCAACGGCGGCCGACACGAGTATGTTGTGAAATCAGGTAACGCGAGAAGAAAAGAAGGAAAGCAGAGCAGGGTGTTTTGTGGCGATGAATCACCAGCGCAGTATCGAAGGCAACATAAACTTCGTAAAGACCCGACAAGGCGAAAAACGGTTACTTTTGGCGAAAGCGAATCGTACACCATCGCCCCTCGTGAAGAACAACGGTATCTGAAGAGCTGTTCTCTCACACGGCCGCCAATTTCAAGTAGTAATCGGCAGCCTTTGCCCGAATCTTGGCGACACGCCACAACTACTGAGGCGAAAGCTTACAGTAGTCGCTCGATCTATCGAGAAGGCAGGGTAACTAACGACCTCGAAAAACATCAATCCGAGGACAAAATTGAAAATCCTCGCAAAGAGGGAAAATTCAAAAAGCACATTCTACCTGGCTTCTTAGAAAAATACGTTCATTAGACATCCACACATGTTGTTCGAAATGCATAAATTATGCACGAAGCGTCCACAAGTTCTAATTTATCAGCTTTGATATTTTGCTCGGAAAATGATCTTTTTTGCCAAAGGAAAACCGTTGTACATAGTTGATCTCGAAGATATATAGTATATTGTACAATAATCTGAGGAAACTATATATATATATTATTATACTCGACATGATCATAATTCATTGAATTTTGATATTTTAAATTTCGTAGTTTGGAATTTAAATCCTCGATGATACATATCTATTTATATGAGTGATGTAAACATTATGTATCCAGCCGTACATTTATTTAATAATTTTCAACTTTTAATTATTCCAGTAGGTTTATCGTCGATTTTCATTTATTGAATCGTTTTTTTTCCTTCCATTTTTTGGGCTATTTATGAAATTTATCTAATATTCCTCATTCGTACCTTGTTGTATATCTTTGAGGTGTTAACGTAACTTTTAATTTCATTCAATAACAATACTTTTAGAATCCTACTTTAGTATAAGTTGTATTTTTATTTTAGAATCAATGGCGTTTCGACTTGTTTCTGTCGCAAAAATAAATGCATAACCGTGATATTCAAGGTTTTGCACATGAATGAATGATTTATTTTGATGCGTATTACGGTACTCTGCTGTTTTGGCTACCAAACCACAACTAATAGAACTATCAGTCGATTTGGAGTCGCTCCAGAGAAATTTCTAGTATAATTTTGTTTCCCTTTTGATGTCATTTCTAGATTTTTTGTTCCTGTTTTGCTTTTAAGCGCTCTTTTTTTTTAAAAGTTATCAGTGAAAGAGTTGAAATTTGTCATAGAAATACTCAACTCTTTTCGTTAGAGCCACACCATGTCGTTCTAATCTTAATAGCTAACTACTAGTCTGGTTACAATTGCGCTAGAAAGTAAAAACCGGCCTTCGTTTTCATGCAACTAAACTGATTTTTAACTTGTAAACCAACTATCTTTGAGTCATTTTCTTAAATCAAGTTAGTGAACCTTGGGATTGTGCATTTTAGTCTTACTTTGTGGCAAGTTTTTCTCGTTTCGATAAACTTGAGTTCAAAAGAGTGACCGCGTTCATGCATGGCCAAATTTTCTCACGAGTCCAAAGTTTCAAGGGTGTTTACTTCGCTTCGTTTCCTGTGTTTTATGCAAATAAATTTGAAGACAAAGAGAACTCTCTTTGATTAATCGCGAAAGCAAACACTCCTTTCCGCCTTAAATTTACCGACAGAAAATAAATGAACTAAACAAACTGACGCGGTTTGCCTTCTTTGATCAAAACAGCCACTGCTGATAAGCTCAAGTCTAGTTTTACCATAAAAGCATTCTGGTGATAAAAGCGTTTTATCATATGATCCAAATCTGATACTCTTATCGGCTAACTCTCCTATCATGTGAAACTGTGCGCCTTACTCTCGCAGCTTCTGGAATTTTTAAAGTATTATCCAACAGAGTTATGACGAAATATAAACTTATCGGCTATAGGGTGGTGTCTTCAATCAATAAAAACAAGAAATGTCCAATTTACTCGAAAGTAAAATGAAGAATGCGCAATAGCCAATTGCTAATTACATTTTTTGGACTTGACCAAAAGGGCTCAGGATAGTTACAAGGTATCTTGTTTTGCATATAAACCAAAGTGAAAAAAAATCTGTCGTGTTAATGTTGGTGGGTGGATGGGCCATTCAGGCCTCTACACTACCCTGCCCCCCTGAGTTGTCTTTCGATCTTTACTCGTGATAGATCCTTGACTGCATCAAAAGGGAAAGCCATTTGAAGTAAAGAAGGAAATTACGTAATAGCCGGCACTGATTAGCTGCGCACTTTTTCGTGACATTGAACTGTGCAACCCATGTGTTCCGCAGCATGTGATTTTCATCTTGGTCACGATCTTGACGTTATTTATAGCTCTTGCTTTAAAAATACTTCAGTTTACGTTTACAGAACCGCTGGAGTACCCGCTTGCCAATTTATTTAAACATGTAAATTGCATTTACACAGCGCATTCTCCATATCAATAGGGTCTAATGCGTTGTGCAACAATCTGCGGGGGACTTTATTGAGTAATTTACACTTTTTTAAAAGAAATTTTGTAGGTACTGTACATCCCCAATTTGGGACTTTTTGAAAACAACATCAGACCACCCTACCGTAAAATACGTTCCTCACTCTCAGCGTCCCCTGCTTACCAGAAGAGAGAAGGTGCAAGAGACGCAGTCTACGTATTACCGTTCTTATTCGAGAAGGCTAGAACGTCTGACCACTTGCAGATGTCATAGCAACAGGTGCACTCTCTCCTCAGTTATTTTAATTAGGACCCGGAGTGTTGGTCCGGTCAGGGGATGTACTGGCAAATTTGCGCCATAAAACCTTAGCTAACCAAAATGCGGTTTGGTGTCCTGCTGAATGTAATCGTTTGATCGGTCGTGGAGTAAAATTTAAATCGGGGCGAGAGTTCCTGACGGAGTAAGACTGGGGCAGACCCTCGCGCCCATTGCCTCTGTTACCGACCCAGATCTCCTTCTTACGCACGATACAGTTTGGAATTTAGTTCCGTTTATAGCTGTCCGATCAGATGTTAAGTTAGGAAAGAAAGAAATAACTACACATATGAGAAAATCATCAACTCTCATTTCCTTTCTTTAACATAATCCATCAATCTTGTTTTTGTGAGGTGTCGAATGCAATCTCTGAGACCGCTCGAAAATGTGCCGGACGTCGCAGATCGTTGATAGAACTGACTTTGAGTTCTGTGCCGCTGAATTGGCTTCAATCTCTGAGAAGTGGTTTAAGGATGATCACCTCGATTATAAAATGTTCTTCATCGCTGAAAAATTTATGCAACATACTATAGTAACCATAGAGAGGCAGCTAATTTTAGGTTCGTGTCATGTAAGATTAGGGAAAGGTGGTCGGAGCTGAATTCAACTAAGGAAGTTTCCATACAAATTAAAAAATAAACAGACATGTAAGATAAAAATATTATATCAAAAATAAAGGAAAGGAGGCCAAACAAACCAAGTAATAAAAAGAATGACCACAATTATGGTACGTTTATATTCACCACTTTGGTAGATGATACTTTTAGCCCCAAACGTACTGTCTTACTTGTGGAACAAAGAAACAGACTCGTACCCAGTCGTTACTTGTTTTTTCTACCTACAGAGGAGTCTGGGAAGAATATCGGGGTGCGCCCGAGAAGGGGGGAGATGCAACGCGAGCTCGCTAAATCCGTCCCATCTGACAAAGTAATCTGTTTTTGAAAATATGATTTTCCCCAATTATAAAGAATATATAAATAATTAAGTACAACGATCAAGGAAGATCAGTTGATGAAAACCAAAAAATTGGACAGTTAATCGTTCTTCGATACTACTAAATATATACTGTACCTTTTACCGTTTAGAGAATATATCAGTGCTTCCAAAAAAGTAGATAGTTCAGTTTAAAATTCAAACTTTCCCCAACAATCATCGTTTCACAGTAACCATGACTGATATTTTATTCATTTTGTGGAAACCGCAAGAAAATCGGTTGCTATAGTACTCAGAAATAAGTAATGATTCAAAACGCTGAGGGACTCTTGATCAAAGAACAAACAAAATCGCCACAATCGATCGGAAAGTAAGCTTCGCCCTTCAGCTGAATTTCATCTACCATACAGATAATACCTTTGCAGAAAGAGTTCGTTTAGTAGTTCTTGTCTTTGTAAATGTGAAAACAAAGCAGTAAATAGTTGCATGAACTTTATCTGAAAGGACAAGACATGGCGTGGAGAACATTTCGAGATGTTTATTCTGAGGACAACAATTTTCTTATAGGAGAGGACTTCATCACTGATCGTCTTCGTCGAGAAGCAAGACAGCTTCATCTCAGCAAATTTAAAACAACCCGCCGTGAGGCACATTTTGCCAGATACAGAAACTCTTTTCTGAAGTGCGACTTGGAGCGAACGAACGATCGAATTGAGCAGGAGAGGCAATTGAGGTCTGCAGAAATGGAGAGAGAACGAGCGGTTTTTGTGAAGCAAGCTGAAAGACGAAGAAAAATAGTCCCTCGAAAATTAAGTGGTAACAATTCAAAGACAGCTTTTGCTACAACTGAAAAACTAGGAAGCATGGATGTACCTGATGAAGGGGATGAGGCTAAAAGTCTTCAAAATCACAGCCGGATTGTACGCCAAAGTAGTCAGGGTGTTAGACAGAGCATAATAAGCCAGAGCGCGTCACACGCGTCAAGTTTTGCAGGAAAACGCGATTTGGGGAAGGAGATTGAACAAACTGCGGCGATAAACGGCCGTCTTGAAGTAAGATCTGTGATGAGCATCGAGAATGAGAAATCTATTTTTAATCATGAAGGCACCGTTGATGAGGAGACGAACTCTGATCAAATCAATAATTCAGAAAATGCTGAATCTGAGAAAAAGGGAGGATCTGAAAAGGATAATCCACCTGTTTTGCCTGAGTCAGAATCAGGATCGGAACAAAATTTAACAATCACGTCGGCTCGAAGCCCTACACCAAAAACACGGAATGCAAGAGCCTCGCTTTTGAACCGAAGGAAGTCTAGCAGTGCAAAACTTCCACCGGCGGTGACCGTGAAGAAAATGAAAACCAAATCTGCACACGAAAGATGGATTTGGGGAGAGTTTGACAAAATTATGAAGGGCTTCGCAGATTTTTTACAGATAGAGCACGTGCGAGTCAATATGAAGCAAGAAGCTGCTATGGAAAAGAATGTTCGGACCAAACCAGCACAAAAGATATCTCTTAATTCAATGCAGACTCTCAGCCCACTGTTCTTTCGTTACGGAGTGTCGGATCAAATAGCTTTTCGCTTTTAAACGGTGGTGGTTTCAAAAATTTTTTCGACAGTGTTGCATGGTGGGCTGGTTTCTGTAGCTGTTGAGCGGTACATCCAAGCTGCTGACTTAAAGCACCTAATTAGCCACAAAGCGGCAGCAATACCACGTCCATATTTGTCATCGACCTTTCCATGGACATTAAAATGGACTCACTAGAGCGGTCAAATTTAACGATAGCTTGTGATCAGGCCCTCATTATTATTAGCACTGCAGAACGTGCGTTTCTACGCGCGGAAAGATTAACAAGAGTTGGGGAGAGCTTTAATTTGCTGGGGGTCTGGAAATCATTATCAGTGCCAGGCCCCTTGAAGACCCTTCACCGACTAGCGTCTCTCAAGGCCACATACTGGTTGGCCCGTGCCGAAACGCTAACGAGGAAGGCCTATTTGTTCAATGACTTTTATGTGTTTTTCTCGCCACGCATTTTAAGTATGGTGTGCTAGGGGAACCAAACCGCAAATTCTGAAATGTCTATTATTTTTTTGCTTCCGGCTTGCAAACTGAAGGGTACCCCTCTCAGTACTTTAAGTGATTCATTAGATGGTTGCTGACTTATTTTAAGCAGTGTTGCACCGCTTGTAGCACCGCTTATTTTAAGTTGATCGTTTTGCACGAGATCGCTGGCCTATTTAATAAGAGCTAATACCATCCGAAGAGTTCTGCTGAGTTGTCCCTCTAATACGGGTGCGGAGTGCTTTTTGGATACCGGTGAATTCTATGGCGCTATTCCTTGCAAAAAAAACATTATTTCGGAGGCTTACCATCCAGGACAGGCAGGCGTTATTTTTATGCTTTTTTAGAGCGCGAAATGGACAAACTTTCCTCATCTAGCAGTGACTTGCCCTCGGCGTTCGCCTCACGCGTCTCTGCTAGCCAGGAAACCTGGCCTGTTCTGTAGGCTAGGAAAGAAGAGACATTAAATTCTTATCAATCTAACCAGAAAAAAATCAAAGCACAATTGTCGCTGTTTAACTCATAAGTAAACAAAAGCTGATGGTCAAAGCGTTCACTTTTCAGCAGAGGTTTTTTTCGTTTCGACACTAAACATGTGGCCTTTCCCCTCTAAGCTGGTATCCAGTTCACTTCTCACAACGGTTTTCAGTTGCTTAGCAACAAATGGCTTGACTTTTTCGTTGACCAACCGCGTGTGCATTAATTATAAACAGATCAGTCTCTCGGCGGTAAACAATAAAACCTCACAACCACAACAATAGTTAATAATTCATTCAAGCATAAAGCTTCTTTGTCCGTCGAATCTTTGAAGCTTTCAGCGAGTTTAGAGTACAGTTTTACGAGTTACTTTCGAGTACGTTTGTATACAGAGCAATGTGATTACGTATTTTTGAGTCGCATCCGGATTCTTCATGGTTTAATTGCGTTTACCGTTGAATGCTTCAGTATGGTATAGAATTAATCATCAAAGTTTATATTAACAGAGGTAAACACTCAGCAGTGGCAAATACCGTGGAAACAAAATTAGCTCTGTCACAACACACTGATACTGGCGAACCTAGGATGGATTTAGACTTACGCGGCTCTACAATTTCTACGTCTCCGGCGAGAATAACGAACAGTTCTAGGGCGAGATCAGAGCCTTTTAGAACTCATGATACTCACTCAATGTTGGGCTCACCGCCAAATTCACGATGCACTAAATCTTGTCGCTCGGAGCTTGACATGACAGTTATGAACGAACACAACCGGGAGAGATTGATCGAAGCGTTTTTGCCTGATTTGAGAAAGAATCACACTCGTATGGGTTACATACATCGGGTGCAACCGTTTAATTTGAATCAGGAGAAGTTAAGGACAGTTCAAATCCGTGCAAAAACTGCGTCTTACAGCAGGGATCTTCGCGAGCATTCAAACATTTCCTTAGGTCGCGGCAGAAAGGCGGCGAACAGTACAACTCCTCGACCTAAATGGGCTGTCAAGCCTATTCCGATGAACTCTTCCAATGACAGGCTTTGCCCCGATATTCCCCCGCAAACGGTAGCGTTTGTCAAGCGTCATCAATGGAATTACAGTGATGGAAGATCATTTCTAGACAGACCTTTACCGAAGAGGTCACCTGACAAGTAGTTAAGCACTCGTATTTCCCGGAAGGGTTTTTAAATGGAGGTGTTACGATATCAGAAGCGAAGAGGTGATAAGACAAGAAATAATTTTCGAATGACACAGAGAAGGGGTTGCTAAGACTTGACGGTATCAATCGCTGATAGCTTCGATTCATATTGGAGACTATGGAATGCATTAAAAATTCACGGGTTCTCTAGACAACTTTGCCTTGCCTTTAAAAAATGAAAATGAGCCGTGATTTTACTCCAAACTGACACAAATAGAGCCTTATATTGGAGCAAACGTAAAATGATCAAGGCTTGACACTTTTAAATTAATGTCCGGAATAAATATGTACAATTGTAGCATGCTTACATTTCTCCTATTTATTTTGGCACTTGATAACGTTGCTAAGTATTAAAATATACTCTTTATGATCACATGTGTTATTTTATGGCTTATAACTAATCCCACAGCGTTCTCGTCAAAGCTTTATGATGACCTGCTTCGCTTTGTTACAACACAATTATTACTTTCAACGTTTTCTTTCTTCGTTGCTCTAGTGCTGTTATTCGCGGCAATAAGGAAAATAAGAAGATGGAGCAAACTTTCAGTGAAAAAGGAAACACAACACGGAATTTTCAAACTCTTTCCAAATCCTAAAAATAACCCTAGGGACCGGGGGAGCGGGAAGGAGAAATTTGGGGGGGATCTCATGGTTTTTAAGATAACAGAGGGGCGCAAGGCTTGTTGAGCTCTTCTCCCTGCTTGAACTCAACTTGAATTTGATTGAAGGACTAGTGGCGGGGGGGGGGGGAGGGGCGGTCAGAGAATTTTGGGGGGTATCACATGGTTTACAGAGTAGGATCATAAGAACTGTCTAAAGAGCCGTAAGGGGGATCAGGTACATTTTATTGTGACGCGACCAAAATCCTCCAACTTCCCCTCCCTTCCCCCTTCGCTGAACTAACTGATGATGACTTCCCTTTTGGTTATCGAAACATCAGTCACCATTTGCAGGATTATTCTCGACCGGATTATCCAAAGCTACACGTTTTTAAACGAGGTCAAACATTTTCAGTACAAACTGAACAGTGGCCAAAAACGAGGTCAGGGGGAGAGGAAGGGGGCGGGTGATGGGTGGGTTTCTATGATGCAAGTGATTTCCTTCTTTGACTGCTTATTCAGTTACTTAAACCCTTTATCCTTCAAGAGTGTCAAGCATCTCATTTCTCCTTACAATATCACAACCTGGATCAATCATAAAGCTCAGGAGAATAAAAGAAAAGATCATGAACTAAAGAAGCTCTTGATTGCTGAACAAATTCTTTTTGTTAGCGCCTCAGGAATTGTATACAGTGTGGAGAATATGCATACTGATATCAAGGTGTAATTCAAATACGAACAAGTCCCTGGTATAAGACCCTTCCCTGCCTCCATGGAAAATTATTCGCTCGCCCCCGTCAGCAGATAGATGATAAATTGTAATACCCTAAGCTTCGAGAAAAAGCAGATTACTCTTTGAAAAAAGATTTCAGACGTGACAGAGAAGCCTTACGTCAAAGTCTGTCTGCACGTACTTTGTGTTTTTCGAAGGAACGTTTTCACGGGTCAACGGCCTGCGGTCACCCAGCTTAACACGCTTGAAATAACTGTTGATGCCAAACTATATATTTGTTTTAAATTGTTCTTTTAAATTGTTAATTACCGAAACAAAATAATCTATCTATACGAATAAATAAGTGTATATACCTTTTGATAACTGACAGATGTTTTTTTGCATGATCTCTTCCTTAGAGACGTGACTTGAAAATTAAAATCCACTTTTTGGTTGTCAATGGGAAATGAATTGGAATGGAACGAGTTACCCACATCAAAATCCATACTTTTAATTTGTTTTTAAACTTAAAAATTATGTGTCAAGATTAACATAAATAATACTTGAATATATGACTATATATATATATATATACACATATATTTACGCAAGTTTCTTGCATGTGGGTTAGCATATGCAGTTAAGGAAAAAGGTTTTGGCTCATAATTTTATTGTATTACCAATCATTTCTGTCGGAAAAGTGACGTCAGCCGTGTAACCTCGCAACGCAAAACCAAGGGTGGTCTTTAGGATTGTGGTTTTGAAAAAAGATATAGGCTAAGATCGACGCGATACGAAGCGTGTAACGACTAGAATAAAGATAGGAAAAGAAAACTACGCGAGTGACTAGTGTTGCTATACTGGGATTTCCAACACTAACTGGCACCTCCGACGGGACTGAGATCGAGACATGGAACTGGAGGCACTTCAGAAGAATTTGGACGCAAAACTCAAGCTTTTGGCGTACAAGCAAGAAAAGGGAAAGGGCATTGTGGACAAGGCAAACGCGACAACTATTGGGAGACACCGTGACGGGTTGGTGTGTTTAGCAAAAGAAGCGGACGAGGTCAAATTAAAGATCGAAGAGAAGAAGATTGCAAAGGGTGAGCAAATGGACGAGGTATGTGCATGGAGCAATGAAATAGACAAAGTTATTGAGGGTGTAGACGCGGAGATCGAATACCTTGGGAAGTGTTTGGGGGAGGTGAAGAAAAAATCGCAAATGGCCGAAAAAGAAAGCGAGAAAAGCGACAATCGCGAAGGAGAGAGAGGAGCAACTCGCGTTTGAAAAAGCACAATGGGAAATGAAGCTTGATTACGAAAAAAAATCAGAAGAATTAGGTAGCAAAAAAGGGAAAGGGTTATCAGGCGATACCGGAATGCACGCAAAGTTGCCAAAGCTATCAATAACGAAGTTTGATGGGTCCTTCGAACAATGGCTCTCTTTTTGGAATAAATTTTCCGCGGAAATAGACGCGACGGATCTGTCAGCAGTGACAAAGTTCGCTTATCTAAAGGAACTCCTTGTTACAAAGGTACGAGCGGACATAGATGGACTCCCGTTCAATCTTGAGGGGTACGAAAGGGCGAAGGCCATCCTAAAATCGGAGTACGGAAAAACGTCAGAAATTGTAAATGCATATGTAAACAACATCATGGGTTTGCCTACCATCACAAGCGCCAGTCCAAAAGAAATTAATGAGTTTTACAAAAGGCTTCTGTTCAATGTACAAAGCTTAGAGACGCTCGGGAAGTTACGTGAAGTCTCCGGAAATGTGAGGGCGGTGTTAGACAAACTGAAAGGAATAAAGGGAGACTTAGTCCGGGGACACGAAGATTGGCGAGACTGGGATTTCGCTAAACTGATTCAGGCAATTAAAGGTTGGAGAGACATAAATTCAGAAGGAGAAGAAAGCGATGGTGGGAGTGTGTCCAAGAGGAAGAATGATCGCAACGACTGGAATGCCCGTGTTCCGCCGCCACGCGGAAGGTCTTATCAGGTCCAACAACAAGCAAATGGAGGACAGATGCGCGGATGCGTCTATTGCGATGACACGAACCACACATCCGCTAATTGCACCAAAGTTGTCGCGGTCGGAGACCGCAAACGAATTTTGAGCCAAAAACAGTTGTGTTTTAATTGTACAAGTGACAAACACAGAGCAGACAGCTGTAGAAGCCGCGGGTGTCATAACTGTCAACGCCGACATCACACGTCAATATGTGATCGCCCACCAAGCGGTCACACAACGAGGGGAAGATTTATGACGGCACAAAACAAAGGAACAGAGAGAGTCGTGTATCCCGTTGTTGTCGTGGAAGTAAATGGAATCAAATGCCGCGCACTCCTAGACACTGGGGCAGGCAGCTCATACGCGTCGTCAGCTATCCTTGAACACCTGGGAAACAAACCGCTACGAGAAGAATTCAAGCGCATAGAGATGATGCTTGGGTCAACAAACAAGGTCATCGGAGTTCATAGCGTGACGATTGGCAGCCTTGATGGAAAATTTCGATTGGAAACGGAAGTCACCAGAGTGGACCGTAGTACATTGCTATCACTTGACAACCCAGGATATGCTGGGATACTGGAGAAATATCCCTACTTGGATGGGGTATACATGGACGACAGAGACGAGAAGCCTGAGCTACCAGTCCACATTATCCTGGGTGCGAGCGAGTACGCGAAAATAAAGACAGAAACCATACCAAAGATCGGATGTCCCGGCGGACCTGTTGCAGAGCTAACAAAGTTCGGATGGACAATTATGTCACCAGGTAAAGAAGTTGACCTCTCTAATATGTTCTTGACCCAGACGACAGCGGCAGATTACGAACAACTATGCAAATTAGATGTTCTAGGATTGCGTGACACACCAGGCGGAGATCAAGCAGATGTTTATGAAGAATTCAAGGAACAATTAACACGAGGGCCAGAGGGATGGTACGAGACGGGGGGCTACCCTGAGGGGAAACCACCCTCCACTGCCCAACCACAGAGCGGGAAGCTTGAAGCGATTGGAAAGTACCATTCGGAAACTGGAGAAGAACGGAATACTCCAGAAGTATGACGCCATAATTAAAGACCAGCTTAACGAAGGAATAGTGGAGCGAGTGTCAGGCCCACCAGTGGGAAAGGAGTTCTATATTCCACATAAAGCAGTGGTGAGAGAAGCTGCAGAGAGTACCAAACTTCGAATCGTGTACGACGCCTCTGCCCGAGCTTCAGAGAAGGCTCCTTCTCTCAACGAGTGCCTTCACGCGGGACCTCCGTTGCAGAACAAGCTTTGGGCTGTTCTTGTCCGTGCACGTTTCCACCCAGTCGCGTTAACAGGTGATATCAAGCAAGCGTTCTTACAAGTACGAATACGGGAAGAAGACAGGGATGCCATGAGATTCCACTGGATCACGGACTTGCAATCCAGGCGAGTGGAAACACTGAGATTCACGAGAGCTCTGTTTGGTTTGGCCCCATCGCCCTTTCTTCTTGGGGGAGTTATCAAACAACACCTGGAAGCCTGTCGTACCGAGAATCCGGACCTGGTGAGGGAAATAGAGAAGAGTCTATACGTCGATGACCTTATCAGCGGGGGACCCACCGTAAAAGCTGCCCTTGAAGTCAAAGCAGGCGTTACCCAGGTCTTTAACCAAGCCTCATTCAAGCTGCACAAGTGGCATTCAAATGTTCCGGCAGTGGAGTCCCCTGGTGATCCTCTTAGCGAAGATACTACATTCGCGAAAGAACAGTTGGGTGCACCTCAAGAAGGAGGGGGATCTATTCTCGGGCTTCCATGGAACAAGCGACAAGATACCATTGAAATAAATTTCCCAACTGACCGCACCCAAGTGACAAAGAGAGGGATACTAGCGAAGATAGCAAGAGTGTATGACCCGTTAGGGCTCGCAGCGCCTATGACATTGAGTGGAAAACTACTGTACCGAGACGCATGTGATTTGAAAGTCGGATGGGATGCTCAACTTCCTGGTCAACTGGGAACCAAGTGGTCAAGATGGGAAGCACAGCTACCAGTGAGCATTTCCGTACCCAGAGCCATACCTCAACACTTTGAAGAGATCAGCAACATTGAGCTACATTGTTTCGGCGACGCAAGCGGACAAGGCGTTTCTGCGGCAGTGTACGGTGTCATATCTCAACCATCCGGTGATAGTGTTGGGCTGATAGCAGCCAAGGCTAGACTGGCGAAGCAAGGCCTCACCATCCCCCGCCTCGAGTTGGTCTCCGGTCACATGGCGACCAATCTCATTGTGAACGTTAAGGAAGCATTAGAGGGTTTCCCAGTTGGAAATATGGTTTGCTGGTTGGACAGCAGCGTTGCGTTACATTGGATCAAGGGAGCAGGGAGTTACAAGCAGTTTGTAAGCAATCGAGTGCAGAAAATCCAGCAACACCCAGAAGTAAACTGGCGTCATGTGGGTACAAAGGACAACCCAGCTGACCTTGGCAGTCGGAGCGGAAGCGTGGAAAATGAAGAGCTATGGTGGAGAGGGCCTGAGTGGCTACTAGACATATTAAGACAACGGCCACACCAGACAGTCAGGCGGAAGCAAAAGTGATACGGGACGTATTCGCTGTAGCACAAGCTAAGACAGACATCCTAGACGCCTTGCTGATCAAGTTCAACTTATGGAAAACCCTAAGGGTTTGTGCGTGGGTGACTCGATTCATACATAACCTACGGAGCGAAAAGACGAGAAGATCTAAGGGACCACTCACGACAGAGGAGATCGAGATGCAGCGACACCTGTGGCTAAAGCGAACACAGGTGAAATTCAAGAGAGACGAGCGGTTCGAAGATCATCGTGTTCAGCTGAACCTACAAGAAAACGCAGACGGGTTACTGGAATGCCGAGGGCGGATTCAGGGAGACTATCCCATTTACTTGCCTGAGTCTCATCCGTTCACGGAGAAGATGGTGGCAGACGCACATATCAGGACACTCCACGGGGGAGTGAGCCTCACAATGGCAAAGATTCGTGAAAGGTACTGGGTTCCCAGGTTGCGTCGCCTTGCAAAAAGAGTCGTTAAAGCTTGTAACGGCTGCAAGCGGTTCCGCGCCACAGCGTTTGCGGTTCCGCCACCAGGACAGCTACCAAGGGATCGTACCGAAGGAAAAAATGCGTTCCAAGTAGTCGGAGTGGATTTCGCCGGACCACTGAAGTATAGAAAGGGGAGGAATCATGAAGGCAAAGCTTACATAACGCTTTACGCCTGTAGCCTGACCAGAGGAATTTACCTTGAGCTACTACCCAGCCTAGAAACGGGAGAATTCCTTCGATGCCTGAAACGGTTTATCGCCCGACGTGGGCGGCCAGAAAAGATTTACTCAGACAACGGGAGTACCTTCGTGGCAGCAGCTAAGTGGCTGAAACAAGTGATGACTGACGAACGCCTCAACGAATTCCTCTCCCGTCAAGAAATCAAGTGGCAATTCAACCTGAGCAGAGCGCCCTGGTGGGGAGGGCAGTTCGAGAGAATGGTTGGATTGGTGAAGAGAAGTCTACAGAAGACCATTGGAAACGGGTTCCTAACGTGGACCGAGTTAGAGGAGGTTATACTAGACGTAGAGGTTGCAGTCAACAACCGACCTTTAAGTTACGTGGAGGACGATGTGCAGCTACCGATCTTGACCCCCCACTCCTTGTTGTTTGGTCAACCAAATGCACTACTCGAGTTGGAACCGCACTGCATAGAAGACGGTGAATTACGCAAGCGAGCAAAGTATCTCAGACGATGCAAGGAGGCCGTCTGGAAGCGATGGACGGGGGAGTACTTAAAGGGGCTGCGCGAACGCCATCGTCTAAAGAATCCTGGAAAGCCCGAAAATCCTATTGTGGGCGAGGTCGTGCTGATCAAGTCGGACGACAAGAATCGCGGGAAATGGAAGGTCGGGATCGTCACGGAACTAATCAAAGGGCGTGACGGTGTTGTCCGGGGAGTAAAGTTGCGCACAGGGACCTCACATCTAGAGCGAGCAGTACAGCAGCTGTATCCGTTAGAACTGTCATGTGATCGACCGGGAGACGGCGACAGACCTCCAACGACCGAGTTGCGCATTGAAGCGCCAGCGTTCAGGCCTTCCCGTGATGCAGCCGTCGCAGCAAGATTACGTATGGAGGATCTTGCTCACGATGAGGAAGGGGGTTGAACTTTGAACCAAACCGAAACAGATTGGATGACAACAGCGGATCGGATGCTTGAACATTCTACTTATGAACTGAACATCTGCCACTATGGCTACTGATTGATCAATGATTAGTGTGATTAGGAAATCGATTGAAAATTCTAGATGATAGATTCGTTCATAAAATCTAAGTGATAAGGTTCATTCCTCGACAGACATTTGCTCTCCGAGACAAATGGGGGGAGGGTGTCGGAAAAGTGACGTCAGCCGTGTAACCTCGCAACGCAAAACCAAGGGTGGTCTTTAGGATTGTGGTTTTGAAAAAAGATATAGGCTAAGATCGACGCGATACGAAGCGTGTAACGACTAGAATAAAGATAGGAAAAGAAAACTACGCGAGTGACTAGTGTTGCTATACTGGGATTTCCAACAATTTCAATCACCATACGTATATTTTTGTACAGAGCGCGTTTCAAATAAATTCGAACGAGAACTCAGTAGTTTGTTTTCTTTAGATTTTAAGCTTCTTTTTTCATGTATACAGCTGTGTATGATCTGAATAATTTATAATTTTAAGTTCAGTCATAGTCGAGTTCCTCTCCAAATGCTTTTTTAGCTGAAATTATTATTATTGTACATGTCGCGAATTCTGTCCGAAGAAGCTCGTTTTGTTCTTGAATTTTTTCTGGGTCGTCTGATCGATTCTGGATGATCCTTTGTCTCGCTTAAACACTGCTCGAGTTTCATGAACCTCGGATCCTCAAGGCACTTTTGAGTTTTTTCTCGAGAGACTCTGAGCATTTCTGGTAAACTCGGCTGTTTTCGAAGCGGTGGCTTTCTCTTTGGAGACCCTAACGGTTCCCTAAGTATTCCCTCGTTTCCGTGAATTGGTGGTAACTGATGTCGATCCGGCGTGTCGCTCGCGTGTACATCAACGTGTTTATTTCCAGATATTTTTCTCCTAGGACTTGACAACGGCTTTGCGCTGCCTTTCTGCGATGGCCTATTTTGCACCGCTAATCGAACAAGAGTTATTGCCTTTTCCCAACGTCCTTTTGCTTTATCATTTCCAACTAATTCCCCGCTTGGATTTGTGCGACACGCTTCTAAATTCGAAGCTACGATATTTGATCTTCCTCGCGTATCTATCGGGGGTAACTGTTCGCCATTATCGACATTTTGTTGAACCTGTTTGATGCCTTCTTGTCCATTTAGCGTTCGGGGTCGTTCTTCTGACGCTGAAACCTGCTTCGTGGCAAATTCAAGCTGTCTATAAGTCATGTATTTATCTTGCCTGAATTGATGTTTAGATAACTCGTCCAAGCGCGTGCTGAGTGCTCGATCTTCGTAGGCATTTTCCTTGAGTATTGCATTTCCAACCTTGTTCTTCAGCCTCATTTCTCCTGTCTTGCTGATGCGAATAAGCGGGTATCTTGATGAACTAACACTCATATTGAAATAATGTCTTTAACAGCCACTAAAACAGCCTCAATTCTTTAACCACATTTCCGTGCTTTTTGGTCTTTTAAGAATCAACACCCTGTCTGAAATATTTCCAATTCTAGCCGGTCTTAGTGCGTTTTATGAATTGCTTGACTACTTGTTACGAAACTTGATCCGTTTTCCGCAGGGCTCTTGAAATAAAACCACACCGTTACATCAATTCGACCAAATTCACCACTTCAGGGCGTTCTTAAAATTTTTGCATTTCCTCCGATCAGGTGGCTTAATCAACTTTGTTTGATAAACATCTACAAAGACTCTAATAACACAGCGCGAGCGATTTAATTGACGAATACTCGCTTTGCATAAACTTTCATAGCATAATTAGAATTTGTAAAATCTTGCAATTTAGCAGGTCCCGGTGGAATTCAATGGATTAATAAAGAAACGCATTAAGAACTCTTAAGGACGCTTAATTCTGCCATTCACCGCTTTAGGAAGCTTCATAGTAAAGCGAATTGTTTGAAACACAAAGGTTTTTGGATGACTGTTACAATTTTGAAGATGAGTTTCATCGACATAAGAGTTCTTATTCTGACGCATTTATCGAATAAGTATTGACTTCACCTGTCACTCTTGTTTGTTTGTGGCTAAGTGTAAATTTTTTCATTAACACCTTTTATGACGCCAAAATGAATTAACTTGTTTACAAAGGTTTAGCGAGGAGTGAACAGACTTAATGGCGCAAATATTGCGCTGGGAATCCCAAAGATATAGTGCATGCTGTTAAAATTTTAGAAGATTTATCAGTCATAAAGCCTAAAACATAAAAACGTAAATTTGTTCGCTCGGTGATGCTAACTGCGCGGAATTTTTGTTTGTTGATAAACTGCAAGGACGAATTCCCGGGCCCTGCGGTTCGCGTGTGCAGGGGGTCAAAAGCGTATTTACAGACTGCGAACCTGCGATAGGATATGGATATGACGATTTGCGAGCTGTTACTTAGTTGGACGATTTCAAAACAAACTGCTCTAACTGCTGCATGATGCGGCCTAAAGAAATTCGACTCGCAAACCTCTTATGCCCTGGGGCACGGATGTTGCAAAAACCCATCGACTAAAATGTTTTGTTATTTTTTTAATTTGAACTTAAGCTCAAAAGCCGCAGCATTGTGGCATTAACTACTGTAAGATAACGAGCGCAATAGCGCACGAAAGTCAGTTGTTGCTTTTTACAGTTTTCTCAACGGTAAAAATTGAAGATGAAAACATCTGACATCTGTCCTTTATTCTAATCATGTGAATAATTAATAACATGCCATAGCTAAGATAACATCGACATATTCTCTAGCTATTAGACTACCAGCCATCCCTTACAGGTGAAAAATTAAATAAAATAAATAATGTTAGCGCGTTGTGCGAACTAATCTATGCGCTTCACTCCCGGAATTTTTTCACTGATTTTGTGACTCGTGACTCAGTAAAGTACTGATCATTCGTCAATCGTTGATATGAATTGAATTTGATAGTATTCAGATTTGACAAGTACGGAAGGAAATTTTTTCAGCGTCTCCTCTAAGATTTCAAGTGCGGTTAAAACTATAACAGAAAGTTGCCAACCAAAACTTTAAAAATAAAACTAGAGAAAAGAAAGGTGTAATATTCACGAATAACACCTACAGTTGCTGCCGAGTTTACTTTTTGCTGCACTGTAAGATGCGATGTTGAACTGTGCACTGAACTATTGCCTCCAACGAGCGAAACAAACCAACTAAGCTATGTAACTATTTACGGTGGCAAATTTACGTTATCAACTCAGTTGGGTAAAATTTCCGCACAGCCCTATACCACATTGTGCATTCAGTTCTTGGATAGAGAAAACAATGACAAAAACAATACATTTCCACTGGGAAAACAGATTTGTTTTACAGTAGTATGGAGCGGTGCGGAAATTTTACCCTCAGTTGACACGACTAAATCACCCTGCTATACTCTCCCACCGACGCAGCACCAGAGTTTCTTGAAAAACTTGCCCCCTTTATAACTGACAAACTACCTCATTTCTGTGTACTGAAAACCTTCAATCTCAACATAAAATATAATACGAATAAATTACATACCATTTTTGCACTGACACATTCCTCACGAGCGATAAAAAAAATCAAAATAACATTCTTAAACGAAACAATGTACAAAGGAAAAAACAAAAGAAAACTATCTAGAGCTAGCTAAAAGCGTCAATTAATTGGAATTTTGATCTTAGTGAAGAACTGACCGATGAAAGACCAATCGACTTGTACGGGGATGACTGGATTGTGAGAAAAAACATACGCACAAAAGAATTAAAGAAAGTGCCTTGAAGAGGTGGGACGACATTTATTTTATTTTTTTCGTAAAGCGTCTATGTCTCTACTGAAGTATGATAAAGACAAAAAACAAAACAAAACAAAACAAAAAAGGAGAAAAAAGGTGATCGTAGATTTTACCGTTCTCTTTATGGTCTCTCGACGATGATATTTTTAAGAATTACAATTTACGCGATAAACTGAAAAATTCGCCTGAACGGATTTTTTTTTTGGATGTTCAAGATTAGACGAAATCGGATTCTATTTCCAGTCATCCTTTTTCTTTTTTTCCATTCAACTAAATAAAACTCATTTACGTAAGAGGCCTTTGACTCTTTAAATGGATGACTTTTACTTTACTCAAAAGGATCCTTATCGAGCGCTGTAAATGAAATACTCATATTTTTACGTGAGAAGTCCAAGGTTAACCCACTCCACTTCTTTGTACGACCATCCGAAAATCTTTTACAGTCGAGATAACAAAATTCAAGACATTCAAACCATCGTAAGCGTCAAGTGGCCCGCGAAATACGGAAAACTATACTGATAAACAAACCGAAAGAAATTAATCCGGATGTAGCGATTCTAATGACTACATTTTCAGCCGTAATTTACACTTACATTAGTACGACCAAGAGAGAGATTACAATCTCTTGGCATAACTTAGAAGCTGATAAAATGCTTAGAGGTTCTTAAAAAGCAACAAGATTGAATTGAAGACTAATTCCGAGTCCATCTGGAGCCATACAAGACGCACCTTGCTGTTTATTCACTGCTACGAGGAACTCGCTTTAATTTCACGGTAGACGAAACGCATGGACTGACCTAGACTATTTCCGCCCAATCAAGAGAAATTTGTGGTGCAGTTGTTTTCTCGTGACGCCGTTCTACGCTTTTTTGGAGATTGCATTTTAAAAACATATGTTGAAATCCGTACATTCGCCTTTCATTTCCACCTTTCTCTATGAATAATTTATTCTGCTAGAAAGCAAGCGACCGAGACCGAAGAATCAGTTTGCCAATTGACATATGTCTTCATCAGCTGCATTCCTCTGACCAAATTTATCCCGAAAACAAAAGCCATCGCCGTTCGTAAACAAAGTGTTTTCCATATATTTCTTTAGAGAAGCTGTTAATAAAAGTACAGTGTTTACAAACACAAAGTAATAAACTATACCGTATTTGCATATGAAATCCGCTCCATTATGAACTGGCAAATAACTGTTCACATTGTGGACTTTTGAGGCCAACTATCCAATAACAGGACAATGGAACATCCTGCTAGGTAAGTCTTGAGACAAAAACATATAAGCACCCTTTGAAAGGCTTTTTCTGTATTTACTTTAGAGTTGATGGCTTTAAATCTTCCTGGAGACGTTTGCCATCTCATGTCTCTCAACACTGAAGTGTTAAAATCTAACCCTGTTACAATGCGGTGAACTTGACGTGTCGTGTCGACTCAGTAACAGTGATTAAATTAGCGCAAGCGGTAATAGAGGTCGTCAGTAGATAACCTAGATGTCTTTCTGCATTGATGGGCATGGTCGGATCGTGTCACCGAGGAGACTCAGCTAAAACAACACGGAAATCTAGCTAAGAAGTAGAGTTTCGACAAAAGGCACATGATTTAGCGGAAAAGGCAAGTGAACACCAAAATGACGCCATACAGTTTCATCTTACGGTCAGTGTGTCTAACGAATCAATTAGTCCTCTTCATTAAGGGATAAGTCTATAGCATACGTCGTTACAAACGTTTAGGGAAGGTTTTAAGCGTGGATTTCCGATGTGTTAGTTTTCGGTGGCGAGTGGAGGAGTGTAAACGTGAAGACCAAAGTGTTATGGTCACGGAATCGAAGAAGTAATCTGCTGCACGGAGGTCTGCAAAGAGGCGATTAAAATACCACGGATTATCGAGGATACAAACACAAATCGGGTTATTTACACGTCTTATTTAATTACTAAAAGTTATGGACTTTGAAGCCGCAAGAAGAAATGCAGACGATAGACTTACTCAGGAGCTCACCAGGATCCGCAACCTTCCTAAGCGAAGCAAAATCAAAATAGCTAACAAATACGGCTTGAAACATGCGAGTCACACAAATGCAGGTCTGCTGAAATCACTGGAGATTGACTTAAATGTTATATCAAGAGAACAGAGAAGAGTAGCGAATGAATGCAATAAAAGACAGAGAGAATTCACGGAAGTTCAAAGGAAATCTTTGTCAAAGTTTCTTCCTCCCATTGCACAGGAAGATGAGGGAGAAAGGAAATCAACCGTACAAGGAAAGACTCAAAGACAACGAAAGACCACAACTGTTATTGATCAGACACCCATGTGGTTGAAAGGTCGAAAGGAGTCCATCTGTGAACTGAAACGAGAAATGCTCCTAGATATGACGGCACGAAGCAAAGAGAAGACATATGAGATTATTTCGAAGAACAACAAAAAGACTTCCATCGGAGCACCGTTGCCCCCAATTCGGGATATTGAAGTCGAGGTTGATAGGGAAGCTTTGATTACTCGATTGAATCGTCAACGCAAAAATGCTTTTGCGGGAAGTTGTTTTCCATTTTTGCTGGCGGAAAACCAAGAATATAACAGAGAGGGAGTTAAATATCCAATAAAAAAGCCTTATCAAGATCAACGAGAACCGTGTTTGCCATCAAACTACGCTCAGGATAATGAACAAGACGATTTTCGAAAAAGAACGTATAGGGGAACAGTTTATCAAAAGATTCTTAAGATTCCTGATCCTTCTAAGATTCCTCATTTAAATCCTAGAGACCCTAAACTTTATCATGTCGTCATGAAAGCGCGAAAAAGAAAGGTATCCAAGTTGGAACAAGCTGATCATGTTGTAGCTCGCAAAAACACCGTGTCCACGAGGCACTGGAAATGATGACGACGATTTCTACAGCCAAAATGGTTTTTTATTGAGTCAATTGAATATTAACACGACATATCTGCTCTATTTTGCTTAAAGTTACACGCGGCTGGAAAATCAATTATTCAAGGATTTAGCCTCAGTGTTTGTTTTACGAGGAAGTCGTTCACGGTTTGTTTGGGTAGTCTGCAAGGGCGCCAAAGAAATGAAAGGACATCCGTTTTTAACATTGAAAATGCATCGTATTTCTTTTTTTTTTTTTTCTTCCTTCTTATATAAATCAAATGGAGATTTGAACTAATTGTTTTTCTTAAAGTTATCAGGATCAAAGAGGAAGGAAAGATGATGACAATAAAAAATTCAAATAGTAAAGGTTTTAAACTAAAAAAAAATACTGCAAAGTTGTAGTAAACGGTTTACATATTGGATCCAAAATATGGTTACTGTAACATATTTCTTTTGGCGCAAGGAAATTTGATCAGGAACCTGTGCGGCCACTAATTTGTTTTCTGTGAAATTCAACCCAACCGCTTCACTGATGTTGTTTATTAGGAAAACAGTTGTGTTTTATTTGTCTTTTGAAAATGTGTAGTTAGCTTTTATCATATCTCAACAATCAAAAGTTTTTTTTACGCTTCTTTTGGAGGAAAAGATTTGCGACGAAAGCTTTGTACTTTTGATAGGCTCGCAACGCGTATTAACTGAACCCGCGCCGTTTTGCTCAGGCGGTTGATTCTCGAAGGAAGTGAACATATGTCGTGAAAAGGTAGCGTTTTGCACCTGAATTAGCCTTTCGGCATCATCTTTCAACATATAGTGAGCTGAGCAGAAAAGAGAGACCAATTGGGTCTGTAATCATGCAAGTGATTAACAAAATCGGATGACCGCGAAGCAGTCATGTTAACTCGGCGGAATGCGAGACAAAAGCGCGCGCAAATGACGCGTTCTCTCCACTTACACAGGTATGACGTGTTAACTGTCCCTTTAAGTGTCCTATTGCACCGTCCAATTACAAGCATAACGCGTAATCTGCCCTATTAGTGTCTAATTAAATCGGGCTGGTGATATTCAATTACGTTCCACAATTTTATTATAGTTTTGATTAATAATGGTAAAAGGAACGATTGGAATACAATCATACGATGTGATAAACAAAATCGAGTAAATACGTGTTATCAACTGAGTTGATAACGTAAATTGGCCACCGTACAGGGTTTAAAGGTAAGGCTGACGTTTCGAGCGTTAGCCCTTCGTTAGGGCGATTTGATGACACCGGCATACATTGGTCATACACACTGATAAATAATATAAACACGAAATTTTAATAATGGTTGTATCATTCTTACGTCCAAATTGATCCAAAAGTGAAAATATGAAGTTCAAGATAATTTTTTTCAAAGATTTGATTACTGATGTAAAATTGATTCCAATTGCAGTTCAAACAAAGTTTCATTTCATTTACTGCAGTGATGGTAGCCATACAATGATTTACCACCTAGGTACCCGTGATAAACTTACTGCGTACGCTGTCTCACTTATCTTCGCTTCGACCGAGTTTCATTATTGTTTATCTTACATTTAACTTGGCAGGTTTTGAGATATCTATCACTGCAGGAACTGCAGAGCATTTCTCTTCCGAGTTTCCATCGTGAAGCAAATTCTTTTGATAACGCTCCAACTGTTTGGACAAAGACAACCTCTTTCTTTCTTCCTGAGTTCGAAACCCTTTGTAAGTCGCCATATTGAATACGGGAGTGATATAAGCATCCTTGTTGACTAATAGATAAGGCAGATATAAACTAGGCGGTATGGTCCGTCTTTCCACAGAGGGAATCCTTTTAGTCAATCTTATCGTGCTATCGTCACCGTGAAATGAGTTTGTTTGGACTGCGTCGACAGAATGCACCCTTGTCAATCGTAAAACCTTGCGCGATTGCAATCTTTCCTGATCATAAAACCTTTGGGACGTTCTCTTTTCTTCTATCAGCGATGTATCAGTGTCTTTCATCCTGTCCTTAAAACAAAGTCTATAGGGTATTTTCTCCTCGATCTTTCCTTTACTTATGGCGTCTGATTGTTGCTTGCGGCCAAACTTCATGCCTGAATCCATGATTACATGACAGTAGTTTTCTTCAGTGCAGCCCACATCTCGCGCTAAAAGACAGCGGTGTTGTTTCTCGATTGTTCATTAAAGTAATCCTGTAGTTAAAAGTCAATGACGTTTGTTTTGTTTTTCACAAGATATTTCCTTAGTCCGGCAGTGCATTTCATTGGTCGAGAAAGGATCATTGACAATTAGGCATATCCAAATACTAATTGGTTTTCAGGTATAATATATATCATAACGATTACAATGCCTTGAAAGTTCCCCATATGATAGACATAAACCTTTGCTGTCTTCAATAAATTTTTCTGATTTCCCTAATCGCTAAACGACCTGCTTCGACCTGGATCAAATAGGAGGAGAGTCACAAACTTAGCTGACGAAACGGAAACAGAAAATGACTGGATTTCGGTGTAAAGTAGCTGTAAAGTGTAAACATGCAAGTTAAAAGAGACATCGTTTACAATTGATTTAAATAATAGGTAAACGAAGAGGATATTAGAAGCAGTAAAGGAAAGAATAAACACAACGCTTTTTCATAATTTTTAATAATTGGTCTTACAATAAGCCAGACTTTGATCGACTTTTTTCTTCGCCATTTTTATGAATTCCTGAACAGTTAACTAAAGTACTATGTATTGATTTTTCAACAAAGCGTAAGAGAAAATAAAATAATTATTGACACTATTGATAAGAACAGAAATCCAGTCTTTTAAGAAACAATAACGGTCACCATAACCTTTATTTGATGTAAAGAACTGACAAACAGCACTAAGTGAAGATTTACTAAACATTTCGAGTCTATATAAAGGGAGGGTTTTCAAGGTGGAAAACTGTGTACACGAATCCAGTTACTTGACAATGCCATGAAGGTTTCTAACTTTTGCATGACAAAAAGCTAAGATTAAAGGAACTCAAGTGCTTTTCAATGCTTTCTTTTGTCTAAGCAGTTCAGAAGTATTTGCACAGTCGGTCAATCACGTTTTTACGTTGAACCCGTTGGGAATATCAGGGACCAAATACTTATTCTTTTGTACTAGTACTGGGTCAACATATTCACAGAGTTTTAACCGACAAATGCTGCTAAGTTTTGTTATAAGACCCTTCACATTTACTTTTTGAGGCACAAGTCCCGTTTTTCTCATTGGCGGTAACTCCCATTGTCTTAATAAATCGCGACGAACTGATTCTCTATACCAACAACATCGGTTACCACAGAAAGGGTCAGTAAATAAAGTAAATATAATTGAACCTGGCGAGACCAACTTGAAAAGCATTGATGATGCAAATTAAAGACTCAGTGATGTTTCAACAGAGAAGCTTTGTACTCTCTGAGATAACATCTTTGTTGAAGGCAGTCCAGTTAAAAGCGTTGATACTCTAAATCAAAAAAATTTTATCATGCTTACATGACAGAAGAGGTTTCAGAAAGAGGCTTTTAAGATTATAAAAGGTCCACACTTTTCCTCATATTTTGATAACTTAAACTGATTCCCTTATTGCCATGATCAAGTCGAGCTAGTTTGAAATGCTCTGTAAAATGTAAATATGTGTTTCCTTGTGGAGAAAGATCAAAGTTTCCACTTCATGTAATATAACCTCCGTCGAAGAAAAAATAGTTTGCTATCACAAAAGTTTCAGATATAAGTCAGTTAAAGCAATTTCAAAGAAAATAGAGGCATTTCCCTTTTCTGTACACAATTTACTGCTGCCGTGTGATATCAGATGATTTGAGCCTCACTCTTCAAGCAAATAACTTTAATTGTTGATCCATCTTTCCAGAGTTATATAACTTGGAACACAACTGTAGCAGCGTATTTTACTCTTGAAGATCCTTTTTCGAAACTGCTTGAACACTTCACATTTTCGCTTTGACTCTTGGAGACTCCGAGGCGAAAAGTTGTTTAATCACATTCTTTTCTTTGATCTCCTACGGTTTGTGTACATCAAATACTGAAGCCTGTTTCCATGATCAGTTCATCTGTGTTATCATTGTCAAGCTCCGAGTTCTTCTGAGCTCTATTTATTACGAAAGTCTTTGATTTACAACGTTTAAACCAGTCAACTTGGGTAACTTTAATTTTAGAGACTGTGAATCCGTCTTGTTTCCAAGCTCGCTGCACCCACTGTTAGCGAATCTGTCCTCCTCCTCCTCTTGTCTGTGGCTTTTAAGCGCTAAAGAGCAATCATGGCGATATGGTTTGCCCTTATAGTCTTCAACAGCACGGCCACTGTTAGTCATATGTACCTCATTCGATGTCAGCTCTCTGTTCCCAGTGTTGCACATACCCCTGTAAGCTTCGGGGTTTGTTATGCTCGGAAGTTCATAAATCGGCGGGAAAAGGAGTCGGTTGACTGAGTTATTTGGACGTACTGTGACCTCTTCTTCCTGGCGTTCACTAAATGGCGCAATGTCTCGCCAGGAACACATTTGTCTCTGACGATTCTTTTGAAGACGTTCCAGTTTTTTCGGTTCAATTTTCCCGTAAGGGATGCAATCACAAAGACGGTCGCTCCTCTTCTTGTTTCGCATAGCTCTTTTAGAAATACAGATATCCAAGTACTTCTTAATTTATCTGTTTTCAAGCTTTGGTTTAGCGGCCTCTTCCTTGCAACAATGCTCAGCGTGCGCCGTAACCTAACCGCAGTACAACACGTAAGTTATTGAGATTTTCACTTAATACGTGTTCAGTGGGAGTTTTCTGGTTCAACTCTTGAAATCAGTGTAAAATACAAAGAAGTATAGTCTTTTTATGACGCGCTTATCCGTCTACGAACTTTGCAAAAAAGCCTTGGAACTCTCTGATGTAATCAGTATACCAGTTCTTTGTACAATAGATTTCTGGCTGTTTCGTTAACAATTACGGACTGACGAGATTTGAATTACGTCTTTGAAGTAACTCAATCACTTCGGTTAAAGTCTTCACTTCCGAGTTGCCATCCAAATCTTCCAATCATCTCACTCAAGGATGCCACTATGCATTCGTGCAGTGGATAACATCAATTTGGTGTCATGTTTTTTAAGTGGAATATTAGTTGTTTGCACGGTATTGTCTATACTTTCCCTAAGAACCGCATAGAAGTGGAAATTTAAGACCGCAATTGTTCATCGTGCGTTGATTGAATTACCCACTAATCCCACGTGGGTGATGCTATTTGCATTGTTGATTTGTTGAGCGGGTTACTATGGAAACCGGGCCTGTCTGAATTACATTAAACTTAATTACTTAATTGTGCAGAAAATTTTACGAGCAAAAGAGTTTACAAATATACTTGTTTTACTGTAAAGTAATAGGTAACTCGATGTAACTCACGTAAGTGAAAACTTAAACAGAGTCAAAACATAAAACCAGATTAGCTTAGTTTGAAATCACACGCCCGTGTGCTCAAATTGTTAGTTAACAAATATGAAATGAATTTAACATGGAGGCGACGTTTTCAAATGTTGATGGATGATTTGTCTCAATGAAAACCTTAACTCTCGCAGATGAATTTTCAAACAATTTCAAGTCCGATAGTTCGAGGGCGAAAATGCATTTCACGCTTTTAGCAGTGTATTTAAAATTGGATTTAAAATGAATATTTTTTTGCCAAATAAAAAAAAATAAAGACATTATTTTAAATGATTTTGTAACTAAACAACGAAAAGTTTCCTCGTTAGAATTCACATGATAGCGATTGCAATCACATGATTTAAGGCTTAAGCTTATTTTAATTTTAAATCTAAACACTTTTCTGTCGAAAATAGGGATGAATAATAAAACTCAAAAAGAATAATGGATAGAAATACAATATTGTACGAATTTTAAAAGGAAAAGACTGCGAGGCTTGCGATTAGGAAATTTTCAAGAAAACAATCCAAGGGCGGAACTTCATATGCAACAAGACTCGAAACTTCGTAATCATCAGTTTATGGGTGGTTTTCTAAAGGTTTAAATCTCTCTCGTGCTTGAAACATTTTTGTTTTATCCGCCAGAGGTTGTTGGTTATCATGGAAACGTTTTCAGTCGGTGAATGGTCTATCAAATGATTGTTCGCGAACTGACCACAAAGAGAAAACTTCTCTTAACTGTCAAATCTGTCTAAAAATTAGACTTTCGATTTGAAACAATCTCTTATGGCCTCCACAGACGAAGAAACGCCGGCGAATTTGCAGGATAAACGTAACGACGTCTTTGAAGTTGAGAGCGAAAATTTGCGTGATGAAAACCAGAATGTTGTCACTTCAGGACTAACAAATTTTCGATACTTGGTTGATGCTTACAACACTACTAAGAGGAATGGTTTCACAGCTGATTATCAGCTTGCTGAAGACGTCTGTGGTGATTATTCTGATGCGGAATATGATTCTAATTGTGAAACGCAAGCCGCTAAAAAGGGCGTTGTGGTCAAGGAAGCCGTTTCCTCTGAGGGTGAATCGAGCACCAGTCCTGTGTCTGCCAACCAAACGAGTCGTTCATATTTGTATGAAAAGAACCCGTTATTAGACCAGAGATTTATCCGCCTTATCGAGCAACTTGTGCCTCTAAGAAGAGGGATTCAGGCAGAAAGAAAAGCCACGACAAGAAAGGAAAACTTTTCTGATAAATGCGGCGAGATTTGTTTTAAAGATATCTGCCTTAAAGATACTTGTCGCCTGGTGTTTAAAATGATGAACAGGGGAAGGAGTCCACCGATGGAGTGAAAAATATAATATCGGATTTTAATCGCATATTTTAACAAGGAGAAGGTTTACAGTGTGTGTTTTAAGTTATGGAATGATCATTTGTTATAAACACTTTAATTGAATTTTTTTTTTTTTGTACGTTGAAAATTGAAACATGTAACTGATAACAACGTTGATTTTATCAAGTTGGACAAAAATGCCACGAACGAAAGTGCTCGTGAAATTGTAAATTTGAAACACGTAACTATGTTTTTTTTAAAAAAATATATTTTACCAGATCAACGTCATTGGAAAATTTACGCCTATTTTAAATCGCGTTTATTTTTTTTTTGCTTTCTATTTGCGCGTCACTAATTAATTGGATCACTAATTTACACGACCTAAATTTCCATCTTGTTCCTCCTGAATTCTCGATACATTGTGCCTCGGACAGTTTTGACAGCTAAGAAACAATTGCAAAAAGCATTAATTAATCATTAAGGAGATCCGCGGAGGATAAACAATGTAAAAAGCGGAAAGATTCCAGCCTTTTAACCTTACGATTAGAGAAAATTACACAAATTATACAAACGTTGTATCTGAATTTTACATCATGAGTTATAATAAATTTGGTCCCACTGTTTCAACAAATTCTGTTTCTCTGTCTAAGTGGCGTTAATTTTTCTCCCATCAAAAATTATCGCCGCTTTTGTGTTATTTTTTCATTTAAAAGTAATTTCCAAACCAATTTGTGTCAACTTTGGCGCTTTTATTTCCTTTTTATTACCTTAATCACTACAAGCGTTAATTTTGCTATGTTAGAGTAATTACACATCCAGGTACATAGACAGGAATTCTACAGTAACATGCTCCGCTGACCATGAGGAACGGGTATACTAATATTGAGGAGCCCATAATCATTTTTATATGCCTGTCATTTGATAGCACCCTATTACATACTCTTCCTTATTAGCAGTTGGAAAGCAATTTTTGTAATGCTTTCTGCATGAGCTCTTCACGCTGAATTACTACAATTTGTCTGATGTTCCTAAATTTGTTTTGAACTAACAGTAGCTAACAGTCTATTGGTGTAAGAGACCGCATCAAGTTTTGAAATCTTGGATCAAGTTTTGCATCCATGAATGAAATCTGACTTTTTGATGCAGTTGCCTTGGGTGTGTTGAGACGCACACCTGGGGCGAACTTTTCAAGACCAGTTTGTTCTGAATTCAAGAATCCTTTTTGCCTCCTTTCGTTTACTCTATTATCTGGTAAAAGTTGTGCAAACGTCGGTACTGTTATGGCAACTTTGCTGCGTTTTCCAGATCCATTTTCCATTCTTTCCAAATAGTGTAAATACTTCATTTTCTCTCGGTACATTGTCCACCCATTTCGATTTCTTTCCTTGACACAATCATCTTCTTTACATTTTGCAAAGCTCTTGACTCTCTTTAATCTTTTCTCCTTCTCTACGCTTTCGTCAGTTAGTTCAGTGACTTCTACAGCACAGTTTGATGAATCAGGGTGTATGAATCGAAGTAATTTGATGAAAAGGTTTGTGGACTTTTTAAAAGATCTTGGTTTCCTTCGCTTTGGCCAAATTGGTGAAACGTGCACCACCGGCATAGAACTTGATAACTTTTCCATAGTTAAAGATTCTCGCACATGAAAAGGTTCAGTCTCAGCGAAATTTGAACCTTTTACTGCCCAATCAGTAACGATGCAACTTTCTATTTATTCTGAGAGCTTAAAATCGGTTGACGTCAAATCACAGCGTCAATGCCTGCAAGTTTTGTTATTCGTTAATCTTTCTTTCAATAGATTATAATCTTTTAATGCCGGTAAATACAACACGTTTCAACGGCTGTCAATTATAAGTAAATATTGATTTTGCGTCTAGAGGTAACACGTACATGTAGTAGAGCTGATAGGAACACTCGATTGCACAAACGTTGACACCTAAAAAGCTCATGATCCTTAAATGAAGTGACTCAACGGCTTTATGGGAAATCTTAGTACTTTTAAATAATCGATGCTTTACTTTTTCCATTATTCATGAAAAACATTTGTTTTTGATGATTATTTTCTTCACAAAAGCGTGGATGGCTTCCATTATTTACCATGTGCAACTAATTGATATAATTATGCACATATAAACCCACAAAACCGTAGGCTTTCATCGCTCATCGCTGACGTTTTTCAGGTGTCAAGGTTTTCACAATCGAGAGTACACCTTTGTCATCCGTATTGGCGATCAGACGTGGTCACTGTGCTGAGACCGATAGCAGAAATTTGTAATAACTTGCATGGATTCATTGAAAAAGAGTTTTCATTTTGTAGATAGCTTTCTGGCAATCACAAGTTTTGCCTGTAAAGGAACTTTTTGGTTTGAATCTTTTTACAATTTTAAGTTTCATAACACAGGAACATGGTTCGTACACTTACAGCCTCATTTCACCATATGCTTGTACATCCCAATGTTCTCATTAAAAATGGGTCCTAAAAGCTGAGCGATTGGGTAATAATCATTAAGAGATTGTACACTGTTTATATTCTCTTCTATGGATGCATGTATATGTAGGTCAGCTTTGATGTTTAAAAATCTAAAGAACAGGTAAGAAGTGAAGAGCTTGTTCCCAACTCCAAATTTCAAGTAAGGCAAACACTTCCCCAGGATTTCACTGAAAAGTCAGTTCTGTTCCCATCTCAAAAGGCCCGTTGTTCCCAGGTTCCATACCCGCAACTGCAGTTTTGCTGATATGACTTCGAACCCAGGTTCCCAGGCCCCAAATAAGGTGGTGCGACAAAAAACAGCCGCGTAAAAGGAAATTAAAACGGACCTTGGGACCAACGCTCCAGTTTACCAAACAGGAGAACCATTTATTCCCATTTTATATGTCATTCAATAAATGAACGACTTTTGCTGTTTTTATCACATTATGTTGATAAACACAACGTCAATGTCAAACAATGAAATCATTTTATTTCCATCAAGTTTTGGACTTATTGGTTGCATTTCCCGCAGCTTAGAGACGAATTTCTTCTCATGAAAACAAGAGTTAATTGCTAGTGCTTAACTCCTACGAAACATTCTTCTTAAGGCGCTAAGGCGTCATGGTTGCAAGCCATTTCTCATGTAACGTCTTCCCACTTAATCTGCTCTGCACCTTGTCTCTTTTATATCCTCTGTTCTCCTTTGCCCTCCTTGAATTCATGTTTTCGTGGTCGAATTCTCCTTTTTTCGCTGGAGGAACAAGACAAGTCAATAAACGTTGAAAGCGAGGGTCGCTGACTGGGTGTTTTGCATCTTTGTTGCTACTATCCATTTGCGGAAAACTCATCACACCATTTTTTTGTGGAAAAACCACCTCATCCGTTTTGTTGCGTCTAAGTAATAGCGCTGTCTCCCGTTGGAATATCACAGAAGTATTTCCCTCAATTTTTGAAATCTTTTGATGCCCCTCGGTCAACTGAAAGTCTTTTATAAAGGTTTGGCTCGGTAAATCATTTAAATTCCCTTTACTCGTAACTGTGAGGCTCTGTCTGGGAACCTTACATCTGTCCTCGTCAAATCTGGATTTTCCCCAAGCAGTTTTCTTTCTCTCTACTCTGTGATAAGCTTCTGTTTGAATCTCGAAAATCCGCTCGTGTTTCTTGCGTTGCTCTTCTTGAAAATTTCTGGTGAGATTCACAATACTATTAGCGTCATCCCTACTGTCAACCACTTCCGAAAACAAATCCTTCATGCCCGAATTCATACTTTGCAGAAACTTAAACAGGATCATTTTTTTCCTGACGAAACGCCGAAAAGCAGCTTTCCGGGCTTTGACATATTCAATTCTCTTGTCTGGCGGCCAAATAGGTGCAATATGAGGAATTAGAGGAAATTTTACTTCGTCTGCGCTGTTAAGATGCATTTCAATCATATCTCGTGTTGATTGCATAGGCACATTTTCTTAATATACTTTTCTACTACGTGGTAGAGAGATTAATATCCCTTCGCTCCGAAGCTTTTGTTCAAGATCTGCCCAAAAACAATAGCCTCGTTATAAAAATAGTAATTTAACAAAGACCAAAGAGATCAATAAGAATTTACACTTTTGACAACAAGTAATAATTTTTCTAAGAGAGCAGGTTTTAGCCAGTGACGATTTCATCTAGGTTTGTTATCAGTAATCAATGTAATTAATAAAACTAACGAATAAGCTGTTTTGATTGGAGGAAAACAACTTTTAGTTTATGTCAAACTTATTTGGATCAGGAAAAGCAAATAAAACTTTAATAAGATTTCCTTGATAGACGCATTATTCAAAGGCCACTATTTACCTTACCAATAATTACCTTGAACGGCTCAGAGAAATGAAGCTGAATAACAAGGACATACTTAAATTTTGCAGTAAAATTGATTATCACCCTGTATTGACCAAGGGGAGAAATTAATGTGTTTCTCGAAAAATAATTGCATATTTCATTTAGCGTCTTGTTATCATGTTGATTGCCTGTCTGTTTCAGGGCTTTGTGAAATTTTTCTTAATTTTCATGATAAAATTAGTTCTGTCAGTTCCGTTCATTGAACTTGTGTCACAGCTCGCCAATGAACAATTGGTTAATTGCCATTTTCTTTGAGCAAAAATGGTGAATCACATTTTGAATAAAATTTGAGAAATTAACAAATTAAATGGTTTGGGGCAAAATTTTTAAAAACATGAAGTATCATTTTATTGAAAATGAATAACAAAATGTTTATAACATTATGCAATGACAAAATTGCGAATCACATTTTGAATAAAATTTGAGAAATTATCTAGTAGAACGTAACAATATTATTCTCAGAAAATGGTTTGTGGCAAAATTTTTGAAAACATGAGGTATCCTTTCATAGAATATGAAAGAAAAAAATTATTACCGAAAGGGCATCTTCACGAAATTATTTGTGTTTCAAGAACTGCATGAGACATTTTAAGCGCATTCATAATTGGAATTCAACTGAGTGAAGTGTAATTTGCAGATTCGAACAAATACGTAGCGTAACTTCAAATTTCAATTACAAGTATGATTGAAGACCAAAATTGCACCACATGAAGTTCAGTTACCACTTTATTACATATTCATGTTGATATCGCAAAATTTAATCTTTCAAATACAGGATTTTATGGTCAGTAGAAATATTCTATTGATCCAGCACTGCGTTGGATTGTAAGGAAATGGAAGCGGGAAGAGCACAAGATAAGTTTTGGGGACAAAAGTTGCAAAAAGTAATAAACGTGTTTGTTGTGTTGTTAGTTAAATCTGGTTTAATCCATCTCATTTCGAACCGTCCGCTGGCTCCTCAAAACTTTAACAGATATTACAACTGGAATTGAAACTGGACGAGAAATTCTGACTTGGGAGGGGAGGGGAGGGGGTTAAGAGGAGCCTGAGAGAGAAGTTCCCCAGAAAATGTTCAAATTATATTTGGTGACCAGAGATGCTGTTTCCCGCGCAACTCTTAAAAAAAGCATCTGAATCAACATAAATTGAAATTTTGCAACGTAATTTGGTATCATCAACCGAGTTGATATCGAAAATTGGTCACCGTTGAGAGTTTCAAAGCTGACGTTTCGAGCGTTAGCCCTTTGTCAGAGTCAGACAAAGGGCTAGCTATCAGTTGATAATACCAAATTACCCTGTTTTATTCTCCTAACGACACAGCATCGGAGTTTTTTTAGAAACTTTCTCCCTTTAGTCATTTGAAATTGTGCAAACGCGTTTAACCTCTGCGAGTTCTTTAAAAGTTTCGTATTAAGCGCCCTCGAAAGTAGATCCTTGTGGTATTTCGTTACGTTGGTTCGGACGCCCCTGCAGAAATTGAAACAAGAAACTAGGATGGAAAGGAGAGTGGGAAGAGGGAGAGTGGGGGAGGGAGAGGGTGGAGGAGAGGGAGAGTGGGGAAGAGGGAGAATGGGGAAGAGGGAGAGCAATGAACTGTTGGGATGGGAAGGGTCAGTGATAAATAATTAGCTGATGTTGAAAAATACTTGAAAAAATAAATGTGAATCAAGAACTGAATCAAGAAGAAATAAATGAAATAATTCATGGTAACAAATACCTTAGATAGAGCTGTATTATTACATAATTAAACTTTCTTGAATTAATTAGTTCTGTTATGTTAATGAAATACACATAAAAATTAATTTTTCGAATGAAAGCTGATCAAATTTTCTTTTTGTCGACTTTTTCCTTTCTTCAGTCTTTGCATTCACGATTATTTCTTAAAACTATTTTTATGCAGCATGCATATTGTTTTGTATTGTTTGTTTAAGATACAGTAAACGTTTTCTTTGATGTATTTTTAGCACTTCTAAACAGGATGACGTTTACTCTGAATATCTATGTGTTTGAATGTAAACTCCGCCCAAATTTATCGCCAAACAATGCCTTAAAAAACAGAGCAAATTTTTTAATTTAACGACTCAATCATTTGGAACCACCCATTGCTGTTTTCATCAGCTAAAAAAAAATCAACGATTTTTCTTTCCTTATTTTCAAAGAAGCTGATAATATTTCATTCATATCTCGGGAAGATTTTAATCTCTTGGATTATGAGTTGCTAGTCGCTTATTTGTCTGAAAAAATCGTGATCACTTTCGTGACAAATCTGCGGTGAAAACACAGAATTACATAATAACTAATTATGTTGCAAATGAAAGCTTGAATGCAGGCGTCATGCAGAGCGCATGCGCGGGTCGCTATTCATCTTTAATGTCAATAGACAACATCTGCAGTTTCAGAAATAGATTTTTTTGTGATGTTTATCGGAAATTACAACGGGAGGACACACACACGAATTTAAACAAAGATTGGCTGTACTTAAACCCGCTTTTCACGCATTTTGCGAAGAAATCTTATTAAGTTCGTGTGTGAGGTAAGTCTAATAATCTGCGAAGTTCAGAGATATTGTGATTTCTAAATGTATCAGCGCAAAATCTGTTAACTTTTAAGTAGGGTCTTGAATAATGATACATTTTTAAGCAAAATCGTTTCTATTATTTGAATTTGTATTATTAGCTTCATTAGCGATTAACAGCTTTCCTCATATTTTCATTTGTTATATTTTCATTTTTAAAAGGAATTTTTGGATAGTTATGGGAAAAAAGAAGACAAAAGGAAAACGAAAAGCATCTCGGAGTGACAAACGCATGCAAAAGCTTTACGCTGATGCACTCCAAGAGGTAAAGAAAAGAAATATCAATTTAGACGATCTGCCCGACAAAGATTCTGAGGAAATCGAAGAAGGCAGCGCTGAGCGAGAGAAAGTTAAACCTTCGGCGCAAAAGGCCAAAAAAAATCCTACAGATGTCCTGAGGAAACAAGAGCAATTGAGAAAGCCTAGGGTTTCTCTTTCTGTTCCAGTTTCAAAGCTGGTTCCCTTTAAACCAGACGAGAGAGGATTAGAATTTCCCCGGGATTTTCGCCGCGACTCGAGATCTTCAGAATGGATTCCACGCTCTGTGGGGTTTCCACTGTTTGACCCAGGGGAAGTTTTCAATGGCAGAAGATCGCCCAGCTCTGAATTTAATGATGAAATCGAGAATATCAACGTCGTCTCTGACAAAGAAACACCTGCAGCAAGGAATGACTTGAAGGTGGACGAGATTTTACAAGTACTGCCTCTTCGTATTGGTGACGCAGATAGTGAGAATCCTCCAGGGGACAACAAAGTTCGTTCTCATCTTCCACCGATTTATCGACAAGAAATATGGCAAGAGACAATGCGTCAGGCCTCAACAACTTCGCGGTCAATTCCCGCCAAACAAGACTCGTGGAACATAGAACACGCTTCGCTGATGGTTGGAAAACAGGAACTTTACACAAGACAAAAATGCAAGACTAGTGTCAGTTTGGCCGAAAGACGCTTTCGACTCCGAACCACAAGTTCAGGGGCAGTTTTATCTTAAATTGAGGATGGGATTTAACTTTAATCAGAGGGTTAAGAACTGGAAAACTTCTCATGAACTGAACTGAAGTCTAAGATAACTAAGGTCTGATACTTCGTTTAACAAAGTCTCGGATGATCGAATTAAGATACATTTTTCAGAACATTTACACCAAAGATTTAGCGTTGGTGCCTAAACTCATGAAACAGAAATTTTAAGCAACCAGCCGGTGTGCCCGATATACGACATAAACTAGCATCCCTCGCTTAACTTGACTGTTCCGTGAACAACGCAATGCAATTCCCATCAAAATCTGCCAATTTGTAACAGAAAAATGAAAATTGTATTGTCGAGATCAACCCCATCACCGAATTCCAGAGCAATTGCTATTCTTTAATTTTTTTTCTGAAGAATTATCAAGAGCAGGTTGTTCTACATGGAGTTTTTCAGTCTTCGGCTGCTTGAAGAATCTCAAGTTACGTCACCCAGTGTATTTGCCGAAGTAAACCGTTTCCTCACTTTAATGATGACGTGTGAATGCAAGACAATGAAAGGATTTGAAAAGCATCGCAAATGTTTTAAGGCAGCGTAATTTTGTTAGACTCTAATCAAGTTAAGCAACTATCTACGCAGATGACCTGAAAGTTTTAGAAATTGCAGGGAAGAAGCCTGAAAAAAATCAGACTCCAACGGTATTGGAACCCAGGCCTCCCAGTTATTAATTGGGCACCACCACTAACTGAGCTATGAAGCCACGCTTTGGAAGCGAGGCAAATTTAAGGGGGCTCTTACTTCCCGTGGAGGAATTTTATCATAATTTTAAACGGAATAAGTTTCATCTGACCTAATGATTAAAAATTTCTGAGTCAATCTTGCTGTTAGCTTGGTAAAAACGTCGTCGTGTTTTTATCATAATTTTGCAACTTTTCCACCATTTTCAAGGCTGTTTAATTCATTTGACAAAGTCACCCCGGCTATGTCACCTTTCGCAAGTCATATATCGATATCATAGAAGAAACAGTCGATTTAGAACGAGTACAGCCAGTTGAGTAGTCTGCTTTTTAAGGGTAAATGAAATGTTTTGCAAATTGCGTGTGGAACCACAATTGTGCCTCCACTGTGTAAAATAAGGAGTACGTCCAACATGTTGTAATAGGTTGAGCAATTATGAGTAAAGTAAAGATTAAATTTATAACATTAACTGATGTGTGAAATAAAGAAATATTAACTCTCAAGGTAAATACATGTTTGCTCAAAATTCTCCTATCAACTGTATCTTTCTACAAGTCGTCAAATCCAGAATTGCTCATCTATCCTTCAACTTGCCCAGTTTGCTTACACAGAGGAAGGGGGAAAAATCCAAAAATAACGTTTTTCCTTTTCCATGATCAGAATACTTTTGGATTTAGTTCGGTCTTGACTACAAGGTAAGTTCTTTTATACGGGGTAGGAAAATTTTCATCATTACCCTGGTAAGTCAAGAATACTATTGAAAGCTTGAAATATGATCTGGACAAGAACAAATGATAATCTATTAATCGCTAGGTATTATTTGAATTTTGTCCGATTTGTTATAGAGCGAGTGATGGAACGGTAACATTAACCTGATCCACCCATAAGGCTCTTTGATATTCTTAGCATCCGCTCTCATTGGCAGTCGGCAATCAATTAAATGATTTACTCTTCCCCCCCCCCCCCTTGATACTCTTTTGGCGACGACTGATCCCCTCTCCGTGATTTGATTGCCTAATTCCCCCTTCCCCCCACTCCCCTTAAAGGCGGTTCCCAATCAGGTTAGAGAGGGGCTGTAGATACCTTTTCTATCCCTTTCCCTTCACTAGCGTTACCTGGCTACGAGAAAAATATACCCAAGGCCAGGCCGCTTAGCATCCAATATGGCTACCCGACATTTCAACAAGCTGTAACTTTTCTAATGAAGTAATCGCTTTGTTTGAGACCCCTAAATGCTACAAAATGTTCATCGGAAGTCTTGTAGCATCCAGATTTTTAGGCCTCATTGCACACTTTGTAGTTACTGTGGTGATATTCCTATCAAAGGTGAGTTTTTACCCAAATCCAAGCAGCTCTATAATGTTCATGTTTGGTGGTTTATTGCACGAGTTTACGGTCATATCATCCCGAGGCTCTTGATGATTCGACTCGGAAACATTTCTTCAAATCACTTTCAGGACGCAAATGTTAGAGCTTGCCTGCCTCTTCAGTATACAGAAAGCGAATTTTCATCTAAGGACAAAGAGTAAGTGTAAAATCCTTTAAAAAGTTGCATTTTAGACAAAATACTCCGTAAAAGTTAGAATAGTGTATCTCCTTGAAATCCCTAAATTCTTATCGGCATCATCAAAATTAGACTATAACCAATCCTTTTAGAATTAATTTCGATTTTTGTAGTATTGTAATTACGAGAGAGGTATCCTAATTTAAAATATATTTATCAAATGTTCAACAGTCCATTTTACTGTTGTGTAGTTAGTTGTCAAGCCTTTGATTTGGAGTGAGGCTGAAGGTGACCTTGTTGTGATAGAGACTAGCATCTAGTTAGCGTGATAAAAAAGTAATTTAGTATTATTAACTGAGTTGACAATGTAAATTGGCCATCATAAAGAATTAGAAAGCTGATGTTTTGAGCGTTCGCCCTTCATCAGAGCAACAAAGGGCTAATTAACACTCAAAACATTAGCTTTTAAACTCTTTATGGTGGCCAATTTACAATGTCAACTCAGTTGATAACACTAAATTACCCTGTTATACTCTCCCACCAACACAGCACCACAGTTTCTTTAGAAATTACCCCCTTTATTCATTTGATAACAAAGTAGTTTACATTTGAACAGCAGCAATGTAAGTATCCCAACAAGGTCACCCTCAGCCTCGCTTGACAACCAAGCAAGCAACTGTAAAATGGACTATTGGCAAGTCTTCACCCTTTAACCCCCAACAGACTAGCATTTAAGTTCTCCTTACATTATCAGACCTGAATCACTCATCAAGGTCACAAGAATGTAATAAATGATCACCAACTAAAGAATCTCTTGATTGTTAAACAAATTCTCCTTGTCAACACCTAAGGATTGAGAACAAACAGTATGGAGAATATGCATACAGATGTCAGGGTGTAAAGGGTTAATCATCAAGACTTTGTGCTGATGTTTTTTTTTTTCCAGGTTGATTGTGGGTTTGTCTCTCACTCTGGTGTTTCTTGGCTTAGAGTTTGGTGGATTTATTGGGGGTTGCTCCATGTTTAATGGTACTGCTGGGATTCTCTGTATCCTTTTTGTTGGAAGATGAAATGATTGCGTGTTCTTTAGATGATGGCTTACTCATCAATGCACTTAGGCTTGATGACATAGGTGTTGTTTGAGCAATGAGTCATTGCCACCTTATCTATCAAACAACAAACTTGAGTACAGGGGAAATATCTCTGGAAGTGTTAGAAGATGAAATAATTGCATACTTTTTAGTTGATGGCTTGCCCTCTTATTAACTTAGGCTTAATGCCTTGGTGTTGTTTGAGCAATAAGTCATTTCCACATTATCTTTCAAACAAAAAACTAGGGGCTGGGAAAAAAATGTCTTTGAGTTTTTTATTTTCCACAAGTTATGATACATTTTGTGTTGAACTTACTAAAAAAATGTAAATTTAAAGCCAGGCCATCTTGAATCAAAAAAAACTTTTATTGGCCTAAAAAATTGAAATTCTGAAAACCTCTTTGCAGTAAAGATGTATTTATGTACAGCTCTGGTAATTTTATGGTGAGTTCAATTGTTTGGGTCTGGAACTGCCAAATCATGACTTAGGAACAGGGGATTGTTTTAGTGGCTGTAGATTCTTCTTAACTAAACGTGAAGCCATTGCAGCTCATTCAAGTGCAGCAATTTCTCTCTCCATGTTTGTTCTTGAGGAATGGGACTGTGATAAGTTTTGGTACATTTTTGGATTCTGTAGGTGAGTGAAACATGACAGTAAATATCATGATTAGTTGTTTGTGAAAATTATTTATGAATTTGAAATATCAAACAGTGGGCAGCTCAAATCTCCAAAGTTTTCCTACAGAAAAATAAATTGAAAAATCAAGTATCCATGTACTTGTAAAATGGTTTAACCCCTAAGATTGACCAGCAGCTAATTTCTCCTTACAATATCACCCCCTGAATCAACCATTAAGGTTATGAGAACAAAGGAAATGATCACCAGCTAAAGAGACTCTTGATTGTTCCACAAATTCTCCTTGTCAGCACCTTAGGAAATGTATATAGAGCAGTATGGAGAATATGCATACTGATGTTAGGGTGTAGACAGTAAATTTACTGGTGAAAGCCTTTTTACAGGTTTAACACCACAGTACTCCAATTCAGTAATCGCTATATTTATGTTATACTTTGATTGTATTTTGCAGTGCTTTCCCAGCTGTTATGGAAACATGTGTTTTGATAAGTGTCTTGATGTTTCGAGCTGACAGATAACTAACAGTTTTTATATACAGTCATTTTTAGTAGCCATAGGGAGCAGGTTGCTTTATTCTTCAACCTCTCTTTTCTCTATGATAAAAGACATCCAAGGTTGTAATTATTATGCAAAGATCTACAGGTCTGGCATGGTAGAAGATAGTTTACTGAGAGGAGAAAATTAAGAAGAATTTATTTAACCCTCACAAAGAGCTTGAGGATGAACATTTCACCAACAGCAGATTTGTGTCTTTCCACCACCAGCCTTTGTAATGTAATATAGTTTGTTAATATAAAGTTAGTTAGCTAGTTAGTTCCCAATATTGCTTGACCCACTACTATGACTAATAATAATTATATATTTATCAATTAGAGCCTGCAGTTGTGATTAAATAGTTAAAAGTTGTGAATAATAAGTTTATTTGATTCAAGATGGCTTGGCTTTAAATTTACATTTCTTTAGTAAGTTCAACACAAAATGTATCATAACTTGTGGAAAATAAAAAATTCATTTATATCTTGCTCTCAATTATGTTCATACATGTGGGCTGAAAACCAAGCTGCTCCTTACATCGAATAAAAACTAGCATCATTATCACAAAATTTATCATCTGCTATTCCAGGGAACTTTCTCTTCAGAGTCAAGAGTTCTTTTTGCCTCTTTAAGTAACAGTTGTGAACAGTCCAACATGTGATTGATTTCCAACTCAGCAGGATTAGCATGCGCCTTCCATCTTATTAACCCATTACGGTCTACAAGATAAGCATGTCCCACAATTTCATTCTCCATGATTTTCTTCTTGATGGGCTTTAAGTTACCGCTAAAGAAGAGGTAGTTATCCTGTTAAAATGAAGTGAAAAAAAAAAAGGTTAATCAAAATACCTTGAACATAATTTAGAGCTTTTTTTTCAAAAGTATACACAATCAAACCTGTGGTGAGTGGTCACCCAAAGGGAATAGCAGGTGACCACTTAATACAGTTTGACTGCTTAATACATGTTCCACAGATTAGAGGTATTATAAAAAAATGATAAACAACACTGCTGTATGCCATAATCAACCACTTACTGTACAGAATTACTTTCGAAAAAATACTTACTTTGATTTTGGGAGAGGGTGATTGCTTAAGGCTGCTCAATACAGGTTTGACTGTACCATGTTTCCTCAAATGAGCACCCTCCTCTGAATAAGTGCCCAACACCCCTTGGGCCACAAAGTTAAACAAGCACCCCTCTGAAATTAGCACCCTCCTCCCTCACTTTCTTAATAGTAGATACAAGAGAAACCTGTTTCTACTGCCTCTTTATTTGTAACTTTGTAAGCTTCAACTACAGCAGAATTAGCACAGGATTACAATAATATATGTCCCACTTGATTAAGCACCCTCCTCCTGATGAGCTCCCAACCTTTTAGCCAAAATTTTACATATTAAGCATCCAGGCACTTCATGGTCCAGGCTCATTTTTTCATAAAATTGCCTTTTGGCACCTTTAATAGTAAAATGGTCACAAAACAAAAAAACAAAAAAAATTGATTGCCTTTACCCCCTTCCTATAGGTGGCAATACACACAAAAATTAACCATGGATTGACAAATATTTCACATTTTTCTTTTAATTTCTTTTTTTTTAATCTATGGTTGCCAATTGGCTTTTTTTGTTGAAATTTTAGTCACCATATAATTATATTTTTCACTCACCATGGCAAGCAAAATGATTGCAGCTTGGAGCGCTGTCATTATTCAAGGTAATACTGACAGTATGTTTATATATTAGATAAAAAAAATTTAACTTTTACAAATCTTACATGTCTGTCTGCAGGCCTTTCTTTCCTTAAATTTTTTTCAATTACTCCTTTAAATGCTTTGAAGAAAAAACCATCTAAAGCACTTATCTGCAAAAAAAAATTGAATAAATTACATCATGTTCATGCACCTAAACTATAGCAAACTGACAAAGTACTAAGCGATCATGAAGTTTTTCCGCATCATTTATACAACATATACACAGTCAAGAACACAATAGCTAATCCCATCTTTCTTGGCTAATCAAAACTGTAATAAAATTATTGAACATGATTAGTTGTTACCAGCCCAATTTGAACACCAATAGGACTGTGTACAGGTTATGCTTGTGACTAGAAAGTGTAAACATCATGCCTGTGTAATTTACCAGCATGTGTTGTGAGCGAGTTTTCACTACCTTTTTCCACCAGTTAATAAATTTTTTTTTATGATAATCTTTCTCTAATAGTCAGTTTGTTTCTTAAAATTTTGTTACAGCAAAATGGACTTCACATTGTCTAATTCTGTCTGTATTCACATTCATATTTAAAAAATTGAACAACTGCAAAACAGTGGTCCTATTTGATAATACCAATGTCAGAGCTCTTAATCCAATTCTACCAGCTTTACAACATCTTTAAAAATTTACTCACAAGATGCTTACCTCATAGTACTGTGCGAGAGGCTCTCCATGAAAGTGTTTCACAAATGGGAGTCTGTATTTGTCACACATAGACTGCGTAAGAATTCAAACTGTGATACAACTGTTCATTTTCACACAAGTAAATTGTATTTTATTTTGGAGCCACTAACCACCAAACAGTGTTTTTTTTTTTGATAATTGAAATTTCCTTGTTTAACTAATCATCACAATGAAAGAATTATTGCAATTGAATTAAACCTCACAATTCTACAAGTAGTTAATTAAAGCTCAATTTTTTTACATTCACAACTGCCTTTCTTGGAACCTGGATCAGAGGAGGTTTTTACATCTTCCTGGGAACCACACTACACAGTTGCAATGAAAACCTTAGCCAAGATAGACCCTTGATGTACAAATGCATTACAAAGAGACAGAGACCTTCCAATACATGAATTTTGGTTCATGTCATCCTCCAGGATGACAGGAATGACCAGGAAAGAAGGGATTGGGAGAATGGGAGAATTTCCACACTTCCTGAGAACACATTTCTCATGCTTGAGGAACAAACGATACCCAGTTGAAATTTTGCACAAAGACATCTCTCAAGTTTATTTTACTGGGAGAGGAAGTTCAATTAAAAACAGAGAAAATAGCACACAGAAGAAAATATTGCCTTTCCTAACACAATAGGTTTTACCTTAACCTAAAGAATACAGAGAAATTATAGTTGAGAAATGGCACCTTATTCAAAGCCTAACATGCTCAAGAGTTAAATTTAAGGAGCTAGCCTTGTTATGGTATTGAAAAAGGAAAGTCATTTAAAGATATCCTGGTCAGAGCTAAACTTTAAATGGATCTTCAAAAATTAATTTTAAAAAATTACTAAAATAGATGCAACATCAATTTTTTTAAATTTGTTATCAGTAAGATAAGGAGATGTATTTTGTAGAAAAATAATTTTTTGGGATTTGTGGCATGTTAAGGAAGCAAAGGATTCTAACCATACCTCTCCATACGCTTTGATCCACAGTAACACCAGTGTTACATGACCTGGAAATTCTTGCTGTAAATCAACTTCTTTCTGAGACAGTGTTCTTGCCTTCAATGCAGGAAAGAGTTGTGAATCCTACCAGTTTAAAATACAGCACAAGTATAAAGTTATGATCATTTTTATTGATGTACATGCTCCATTAAGCCTCCTGTCTCCATAGGATCATAGGATCACTCTCTTACAGAGCCCTCTATAATAAGCCCCCTCTCTAATGAACCCCCCTCTAATGAGTCCCCTCCTTAATAAATCTCTCTTTAATAAGTCCCCCTCTCTAATAAGCCCCTCTCTCTAACAACCTCCCCCCCTCTCTGATCCATCTCCCTCTCTGATAATTTACCCTTTCTTAGAAACCCCCTCTCTAAACATCCCCTCTCTGTTACGCCCTCCCTCTCTGATAAATTCCCTTGCTGATGAGCCCCCTCTCTGATCAGTCTCCTTCTCTGGTAATTTTCCCTCTCTGACAAGTTCCCTCCCTCTCTGATATGTTTCCCTCTCTAAAAAAAAATAAAAAAAAAGTTTCCCTCTCTTGTAAATCCCCCTTTCTTAAAACCCCCTTCTTGAACAAGCCCCCCCCCCCCTTTTCTGCACAGCTCCTGTCTCTAAAAGGTGTAGTCTAAAAGTTCAAGTTTCTAAAAATCCATTCCTTTCTAACAGTTAATTGATTAATAAACAACAAGTAAAAAAGATTAATTAATTGATATCAACTGAAATTATTCAGCAAACTGGTGATGAGAATACTCAAAACTATAAGGTTGAAGTTGTTATCTTGATCTAACACCAAATTCTCATAACCAGTTTACAAGGAAATTCATCGCAGCTAGAGGGGAGAATTAACAATCAGATCCACCAAAAAGGTATGTAATAGTTAACTTACCTTCAATTCACTAGGCTCACTAAAAGCAAAGAATCGCTTTCCACCGCGCTTACGAAATTCTGAACAGAAGAAGTAGAAAACGCTTAATTTAATACATGAACATCCTACATGCATAAACTGTTGCTTCGATTTGCAATTTAGGTGCCAACTGGCATAACTTCTTGCTACCAAAGTCATCATTTCCGATAGCAACGAATATAATGAGAAACTAATACTTTTTTAGCCAAATGAATATGTTTCTCACCATGGAAGTCGTAAAAGTAGCCCTTGCGGATATCTTTGAATCTAAAATGAACATAGTATATTTCAATATTCGAAGGAGACGATTCCCAGCCTAATGTTGTAATTTTCTCTTTGAATTAAAAGATCCATTCATACATTTTCTTCCTGCTTTCCATTCTCTTGCTCTTCTTGTCCATTTTTGCCTCTTGATCGGACGCTACTTTGGTCACAAGTCTTCTTTGCATCGAATAAAGAAGAAAACACGGATTCTGCAAGAATCTTCGCGACAAACCCGCCATTTTGGAAATTGGCCTCAGCGGTCTTCAAAAGTGTGTGTAGGATTCATGTAACCTACCATAAATTGTCGCCGATGGGGAAAATTTGTACCCAGACTTCAGATTTCATCCATAACTCTTTGCGGCCTTACATCCGTGTGCATATTCCACAAACTGTTCTCTATACATTTCCTGAGGTTCTGACGAGGAGAATTTGTTCAACAATCGAGAACTTTTATAGCAGGTAATCATTTCCTTCATTCTTGAAACCTTAATGTTTGATTCAGGGGTGTTATTGTAAGGAGGAGTAAGATGTTAGTCTAAGTAATCAGTATACCGATAGCACAAATTCTTCTTACCAATGAATTGAGCCGAGAACAGAGTGGGGCAAATCATGCCTGCAATCACAAGGGAAACGAAAAAAAGACTTTCATCTAGAGGAATGTTCCAGACTGGACTCATTTCAAATATGTTAATAGTACAAGTGCAAGCCTAAGAAATCACCGTATGTACTGTATGAGGTGATCTTAAATAAACAAATTTGAATCTTGCTACTAGCCTCATACATCACGGTGGTTGACCTGGCGAACTCTGGTTGACAACACCACATGTCTTTAGTACCAGGAACGCAACACAAATAATCTCCCAACTGAACATGTGTGTTATGAAAAAACTAAACATTGTGGAATGAATGATTTTGGCCAAAATTTTGAATAACTAGTCAGGCACTTATTTGAAGAAATAAGCTACTGTCATTTCTGTCTTTCTTTTTTTAAGATGTTTCATCGTTGGTTCAAGACAGGATATGGAATTTTGGTCCAGGTTTAATATTGGGTTGGAATAATCTTGTATTTCAATTTGGGACACTTAATGACAAAGGGTGCTATCCATGCTAAAGAGAAGGTAACACTGAGGGGGAGCTTCTACAGAGGACCAGCGGCAGTTTCTCAGACAAGTTACTTCTTCTTTTGTTTTAGATTGACATGCTTTCTTCCCCCCCTCCCCTCCCTTATTTCCTCAGAAGAAACCCCCTCAAAATTGTGCATATTAAAATGACATAAATCTCACATCACTTACCACTAAAAGGCATTTTGTGTTTTAAAAGCAAGGAGTTCACATATTTACAATTTGGTTACAATTTGATTGGCAGAAAGTATGAAACTACCCGAACCAGATCACTTTGACTGAAAAAAAATTGAACACTGAAAACAAACTTATTCTAGAAAGCAAGATGTGTATTGTCTTTAGTCATCTAATCCACTTTTAAACCCCAAAAGAACTTCACTAAACTCAGCAGAAAACTATTCCTTGTGACAGATGTAAGTGATCAAAACGCAGAAGCATGCAGTAAATTTAGGATCAAAATAAACCAATCATAAAATAACAAGGTTTCCTGAGAGGTCCGAGGTTTGTTTGTTTTCTATGCAGTAAGTTTTGTGTTTTTACTTAAATGTTATTGGTTTGTTTTAAACGAACCGATAACATTGAAGTTAAAACACAAAACTTGTAAACAAAAATAAAAAGACACTTTGACATTCTATGTTCTCAAATAAACATATTCATTGGTTTATTTTTCTTCATTTCAATCCGGTTCAAATAATCTCACTGCTCAGAGTGCTTCACAAAGTTAGTTTTCTTTCTTTCATTCACGAATTCTGTGGTTGTGTTGTAATAAGGGTGCTATCCATGCTAAAGAGAAGGTAACACTGAGGGGGAGCTTCAACAGGTGACCAGAGGCAGTTCCTCAGACTAGTTACTTCTTTTGTTTTAGATTGACAAGCTTTCTTCCCCCCCATCCTTCCCTAATGTCCTCCCTTCGTCCACTGTTTTTTCTGTCTTAAAATCTGTGTAAAGCTTTTTATTCTGTCTGGTATGTGAAACCATAAAAGCTAAATTGACAGCAACACCATGGATAAATCTGCTTATGTGATTTATTCAACATTAATCAGATAAACTTAGGAGTTCTGCCCCTATGTACAAAAGCATTCCTATATTTATAACAACTGCAGAAACCCCCACAAAATTGTGCATATTAAAATGACAAAAGTCTCACATCACTTAGCACTAAAAGGCATTTTGTGTTTTAAAAGCAAGGAGTTCACATATTTACAATTTGGTTACAATTTGATTGGCAGAAAGTATGAAACTACCCGAACCAGATCACTTTGACTGAAAAAAAATTGAACACTGAAAACAAACTTATTCTAGAAAGCAAAACTTGTATTGTATTTACTCATCTGATCCACTTTAAAACTCCAAAAGAACTTCACTAAACTCAGCAGAAAACTATTCCTTGTGACAGATGTAAATGATCAAAACACACAGAAGCATGCAGTAAATTTAGGATCAAAATAAACCAATCATAAAATAACAAAGTTTCCTGAGAGGTCCGAGGTTTGTTTGTTTTCTATGCAGTAAGTTTTGTGTTTTTACTTAAATGTTATTGGTTTGTTTTAAACGAACCGATAACATTGAAGTTAAAACACAAAACTTGTAAAAAAAAAAAGACACTTTGACATTCTATGTTCTCAAATAAACATATTCATTGGTTTATTTTTCTTCATTTCAATCCGGTTCAAATAATCTCACTGCTCAGAGTGCTTCACAAAGTTAGTTGTCTTTCTTTCATTCACGAATTTTGTGGTTGTGTTGTAATAAGGGTGCTATCCATGCTAAAGAGAAGGTAACTCAAAGAGGGAGCTTCAACAGGTGACTAGAGGCAGTTTCTCAGACAAGTTACTTCTTTTGTTTTAGATTGACAAGCTTTCTTCCCCCCCCTCCCCTCCCTAATTTCCTTCCCTTTGTCCACTGTTTTTCTGTCTTAAAATCTGTGTAAAGCTTTTTACTCTGTCTGGTATGTGAAACCATAAAAGCTAAATTGACAGCAACACCATGGATAAATCTGCTCATGTGATTTATTCAACATTAATCAGATTAACTTAGGAGTTCTGCCCCTATGTACAAAAACATTCCTATATTTATAACAACTGCAGAAACCCCCACAAAATTGTGCATATTAAAATGACAAAAGTCTCACATCACTTAGCACTAAAAGGCATTTTGTGTTTTAAAAGCAAGGAGTTCACATATTTACAATTTGGTTACAATTTGATTGGCAGAAAGTATGAAACTACCCGAACCAGATCACTTTGACTGGAAAAAAATTGAACACTGAAAACAAACTTATTCTAGAAAGCAAGGTGTGTATTGAATTTAGTCATCTGATCCACTTTAAAACCCCAAAAGAACTTCACTAAACTCAGCAGAAAACTATTCCTTGTGACAGATGTAAGTGATCAAAACACAGAAGCATGCAGTAAATTTAGGATCGAAATAAACAAATCATAAAATAACAAAGTTTCCTGAGAGGTCCGAGGTTTGTTTGTTTTCTATGCAGTAAGTTTTGTGTTTTTACTTAAATGTTATTGGTTTGTTTTAAACGAACCGATAACATTGAAGTTAAAACACAAAACTTGTAAACAAAAAAAAAAAGACACTTTGACATTCTATGTTCTCAAATAAACATATTCATTGGTTTATTTTTCTTCATTTCAATCCGGTTCAAATAATCTCACTGCTCAGAGTGCTTCACAAAGTTAGTTGTCTTTCTTTCATTCACGAATTCTGTGGTTGTGTTGTAGTTGTCACTGAGCTGGTTACCTCACATTTTGAATTGTAAGTGGTTATGTCATTTTTTTTCCAGTTTTAACAATTATTTGTGAATTGGCGATGTTAGATAAGAAGGAGACAGTTTGACTGACTATTGTTAAGTAAATTATTTGCTTGTTGTTTACCTGCTTCTGTGATGTTATTTCTTGTGAGGTCTAACTTGTGTAGCATAAGCCTACCATAAATTGTTGCTGATGGGGAAAATTTGTACCCAGACTTCAGATTTTCATCCATAACTCTTTATGGCCTTACATCTGTGTGCATATTCCACAAACTGTTCTCTATACATCTCCTGAGGTTCGGACAAGGAGAATTTATTCAACAATCGAGAACTTTTATAATAGGTAATCATTTCCTTCATTCTTGAAACCTTATTAATGTTTGATTCAGGGGTGTTATTGTAAGGAGGAGTACGATGTTAGTCTAAGTCATCAGTATACTGATAGCACAAATTTCCATCACCAATGAATTGAGCTAAGAACAGAGTGGGGCAAATCATGCCCACAGTCACAAGGGAAACGCAAAAAGACCTTAACCTAGAGGAATGTTCCAGACTGGACTCATTTCGAATAAGTTAATAGTACAAGTGTTCACCTAAGAAATCACCGTATGTGCTGTATGAAGTGATCTCGAATAAACAAACTTGAATCTTGCTACTAGCCTCGTACATCATGGTGGTTGACCTGGCGAACTCTGGTTGACAACACCACATGTCTTTAGTACCAGGAACGCAACACAAATAATCTCCCAACTGAACATGTGTGTTATGAAAAAACTAAACATTGTGGAATGAATGATTTTGGCCAAAATTTTGAATAACTGGTCAGGCACTTATTTGAAGAAATAAGCTACTGTCATTTCTGTCTTTCTCTTTTTAAGATGTTTCATCTTTGGTTCAAGACAGGATATGGAATTTTGGTCCAGGTTTAATATTGGGTCATAATAATCTTGTATTTCAATGTGGGAAACTTAACAACAAAGGGTACTATCCATGCTAAAGAGAAGGAAACACTAAAGGGGAGCTTCAACAGGTGACTAGAGGCAGTTTCTCAGACAAGTTACTTCTTCTTTTGTTTTAGATTGACAAGCTTTCTTCCCCCCCTCCCCTCCCAAATTTCCTCCCTTTGTCCACTGTTTTTTCTGTCTTAAAATCTGTGTAAAGCTTTTTACTCTGTTTGGTATGTGAAACCATAGAAGGTAAATTGACAGCAACACCATGGATAAATCTGCTTATGTGATTTATTCAACATTAATCAGATAAACTTAGGAGTTCTGCCCCTATGTACAAAAACATACCTATATTTATAACAACTGCAGAAACCCCCACAAAATTGTGCATATTAAAATGACATAAG